AAAATAGTGTAGCACTTATGTTGCTAATTAAATAGCTAGTTACAATAAATACTCACAATAGTAGTTCAACAAGTTCAGTAGTATACGTATGTATAAAATATGTGGCATCAAAATGGTATAAAGAATATATCATGTTGAAAACAACTTTAAAGTTTGAGGAAGCTCATTGTAAAGTACATTCCTTTGCCCTTAAGAAGAATACATAGCTATTTTTAGCAAGATCTTGACTACCGTGTCCCAACAATTGGAATTACTTAGAGATTTTTGTACAGCACGAAATAACTCAGAGAGAAGAAAAGGCAGGTTTAACATTTCAGGGAGATTAAACAACTGACCACTACAACAGATCAAAGCAAGAGTTTCTCCATGCTTTATTGAAAAACCCACTAAGAAATCTGTCTTTACATATTTTCCAGAACACCAGTGATATTTCACATACATCTGTCATCTTTGTTTGCCACTTTCTAAACTATGACTGTGTCAGAGAGAGTTTTTTTCCTGTTTCTTCCCATTCTGTCTAAAAATAAAGTCATTAACCTGCAGGTGGTGGAGCTGGTGCTGGCGTGACAGGCCCTGCCGCTGTCAGATGACCTGCTGCCCCTGTGATGTGACTGGCTGCCACGCTATTGACAAGACGACAGCGCGGACACGCTTAGCCACGAGGATACTTTTTCATCCTGTACCGCGCCGTTGTGGACAAACAAGGTTGTTTCTGTTGGGCAGCCTCATTTGACAGTACGAAATGAAAAGACTTTAGAAGTGTGAGTGTGTGTGTGTTTGCTTTGCCAATTGAGGGTGAGTGAGAATGAGCTTGAGAAGCAGTTTAGGCTTTCAAGAGGAGTACAAACTAATGTGTTGCCAAACTTTTTATAGTCTCCAGAGATTTCCACAGAAGATTTGAGGAGTAGGAGAAAATAAATGGGGACAGAGAGAGAGGAAAATACGGATCATATGTTTCTGACAGATTTCATCAACTCAAAACACATTGTGAGGCCACCACCGCAGTGCAACAAACACCAAACAAAAGGCAATGGGCATCACTGTCTGTGCATCCGAGGGCATATAAAGAGCAGGTGTGTCTGTGTACACTTGTGGGTAGGGTTAAGTGGGCGGACACTGCTTGTGTTGTGTTGTGTGCCTGTTGTGTGCATACTTGGACTAGCCTCCACCTGAATGGCCCGAGGCAGTGGCACCAGGGCTGTTAGAAGACAACAGAGACACAGGAAGCACAAGCAGAAGCCCCGAGGACAGCTCACACACACTGCTGCATACCTGCCCTTAAGTACACACTGCCTGTCAGAGCCATAGACGGGAGAAAAGACCGGACTAGGAGATCAGTGTCAGACAAGCCTGCTGAGCCAAAACTTGCATTTGACACATAATAACCAATTACGATACTATACAGTAAAAACAAATTCACAGTACTAGAGTTTTAGAGAAAAGTAATGATATTATTGAATGCTGCACACATACAACGTAAAGAAATACAATAGATTTATGATAAAACACACAATGCAACAATCTAGCATAAACTAAGAATGTATATGTTCATTGCTTGGTTTCATTGCTTATACTAATAAATAGAATGAATTGTAATTGGGATGGGTAAAAAGACTGACGAAGCATTGGTCTAAATTATCAACATTTCTCATGTGAGTTTGGGCATAACACAGCAAGCATTGAGTCCACTTTTCTTCTTGCTCTTGCAAAAAGCCAGACATAAACCTCCACCTTGCTATAACTTCTGCTTCCTAAATCCACAAAATCTCACTTCAGGGCTCAAACACTTCATACCTGCTTACACACAAAAACACATCCACGTTAGAATGTGTTTCCCTTCAGGCCCGGTGCTCTGTGCCAAGTCTGGCCTGGCATGGTCCACAGAGGGGTGTCCTGAGGCGAGGCCTGCCAAGTCAAAGAGTCTTTCATGTTCAGCCTGTAAGCCCAGGGTAGTAAAGCTCTAACAAACAGCCCGATACATACACACTCCTCTGTCGAAAACGCACACACCACGGCTATAAACCGTTTAAGTGCTCCAAACCACACTCTGCACATATTCATATATAGTTCAATGATGTAAACCGGCGATTGGAGCCTGTGCCAGTAAAGCTCCTTTCACCAAGTACGAAAAGCTTGACCAGTCCTTCCAGAAAGCTGACTTCTATGCGTGTTCATTTTGCCTATGAAATTTCCTTGATTAAATATACATCAAAAAAAAAAAGCATTGCAGCAAGCTAAAAATAGACCGATCTCATCATAGTCAAGCGAAACTGTAGGATCAAATTAGAATCAATTTTCGAGGACAATGGAACGCTTATGTAGAAAGTATTAGCCGGTGTCCAATAATTGCAATAACCAGCATCTGTGCCTTTTCAGTATCAATTAAACTGATCACACACACAAAAGGCACCCTTCGCAGCATGAGGACTTACGTTGCAGCCCATATGCCTGAGCTAACCCTGGCAATAGAAAAAAAAAAAAAAACAATATTGGAACCATAGAACCTCGACCCCCTCCGCAGGCAGACCGGCCACTCACTGCCCAGCCCCCCAGCTCTGCCCGACACATATCCAGCGCGTAGACATATGAAAGCAAGGCACAGAGAGGAGGGGGGTTTGGAGAAAGGTGGCACGGTGCCAATAAGGAGCCTGCTAAATACCTTTGTCTTCACTATAAACATGGGCGAACAGCAGAGGCAAGCCACTACAAGACTAACGGAAATATTCTTACAATGTTATGAAGAGTTGCAAAAACGAAGAAGGAACCAGGTTTAGTGAAATGAACTGAGAATGGATTGGTAAAGCCCAGGTTATACTAAAGGAAGTTTGAACGGATACAGTGATCTCATTAACTCGCAACGAGAGATGTAAGCGCTCAGATCAGAGAGTATGTCAAAATATGATCAAAACAGGGCAAATAGACAATTCACTATGCGCTTGACCTCAGAAGGAATCCCCAAAAACGAAGAAATGTTTAACAAAAAATGTCAATATTGTCGCTTATCAATTTTCTATAATTCATCTCAGCAAAAATGTTAAGTTCACATACAATACAGCAATTCCACTTTTATCATATATTGTAATTTGTGTGAGAAACTGTCATCTGCTCTTTTTTTTCTGGGCCATCCATAATCTGGAGACAAGCGCTGGTGTCCCTATGCATATCTTAAATTGTTTATCATGCAAATGACGGCACACAGGCTGCTCTGCCCTCTTGTAACGGCGGACAGGGCTCCAGACTGCAGCCCCTAGTCCCAGCTGCAGCCACAAGGCCACCAGACACTAGTAATCTGCCCAAAGAAGGAGTCCATGAATCATCTTCACATTTAAACAAGCTTCACTTCACGTATTTATGTCAAAGTCTCTGATGTTATAACTGTAAGTGCATATTTTGGTGGAAATATGACATGGAATACAGCTTTGTTGATTAATGTGATGAGGATTTGAGTTCAAAATGTAATTATATTTCAAAAATGACAAATCAATGTAGTGGGTGCTGCTTGGGCGCGTACTTAGAAAAATGCAACTTTTACATTTAACACCAGAGTGCCTCGTACCTTATGCTTCGCTGACTATCGTAGATCATGGTTTATGCTTAGCTCTGTTTGACCTGCTTTCCAATGACATACATTATTGCTATAAATAAAAACAGATGTATTTTCTACCTAATTGTTTCAGTTAAATTGAAAACTTTATGAGAAAAAATGTGAACTCAAATTGCTGCTGTTCCTTAAGTTAATTGTAATAAATTGCGTGTAAGTTCATTTTGCAATATTGATAAATTTGCATCACATGGACCATCCCTAATGTGTGTATTAAGATGCATGTTGTCAGTGTCATCCTTGAAGAGAGCGGGTGAGGGAACATGGCAGCAAACATATGGGCATCGGGGTGGCGTCCTGGCACCGCTACTACGGATCCATCAATCTTGGCAATGAAAAAAAAAAATGTGGTGGGGGGTGGTAATAGCTTTTTTGCATTTGACTAATTTGATCTATGTTGTGGCTGCGTCTTATTCCTCCCCAGTCTGCTAAGCCTATAACACTATTCATTTATTCATGAGCAAAATGTGTGGTTATACAACATCTAGAAACATAAAGTCCGTAAATAAAGGCCTTCTTACAATGCTACTGACTTTATGCTATCATGTGAACTGCTGATGATCTAAATGAGCTTGTTCAAACATCTGACAAGGCCGAGAGGCAAAACCGATGAGTGTGTGTGAGGTCCAAGGAGCGCAAAAGAACTGTGGTCATTCTGTAACAGGACATGATTGGCCATCTTTTAAAATGCCTGACGAATACTGTACAGAAGAGCACATTATTCTCGGCTGGAACTGGCCTCAAATGGAATCAGAACAGCCCGAACAATAACAGCTATTTGCCACATGATATTGGCTCAATCTAGAATTAATAAACACTGAAATGGCGCTTTGTAAATCCGCTCATAAGGGGAGCGGGCTTGTTTGCGCTGTAGTGTCATTAAGCCCCAGTGGACGGCCGACAAGCACAGCAGTTCTTTACCAAGACCTTAATTACTCAAATCAAAGAAAAACACTGTCAATTAGTAACTCCACAAATAAGCGCTGCTTTCTTGACAGCTTGGCGTAATTACATTCTTTTGAATGTCTTTTTAATTTTAGAATTGGAGTGAGTGTTCGCAGGCACATATTTGTGGGAGCGAGAGATATGACAGCGTAATAAACCAGGGAGGGATAGGAGATAGGGCCCTCACTACCACATGAGAGACATGCGAGGCCACAGGATCGGAGCACATCTGTGAGGCAGCACCAGAACTAGCTATTTTGTTGCTTCTCTCTCATAATCTCTCTTTGTTTGTCTTTTTCCATGTCTGCAAATGTTTCCTTTTCTCACAATAATTTTCAGGGAGGCTGTGTTTCATGTGGTTGACTATGACGAGTTCAAAATGCAGTGTATTTTCTATAACTCTGTGTGAAAGTCACCACTGTTTCCTTGTTCTGGCTTTCTCCCTGGGGTTTACCTGTGATATGCTCTTGTTTGGGGATTATTCCTGGCAGCGGTGCGGATAAACAATCCTCGTGGCGTGGCGACACTTGAACGGCCACCTCCACGGGATGGCATGGCCTCCTGGGGTGCAGCGGAGTCCGTGAGAGGGACGAGGAGGTGGACATGGGCGAGGCAAGGGGGGAGGAAGGCGGCCTGTCCAGAGGTTTGTCGGCACACAGGCTCCCGTGGCACTGTCGTCTCTTATGCTCGATGAACAGCAGGATGTCCGACAGGGGGAAGCGGGAATGACACTGGCCACACGTGAGCAAGTCCTGGTCCCCCTTTGAGAGGTTCACCCCCAGCCTCGTGGAGTCCTGCGAGTCTTCATCTGGTGGGACGCCTGATAGCGGCTCAGCTATGTGGGTGAAAACAAAGCAGAAGTGAGATATGCTATTTGTAATCATGTGTCAAATGCAGCCTCAAAGAAATAAGGTCACACGTTGTAAAGTGCAAGAAAACTTTTGGCATACTTCGATAAGGACTACCACAATGAGCTTGCAGGCAGCAGTCAAACGATTAAGTTGCTTGACCCTCTTTATTGTGCTGCCAATCTCACTTTTTTAATGAACCTAACACCTCTGAGAATCAAAAAATAGATTCTAATTTGAGTTCAAGATGATTGGACCCCATTTCGTTAAAAGTGCTGGGATCTTATGAACCAAGGTTAGACATTGAGGGGTTGGATGTGGAGTAGGTCCCTGATGTACGCAGGAGGAGAGAGCAGAGTGAGTCTTGAGAGCAGGAATCTTGCTGCGGTGTAAACGGTATTGAACAGCCGACTGGGATGCGGAGATAAGATGTGATGTATTCCCGCAGTCAGTCGGAGCTTTAATTCAGTGTCAGGTCAGATGAGAAGTTTAGTGAGGGATGTGCCACAGAGACCATGTTCTGCAGTATTGAAGATGAGGGAATCTGCTCCTACTCCTGCTTATCTCAAACCAGCTTTAGCAGCGAATGTGGAAAAGCGTTGCCAGTAAGTCATAGGCAAAGACTTCCTTCAAAGCATGATAGGAATTCAAATTTAAGTCTCAAAATATTCACGTTTTTTTCAAGATGGATCCTCTACTTTTAGCGTAATTTTGCTCACAGTTATTGCTCAATTGGCTGTGTTTTCGGGAATCATTGCTTTCAATTCAGATTTCATGCAAAGCAGACACAAGACTGCAGGACAAATAATATTAAACACGAAATGACCATTGACACGTTTCACTTTTTGACTCCCTCTAACATTACAATGAAATTAATATGAATATGCATTTAATTTTTGCACAAAACCACCCTCCTTATACTTGGTCTGACAGCATCTGTATCTCAAGTTCAAAAGTGTTCTTCGAGGAGAGCAATCACAGTGCGTCCCCTACTGGCTGCTCTTGTGCTGACGCGTGCACAACTACTACATGTAAAGCACAACTGGCTCAGAAACAGGCTTTTAAGAGGAAAAACAACAATACTATTAAACTGTAATAAACAAAAAGCAATAGGGCTGAATATTGCATTTTGTAATACGCACACGACACGCCATGTGCGTTCACCAAACACAAACAAAATAAACAGCAGCGATCTTTTTTATCTTTAACGCGTAAACCTAATGATTTCCATGTTTGCTCTTAACAACAGCAATTACAGCCCCGTCTCCATTGATCAGTCACTATAATAAATGAACAATGTTTAATCTGAGTCGGCTGAATTAAAGGGGATTACTCGTAGTAGCGTGCGTAAATGTTGACAGTGTAAACGCGTGTTGTCATACGAGGCATGGACTATGTTGTTTGATTATAAGCCTATCATAAGAAAAGGAGAAGAGAGCAGCTCATGCCTTGCTCTGCTCTAAACTTAAGGGCAGCTATAGCGTTCACCGTTCAGAATGGCAAAGGTCTTCTTGACAATAAAGTCAGTATGCCAATTCATGACGAAAGAGACATGAAGGGTTCCTTATTCAAAAGCACAACTAGATGTCTGCGTCTGCCTTAAATAATACTCAGTAACGTCCTACAGCTATTAGTCAACTTTAGAACAACAACAAAAAAGAAAAAAAGTTTTGGCTCGGGAGTAAAGCAGAGGCAGTGCTGGTTGTAAGCAGCAGAGTGTAGGTGTGTGTGCGTGTGCGTGTGTGTCCACTTACGCGAAAACTCCCGTGTGCTCAAGTGCTGGGGTTTGCCTTGCTTGCGGCGAGACATTATTGAATTGCGCTGGATTTTGAGATAAGTTCACATTGGGAAATCCGTTCTTGCAAGTTAAGACTCCAAGTGAAATATCTTCATTGATGAAGGTGACATCCAAAAGGTGTTGAAAAGGAGAAAGGGAAAACCAAGGAAGTGTGGATCAGGCAGCGGCGGAGGCGCGCGTCTCTGTCCGTGCGGAGCTCCTCATGACTTTTCCGCAAAGAGGAGAGAGCGATGAGGGGCTACAAGGCAAAACCCCCCTCAAAGAACTGCAAGTTCAAGTGCGGACGTGACGCTCTTACGAACTTGAACGGCAGCCGACTGACGGACTGAGACACTGAAAACAGGGGCAGGGCGAGAGCGGCCAGTGGGAGGGGGACGAGTCGCAATAAAAGCCAATGGACACTCATTATGGACTACCTATGGAAGGCAGAGGGGAAAAACAGCACAGAGACCCCGAAGACACCAATGGACAGAGGGAGCAAGGGGCGGGGCCAAGGACCCGGGGAGAGAGAGGGAGGGAGAGAGAGGGTAGGAGAGAGAGCTTCATTCATAGGTTAGTGTTGTTGTTGCGGAGCACGATACTCAATATAAACATAGAAGCAATACGTGAAATAGTGTATTTTAGTGTTATTTAGATTGTGCATTTGATTATTTACGTTCATGTATAAGGTACCAAAAGTCGAGGCGAGAAGATCCTGCTCCAACTTTACCAGCCCGTGAAGACGATGCTGTGGGAACTTTGATGACTTTGCATTGATTCGTCCAGTGATTCCCAAAGTGGGGTTCGTCCTCCTGAGATTCGTGTGGAGCACTTCAGGGGCCCCCTGGAGGTTGCAAACACAACGATAAATTGAGAATTAGGTTGAAATGGCTTCATTAATGCCACTTTTTTTTACAAAATTAAATCATGAATACTTTTTATACTATAAGTTATGTCATATCTGATTCAATAAAGAAATCTCACAATCTTGGTGCTGTAGACTTCGGGAACAGCTGGATTTGGTTATAAAAACTACTTTAATTTAATTTAGTGTGGAACAATTTGCGCCACATAAATTCATATAATTAAATCAATACTGTACCGCCATCTAGTGGTTATGATGAACATGATTTGACTAAAGGGGGAAAAGAGCAGATGGAGTGAGTCAGTTAGGGTTTTTTCTTCTATTCCACTTATAAGTGTAAAAAAAACTTCTTGCATCTCCACAATGTTTTTTTTTGTTGCATTAAATGTATCACTTCCGCCGAGGAGTAAATGGATTGATTGTTAATCAGTGGGAAACTAGACTTTTTTGATGCAATGTTCAGAAAACGTGCACAATGACCCAGTGTACCAGAGATTACATTTTGGGGGTGATCTGAATCAGTCTGGATGCAGAATCAGTCTGGATGCAGACTGATTCACAATCACATAATTGATTGTGATTGGTTGAAACCTGACAAGTGGAAAATTGGTATATTCTACCATGGCTATAATTCACCTTCCTGCAATAATTTACATTGTGTTGCTCAAACAGGGCTTTTCAGAGTGGAGTTTATATTCTACCTGTGTGTATATGTTTCCTCCGGGTGCTCCAGTTTCCTAAACATATGTATAATAGGAAAAAAATCCTGCAGGTCTGGTCCTGACCAGGCCAAGCATCAGCAAGGATGGGTCAAATGCAAAAGAAAGTATAACTGAACTAACTGAATTAGAATTAGAGACGCACTTTATGCAAATGTAATGCATTGAATAGTACAATCTAACATTTTTGTGAGCAATAGCAACATAACAAAACTGTTATAAATGAAATGTGCGCTGTACTTTGGCCGTGGAGTTGACCGTTCACGTTCTTGAAGGCATATCTATTACATAATAACAGTATGTTAGTTTTTCCTACACTAGCCCACTGCGCCATCATGAGGCCAAGACGCGTCAGTGGAAAGAAGGGCAGGGCAGCGCACCGCTCGGCCAGAACACAAGCGCTCTGCATATCGGATGCTGAGAATCCGTTTAGCGCTTGGTGAGTATTTTTCTGGGCTATTTCTGTTTTCGACAACATTGGTGTCAGTGAATACGGAGGTTTGTGGAGAGTGATGGGGATGCAGGAGGAAGCAGGAGATAACCAGACCGAGAAGCAAGGCTGTTTCCCGTCTACCATAGCGTCCGCTTGGTCTTCGGACTCTTTAGACAACAGCATACGGGATTTAGACAATAGTGTTGCGTTATAGTAACAAAGGTATTATACCTATCATGTCATTGTTCATCATATCTGTATTTACAAGGCCTATAAGAAGCATTGCGCGTAACAGAAGCCACATCTAGCTCATTTGTGTCATGCGTTTAACCCTTAAACCACATCGTTTTTCGAGAATATCAACTATTTGGGCTAATTTTATTGATAGTGATTGATTTATTGGTGGTCTCAATTGCCAAGGAGGCTGTCATGCTGTAGCGTACATTCTTGAAAAGCCTTTATTGGAGACATGGGCTCACCAGTCTCATGTCCATCTCGTTATTGGCTCGATGCAGTACAGGCAAGAGTCCACAGCACGATTCATGTGCTGTCATTGGTCCACCAGTGGTCCAAGTGAATTAAAGAGCCGTGTGAATATAGGCCAGTGAATATAGGCCAGTGAGGGGGAGAATGGGTTAAACACTTGATTCAAATGTAAATGAAAATTCAACATGCCTGGTCTAGTTATCATTATTCTCACATAAAAACACAGTATGAACCCAAGCACTGAGCCCATATAGCACCACCAGAGCGTGAGTCAGCAAGGCCCATGCAATCTCTGCCGCTGGTGATGGAGAACAGGCTGTTGTTTATCTCAAAGAAGTGTGGGGGTTTTGTGCTTCATAACTCTGACAACTGCATGGCAATCATATGAGAATAGTAACAAGGACAAGAAATCAATTATCACAAGAAACACATGCTTTTTCTTCTCGCATGACACTGTACATTTTCTTGTATATTTATACAAATATATATATATATATATCTTGTACATTTTCTTTTCTGTATACCATGTGGTGTGTGTGTTTAGGCTCTTTGAAATGTGTGTATGTGGCTTATGCTGTCCTCCCCATAGAATCAAATCAGATTACACTATTGATGTGTATCTATATGGTTCTCTCTCTGTGTGTGTGTGTGTGTGTGTGTGTGTGTGAGTGTGTGTGTGTGTGTGTGTGTGTCCAGTTGTCCTCTATTTTATTACATTTTCCAGTAAATGCTGAGTTATGTGATCTAATTAATTACACCCAGAAATAAGGAACTTTGTGTACGTCTTGGGTTTGAGGTTTAAACGCGGGGTATTTAAGATTCTAGTTTGAAGCATTACAGTGCACTGTGTGAAGCATTGCAGTGTTGAAGTTGCTGTCCATTTATAGCAGGATGCGATTAGGACGAAAGGTGATCTGAGAGATGAGTCTGACTTCCTGGTTCCTGGTGAGTGGAGGGGGGACGCGGCATCGTCTCCCCAGAGAAATGATATTCGTGGGACGGGATGACTGCGAACTTATGCTGCAGGTAAATCCAACACAAATAGAGCACCCATTGAATTATATTGGTAGATTTTATATATTCTTGTGCATTTTAGTCACGTAGTGTGGACAAGCAGCATGCTGTCATCAACTATGAATCGAATACTGATGAACATAAAGTTAAAGATTTGGGCAGCTTGAATGGGGTGAGTGGCATTTTTGATGTCTTCTCCTCATTATTATTATGACTGTAAAACTTGCCTTCTAAATTGAAAGATCTGTGACATTGTAGTAAAATTTGGGGCCATCCTTTTCAGACTTTTGTCAATGATGTCAGAATACAGGAGCAAATGTATGTGACGTTACAAATTGAAGACAAGTTGCGATTTGGATATGATATCCTTTGATTACACTTTCTATGTTATATTTTCTGTCATTGGTTCACAGTACCTCAATAACTATGGATGTAATGTGAATATGTGCTTTTACACAATACAATTAGTTTTGCCTTTAACTTGCCTCACATACAAACTTGTTTACTGTGGTCCGAGGAGAGATGCTGATCCCAGAGGAGGCTCTGAAGGTGATGCAGCTCCTAAGCCAGTGATTCTTTGTAATAATTAAACCTTTTAAAATCAATACTGTATTTGATCCTCTAATCTCTGCTTGTCAGCATGAGAAGTTGAGCAGCCAATTACAGATTGGCCAAAAGAAGCTATCACCAATGCAAGTGCCACAAGCCCCAAAGTCTGGAGTGAAGGCAACAGTGGCAGTGCCAGCTCCAGTGTGTGATGGGGCTACAGCAAAGACTCCTGAGGCAAATAAAGTCGAAGACAAAACAGGTAAATATTGAGAAACAGTTCAATCAACATATCATCTGAAAAAATGACTTGAAAAATATTTTAGCAGCGGAATTAGCAGTGCTGCATAGAGGAACCCCCTTGTACGGGCAGCCAGCCTGGTGGGGAGATGGAGACTGCGGTGAGCAACACTCTGCTCGCCCTGAGGATAGAAACTTGGACAAGAAACGAACCAAGGCAGAATCAGGTCTCTACCCCCTACACTCACTTAGAAACTTACATCACATGTAGTATTGTGTCAGAAAAGAATGCATGAAGATGTTTTCCTTTTTTTTCATTTATGTGATTTTTTACAGATGAAAGGAAAAGTACTGACAACCAAAAATCTGCCACCAAAACAACATCCAGCCACGATCCCAGTTATTTTGAAATCCCTACAAAAGATTCCTCTGCAGGTAAAGCAGTGGGCGAGACGACAAGTCAAAACACAGAAGCCAACTCTTCAGCAGAGCACTTGCTTGGCCATGCCTCCTTCACCATCGAGTTTGACCCAGGAGCAACTGGAAAAGGGACAGTCAAAGACAGAGTTGCAAAAGTAGGTCAAGACACTAGAGCACGACCTAAAAGACCTGTTGGAGAAGACCTTAGTCCGCTGCAAACTGCGATGGTTGCAGCTGAGGTCAAAGTTGCCGACTGGCTTGCTCAAAATGAACTTCCATTGGCTCTCAAAGAAAATGTTGCTGTAGAGGAAGACGGGGAGAGTGCAAAGAGTGATGTCCCTGTGAATTTAAGGAGTATTCAAGGTCTATGTTTGTAACTTTTAGAAACTATTTGGTTGTATATAATGTAATTAATAATCATCTTTTGTAGGCAGTAAACATGAAGATGGCACTCAGAGTGACACTGCAGGATTAGAAGAGCGTCCCTGGGGGATGTGGGGAGGACCTGGAATTAAGTTTCGAGAAGGTCGGGCTAATGTACCAGAGGGTCTTTTTGCAGAAGAAGACAGCCCTGCACGTCGAAGAAAAGCTCCAAACTCGAAAGCTGTAAGTGGATTAGTGGAGAGGCGGCATGGCTCTCCACCCCGCCAACAAAGTGGACGTGATGAGTACTACCGCCTGGGTGATGATTATAGTGACAGAGGGACCTATATCATTGACATGGAAAATGGAGATGCTGAAGAGGAAGAGGCAAAAAAAAGGACTCTTAAGGTGTGATTAAATACCCATGTTTTATTTAGTAACATCAACAAAAAGAACAGAACAAGAAATTAAATAGTGATGTATATATTTAAGGTTTGATCAAGATTAATTCTTTCTTGGAAATCTGCATGCAATCTGATTATATCTCAATCCGCACGGTTTTTCAAAGTTGATTTCTTTTGTGTTCTTGCACAGGTGTTTGCCAATGACCAGGAGTCTGTGTGCCTGTCGAGATTAGAAGGCACTGAGCAAAGACCGCGCAGTAACTCTCAACGGTCAGAACTCGGAGAGAGGAGACGGGCTGGGCGCGTGGAGCCAGAGGTGCATAATAATTAAAGGCTTTCATCACATGTGTTGCTGCTTCTACTGACATTATGTGTAATTCTACTGCTTCTACTGACATTATGTATAGATGTCTGAGGATATGATGGTTGGTGGGCCTCGCTGGGTTTCTCAGTGGGCATCACTAGCTGCCACTCATGTTCGAACTGACCCAGAGGGATCAGGTGGAGACAGTCATGTGGTAGCAGAAGACAGAGGTTCCCAAATTTAATACATCTCTCATTCTTTTCCTTTTTTCTAACTTGATAGAGATAACATTCTTCTATCATTCTAGTTGAACTTTTTGAGTCAACCCACTCATTATCATCCACTGACTACACGGAGCGCAAAAGAAGAACTTTACCATCGTTGCCCGGTGAAAATGTTGTTTTGGGAAGGCGGAGTCCAGGGTCTGGTGTACGGATGGACATGGGGGAGAAGCAGGACACGGAGCTCCAGGAAAAGGAGAGTCAGGAAGAGAAGACAGTCCGTGGTAAAGCTCAAAGTGGCCACAGCTCTGGAGGTGTCGGCAGTCATGGAGGAAGTCCTTGTCGATCCTCACCTGCCAAGTCCCAGGACAGTGGAAGATCAGGGCAGACTGGTGCCCTGACCCGGCTACCGCCACGTCCACTCAGTAGTGGTGAAAAAAGAATGGAGGAGGCACGGAGGAGAAAGAAGGAGGATGAGAAGGCAAAGGAAATTGGTGGGAAACCATTATTAAGACAGGAAAGCTTTACAGTGGAAAGGCCCAGCTCCAATGTACCTATTGAACTTATACCTCGCATTGACAGCTGTACAAGTACTACAAATATTAAAGACTTAGGTATTGACAGTGCCGTTCTGCAAAAAGACACAGAAGCCGTGGCAGCTTTTTTAGAAACCACTATCTCAGACCAAGGCGATCCTCCTAGCCAATCCTGCGAGGGATCCATGTCACCGGAGTCAGACGTGGACACCACCAGCACTGTAAGTCAGGCTGACGGGGCCAGGAGGGTGGTGCAAAAGAGGCGTGCTCTGGTGGGACAGCCAAAGGATAAAACTGTAGCATGTTCATCTGGCAAAGCCCCCACAACCAATCGTGATACAGCAGAGAGGAGGAAAAACAGAACAGTAGCACCACAGCAACCCAGACGCCCGTGGACCTCTTTAGACCTCACTGACGACGATGTGAACAGCAACTCACTTTTGTCTGACTCTATTTCTGCTCAAGGGTCTCGGAGCTCCCATTCCAGAGTACAGCAAGGAGGCACAGTCTCCAAAACTAGTTCTAACAGATCAAAAACTGTCCAGGGCCCTTTGAGTGGAGCCAGTAAAGCCAGTAATGTTCCCAAGCCCCGACCTACCAGAGCATCATTGTTGAGACGAGCTAGGCTAGGGGAGTCCTCGGACACTGAAGCACCTGATATGGACCGTATGTCGGTGGCCTCAGAGGCATCCACTGCCAGCTCCACGTCCCGAACAGGAATGGCAAGAAGAGGGATGTCCAGAATAGAAGCCTTAGCCCAACCAAGGAGACCCAGGGTGGCATCGCCATCAGCTCAGAGTGACTCAGAGGCTACTGTCATCAAAAATAGACTAGGAGCCCGCAGTGCTGCAGGAGACTATGCTTTGAGACAGGGACTAAGAACAACCAATGTAGCTCAAATGTCTGGACCAAGAGCTAGAGCTAACAGTGCTTCTAAGCTCCCAGACAAGACCAAAGGAATTTCTCCATATGGACATGTCCCTGCATCATGTAAGCATTACTTACCTCATTTTTACAATAAACAAATATCAACCAAGGATATTTTTTTCAAATAAATAATCTCTGCATTACTCTTTATTTTGTCATTAGCTGGCACGAAGTGGCGACGAATACCAGCAGAGTATGCCTCAACTTCGGAGGATGAATATGGCTCAAACCGACACGCTTCCAGACAAGGACAGACTCAAGCTTTTAATACACCGCGAGTGGGTCATCTTGGCGGGTCAGCACCTCCAACTCCAGGCCTGTCTGCTCTAAAGCAGTCTTCCAGAGAGCAGGATGAATACATGAAAGACTGGACAGCTCACAGTGAGGAAATTGCAAGGTATTTGCAAAATATTATTAATAACTAAACAAGCAGCCGAAGTATCAATATAAAGTGTGAAATTAATTCTATGAATCTTGTACTAGAATTAGCCAAGATTTAGCCAAAGATCTGGCAATGCTTGCCAGAGAGATCCATGATGTGGCCGGAGAGATTGACTCCGTCAGCCCTGGTGCCACAGATCCTGGGACTAGAGTAAGTTAAACAGATTGAATATGTGTGTTCAATGATCACTTTCATAGGTGATGTGTCTCTAGATGGACGAACAGGTATTTGACAACTCTGCAGAGCCAGAAGATTCCCAGGCAGAGTCTAATGGTTGTTCAGTGGAGCTCAGAAGAAAAAAGGGAAGCTCACGATCTATTCGCCGTCAAACATGGAACAGGGAAGACGTGAGTATCTCTCAGTAGCATAGGTTGAGTGGGTCATTGTGAACAAATGGAAGTCTCATGACTAGACTTATTAGAGTGTTGTGACTTCTGTTGATAATTTGAATCAATTATCCATGAGATTTTTCCAAGCTTGAACTACACCAGAATCGTTTGGTTAAATAGTCTATAAAAGAAAACCAGTCAATTTATTAATTTAGTTTGATTTGAGTAACTTAAATTTAAAGCGTGGCAAGAGCTCTGGTGTGTGTCGTCTTCTCTGTCTGGTGCACACCGGTGTAGTCTTGCACAGTTTTTCCAATGTGGTTTTACTGCAAATGGCAAATAAATGAATCTGAATCTGAATCTGAATCTTTAAAAACATCTCCACTAGAGGACCCTCTAACCTATTAAATATGTTTGTTCTTCAGGCAATACTAGACAGTTTACTTCTGACATCAGTGACTCAATTATCAACCAGAATACGCCAGTGTGTGGACAAGACAACCTGCAAAATCAGGTAGTATATTTACTCCTGTATTTGTTCACGTTATGTCAAGAGGAGAAGACATAAGTGAAGGAACGTTATCCTCATCTTGTGACTTAGTCTTTTCTCATCTTGACACAATGTTTGATGTTTTCTTTCATCTATTTTAATACAATATGGCCTCCAGGATTCTCTTCAAAGATAAAGAACGAAAATGGGATGAGATTGAAAGCAAACTACAAGTGGAACATGACTCGTTACTCTTGAAGACGTCCAACAAGGTAGTGTGGTTGAATCTATTTCTGTAACAATGTCACTTTAATATATTCAAGATATAGCACACTTTATTCAGGTGCTCTATGTAAATCTAAAACAATTATTTTACAGACGTCCCTCTGTAAAACCCATCCTGTGTGAATATATTGATTAATGTTTCCATTCTAAATTGTGACATAGATGATACAATATACACTTGATATCGCTTATTCGTGATACTTTTGGCTCCAATCTGGCCAGAAAATATATCATTTAGTATGTGTATTGATAGCACAGTCCCAGGATGAGTGTACTTTGGCCCAGGTCCCATTCAAGTACAGAACATGTTAAGTTAAGAGTGGTTAAGTTATGTGACGTTTTAGCTTTCACCTATGCTTTTATTTATGTCCTGTTAACAGGAGATTTCAAACGTCATTCAAGACCTAAGAAGGGTTGAAAAACAGCTACTTGGTATGCAAGTATAATCATATTAAAATATAAGAAATAATTATCAAATAATAAGTCAAAACAAAACTTGTCTTAATACATTTAGTTAGTTGTTTTTTCTGTTATTCTATTACAGTCATAGATATGATGGTCGACCCAGATGGCACCTTGGATGCTCTGAACAGTCTGGGATTGCAGAGTCCCCTGTGTGAGGCAAAAACCCCTCCTGGTGTTCAACAGGGGGCAGCAGAGAGTGAAAAAGAAACACTGACCACCATAGCACTTTCAGGGGCCGGACATGGTGGTCATTCTGAGGCAATGGAGGCGGGACAGAAGGACACTGGTCCTGGTACATGAAAAGAGGGGATAGTTAATCAAAGTTTGAAACTATGGTAAGTGAAGAATCAGAGTAATGGCGAAGATGCACTTTGCAACATGATCTTTTATACTTTTTGTCATAGTAGTCTTTGGATATCTGAAATTACTTACTTACTAAATAAATCATTATACAACATTTCTGTTTATTTAGTGCAAGCACATCCCAAAGTACCTTATGAAAAGTTCCCAGCTATAATACAGTACTTTTCTTCTTGTCTGTCCACATTACTTGATCAATTTTATTCATATATAGCCAATGATAACAATTACTTAAATGTAGCTTCCCAATATTTCTTCTTTTGAACATGTTCTGTCACAAGTGCCCAATATCAATCAGTCCTTAAGAACAAGCAACGCAAAGTGTGTGTGGCTGTATTTATTTAGAATTATTAATATTAAACCCAAATTCCTAATTTTTGTGGTTGTTTTCCTTAAGTCATGCCTCTTACCATGTTTAAATATGAATGTACGTTTTAGCCAAAAGATTATCCTGCACTTTGGTTCCACAGCCACTGAATTATGAATTTACTTCTGCTTTCAGAAATGTATTCATAGCTGTTTTTTAGTATCATGTTTAATTTTAAGATTTTGTTGTTGTTACATTTCATTTGTATAATTATAAGTTAGATGTTGATCTTACAATACTGTGTATTGTCAGTCACATTTGTAATAAAAGTGCATGATTATTATTATGTGCAGTCCATTCCAAATATTTTCCAAGTTGAATGTTAGTGGACTAAATGGTCTGTCCAGTTCTATACAATGGCTATATTATGGTACAGTTTACAGACCAGCGATCACATTGTGAAGGTCAATGCATGACTAGTAATGCTGTCTTTGTTTGACTGCTTTTACTGCTGCATCTGTTTGGCTCCTTAACTGCAATTGATGAACTGCACACTAACTAATCCACTTTTGCTTCAGAAGCACCATAACGACAACATACTACGATTACTACTACTTTGTAAACGTTGATTGTCTACAAATAAACTTGGTAAAAGTTTATTGTCAGGGACCACAGAATGTGCTTTGGGCTGTCTTCATCAGTATATGATTAACAGCGTGTGGTGCCAGACCTTGATGCATGATGCCAGTGTGGCACGAGGTCTGCTTACACACTGTGAAGCTCTCATTGATGAGCCACTGCTACTTAAGGGCATTGGGGAGGCAAGGAAGCATACAGTATGTCATGTCAGCACAATGCTGGAACAACTCAAAGGAACAAAGGGAAATACACATGCAGTATGTTGAACAACTACACACAGGATTATTCTTCTTAGATGTTGGTAATAGAAAAAAAAACATGCAGCTGTACTTTATTATCAAGTTCTAGAGAAATGCAATTATTGATAACATTTACGTCTCCCAGGTCTCAATCTTTGAACGCCCTATAACTCATGACAATGTGTTCTTGTGAATATTTTTGGATAGTGCAAGAGAGGGGTAAAATATACAGGCAACCTTCAGTCTACCAGAGGGAAGCCGCTGGATATCGGAAGTGAATGAAGAACTTGCAAAATGGGCAATGCAGAGGATGAAATCTGTGTCTCCGTCCATTTGTATTCTCTGTACCTGCTAAAACTTGTGAAAGACGGAATGGGATACGTTTGATTGTGAGAAAGTGCCTCTAATAACACTTTCACCAAATTTGATTATCGTCCTTCACATCCGGCCGATGATCTCCCTTATAAGTTGCACCTCCCACCCTGTCTAAAAGCCTACTGCTGCTAACCTCACATGCCCCTCCTTTTCTAGCTCTGGAAATATTTATGAGATAGACAAATGGCATGAATCAATAAAGTCATGGACCAGAAGAGACTGAGTAACCATAAGGAAATAACATAGCAACCTTTTTATTCATTTGTATCAGATTAGACTCACCATCAATTTTTTCCCAGTCAGCGATGGAGTTGTTTGAAGGTGGAAGATTGGCGTTACAAGTTGAAAATTCCTCAGCAGCTCCAATCTATGTATGCCCGGTGAAGAGTAGCAGCTCCAGTGCCTTCCTGCAGCAAGGCTACTCTGCATCCATCTTCCTCAAACATAAAGACAAACTGGAAAAGGTGAGCATAAAAGCATCAGTATCTTAATCTGAGAGCACGGCAACATGATGTTCAAATAATCCCAAAGACTACAATAAGATACATTTTAACATACTTCAGTGCTCCATCTCTTCAAAATACCTTAAAAAAGGCAGCAAATGTGTTGCATGATACTGTAAACATATTATTTCATATTGTTTGCCAAATACGGATCAGATGTGATCTTTGGATGTCCAAAAAGCACTATACTAAAAATGGTGCATTTCGCGTTTCACTGCTCTGACTTTGTTGCACTGTGAACAATTACTGTGTGGCATTTCAGGAGGTCGCTACAACTTTGTATAACGAATGATATTAATAAAGTTTACAGGTTTGGATCAAGGCCAAATTACCTCTGCAGTAACTTGTGTGGGCTATTCTAATAAGGCCTGAAACAAAGTCAGCCCTCCTATTACCCGTATATCCTGTAGACTGTAAATCTTTTGCTCTTCAATGCCAAGGGCTCTGGTGTGTGTCGTCTGGTGCACACTGGGGTAGTCTTGCACAGTTTTTCCTATGTGGTTTTACTGCAAATGGCAAATAAATGAATCTGAATCTGAATCTGAAATGATGTATTATGACATTGTTCCGACTATGAATGTGCCATAAGCATCAAAAATTCATCATCATTTCATTGTTCAAAGCTGTGGTATCTACCTTTTTACCATTACCATTAGTAATGTTTGCTTGACCCAAAAGAAAGAGTCTTGTCTTCCTTTTGGATCTTTATCTTATTAGACAATCGTTTGCACACTAGTCATAAACAGCCTTTTGAGTCACTATTTAACACTTTGGGCAGAGAGCAGAACAGAGTTAGGGTGGTCCAGCTATTTTTCATCTTTTTGTCAGAAAAAGCTAATCTAAAGATGTGACAGAGGCAAATAACCAAGCTGTTGAGAGAAAGGAACGAGTTAGAGTTTATTTAAAATAATCAAACATTTTGCATACCCCAGCTATACTTTTTTCAGCCCTTATATATTTGGTATTTTAATTATGAGGCGGAAATTGTTTTAGATGTTTTATTTCTTGAACAAATTAGCAGCATGCAATCTAGTGTATGTGTGTGTAATCCACCATGACCCATGTCACCTGCTCCCACTGACATCTGCTGTTGTTGTGTCCCTGGGCAAGACACTCAACCCCTCATTGCCTGAAGCCCCCACAGAAAGACCAAGGCCATCTCGTCGATCACAGAGAAGGCATCTTCCCGTGGAACCACCACCACGCAGGAGGATCAGGAGGGACTGGTGCTATGAGACTTGGGAGGCAGCTCTGATTGCCACCCCCCCCCGAACCAGAAATGGAATGATAAAGGGGAAGAAAATGACATGACAATCTAGTGTATAGCCTGGTCTTAACCATCCGCAATTATAATTTCCCTGCATGTTACGTCTGGGTCTGGTCCCTGTGTTTGCGATTACAATCGGTTGAATTCCATCCGACCAATCAGCGAGCGTGGAAGGGAAGTGTTGTAGTTAATTGTGGGTGACGTCAAGAGTTTGCGCCGAACGGGCAAAGGTTGTAGTTTGGCAATGGCGAAGAATGCGATAGTAAAGTATTATGCTCTGGTTCTATCAAGTAACTGAAGCCGGAGCAAGAGAAATGTTTAGCAAATGTATTTGCTGACAAAGATTTTGGCGTTACTCCCCACGGCAAAGGTGATGGCTAGGCTAAATGCTAACGAGTCACTTGGGCGCAATTGCGTTACATACCAGACGGTAAACTCAGATCCAATCGTTGCAATCTGCAAAAGGAGTTAACCCCTCCCACCCGGTAACGGAGCCCAATAGAGCACCTACAGACCTTAGTACGAAATGTAATTTGTACTATGGTGTGGTACGACCAGGCTATTTAGTGTATAAAGCAATTAGCATTTTCCAAAATTATATTTGTTAGCTCTGTCAAATACAAAATAACAAAATGACTTAATACGTTGCGTTGTCTGTTTTTTTACTTTGCTTAGCTAATTGAACTTTTTATTGGCCTAGGAATACATGAATAATTTATGATAAACTCATTCCTCTTCTTTCGATTTGGCTGTCAATGCTGGAGTTAGACTGAATGCTTTTACCTCTCTATCCCTGTACCCGCTCTTTCAAGCCTCGCTCCTGTTGGCACCTGGCCCGGTCTTTTCCCATGGCTTTGTTCCCAGTCAGCCTCCACTCAGCACACATCACCCTGAGAGTGTTGAGGAAGTCTAGTGTCCTGTGGATACTTTAGAGGCCTGCTGCTGTTGTCTCTGAGGTGTGAAGGTGAAAGCCCTACCTGTCTGTGCACCTACTGTACATCTGCAGCAGCCTCATATCATCATCCATCAAATGTAAATACAGCCATTCACGACAGCGAGGCCAGGCCAGCAGAAATATGCCTCCCTGAAATGAATCTGAATGCCCTCGCTGAGGAGATGTTCAAATCTGTTTAACCATAAGCTCATTTGGTATTCTAAAGTGTAGGAAAGTTATAGATATATCATTTTTAAATAAAGAAACAAAAAAGCATGGACAACAGTATAGTCTTTGCAACTATCTGGTATTTTTTACAACTGGTTGGCTGTATTTACGGCACACAATGTTTGATATTGAATACAAATTAAAGACATTCAACAATTCTCTCTGGTGGAGGGAATTGTTAAGGTTTTTTCATATGTTCCATCCATCCATTTTGTTTCCCTTAATCCATTTCTGGGTCGGGGGGGTGGCAGTCAGAGCTGCACCCAGTACATATAGCACCAGCCCCTCACTGATCCTCCTGCAGGTGGTGAGTCCACAGGAGCCTTGATCTTCCAGTGGGGGCTTCAGGCAAAGTGGGGTTAAGTGTCTTGCCCAAGGACCAAACAACAGTAGACATCAGTAGGAGTCGTGAAGTAGGTCACATGGCGGGCTCGAACCCACAACCTTCAGGCCCAAAGGCCAATGCTGTACCAGCTGAGCCACTGTCACCCCTTCATACATGTTTCACCATATAAATCACACAATGTTCAGTCAATAAATCCATGTATTGTAGACTGTAAACCAAATATCAGTGAGTTGCCTCATAAACCTCCATGAGGCTTGAATGAATCATATGTAGGCCTACTACAAACTGTAATATGTACTGACTGCAGCTAACCATAATCTTAAACATATACAGTACAGTATGTACATCTGGGGGAAACGCAAGACAACAAGCACATTATTGGAATCATTTGTCTGGCAGAAGTTATTGCTTAGCCAAGTGGGACTATTCCGGGATGACTGAAAAACTGCAGTTCTTTTGCAGAAAAACTGCAGAGAGTTCTTTTTCATTTTAATACACAGTTATTGATTGTCACTTCTAAACAAGAGCATTCCCAGCCAGCCCAGAGAATATGAGCTGAAACATTTTTAGGGGAGACACTACATTTAAATATGTAATAAAATACATAAGCAACATTTCAAAATTCAACAAATATATATTTAACTATGTAATTCTGCTGTGATATTTTCATAATGGTCCCTGTTTCTCCCTCTCTCTCGCTGAGGTTGACTTGTAGAGGTCACCTGCTGCCACAGCAGGTTTCACTGCTCTGACTTTGTTGCACTGTGAACAATTACTGTGTGGCATTTCAGGAGGTCGCTACAACTTTGTATAACGAATGTTAATAATAAAGTTTACAAGTTTGGATCAAGGCCAAATTACCTCTGCAGTAACTTGTGTGGGCTATTCTAATAAGGCCTGAAACAAAGTCAGCCCTCTTTTTACCCGTATATCCTGTAGACTGTAAATCTTTTGCTCTTCAATGCCACTCAGCTTCTACTGTTTCTTGCACATATCTCATTACATCCGTGGTTTCTAATCGCATGCTGCCCTGACACACAGGACACAGTCAGCTAAAGCTTTCTTTGCTTACACAATGAACATGTAAGCGTTGGTGCACTTAGTATAAATGCACCATTTTCATTTGATTTTTTTTTGGTTAAGTAAGAAGCAGGAAATATTGATCTAAATAATAAAGCATGAATTAATGAGGAAAATAGTCAATAGTCAATAGTGTAACTTACCGGTAAGTATAACTTTTTTGCCATCAGCCTGTTTTTGCAAAAGAGACCAATAGAAAAAATAGGCAGAAAGCTGAGAACGAGAGAGGGAGATGGTAAGTGAGGGGTGTGTCTGGCTTATAGCTACAGCGATGTATTGGCCGTTTGAACAAGAGGGGCAGGTCTGTCTCAGTCTGCTGCTTCTTAGCGCTGGTGTGGAGCAGAGACAGAGAACACAGGTTATGGCTCTGGGAACTATCGCAGGACGTGGGGCAGACGAGGAGACCAGCTGCACATGTGTCAGTGTCTAGACACTGCAGGAATTGCAAAATGAAGAGTGAGTTTGAAAAGCGCAGAGCGGGACAGGCTGATGGTCCAGGGGGAGCAGCAGAGGCACAGACAGAGATGTAAGCTGACGTTTTACACCTGTCTGAAAAGTTCCAAGAGGTGTTGCCATGGCAGGACCGGCACCGCAAGAACACATGAAGGTGATGTTTGTGGTACAGTAATTCCATTTTAGGATTCATCTACAACAATATGTGTGCATGTACTGTATGTATGTCTAATATTACTGATGTTGTATGTGTGAGGTAAATGTAAATTACTGTAGGCTAATGTATATTTACTTGTTGTTGTGTTGAGTTGTTGTGTTTGGTCTGTGTTTGAAAAAAAAAAAACTGCTATTGCTACACTGGTGGCTTGTTCACTAATTATCGAGTGGCTACAGAACATGCATAATTAATTTGCAGCAGATGTCATGTTTTGTGCTGATAGATAGATAAATCAGCAGCTCATCATCTGTACATATACTGTATTTGTGTTGACATCAGCATGAGCCGTACACTGTCTGACCTGTCACTCGGACGAACGGCCTCTGGATTACACTGTAATTGGGTTGCAGAGATACAGCCTCATGTCAAACACGTTTTGACTGTGGTAGTATAATGTCAGCTCTATTCACTTGAAGTAAAAGAGGATGGGATCCCTATTACCGGTAAACTCTTGTGCTGACTTTTCATAATATAAAGAAGTAGCACAATGAGGAGGGAATTGCTTACTCGCACTACAAGGTGCAATTTGTGTGATTGAACAGACACTACAAAAGGAATATATAATGTTGTTGTTGACAGCTATACAGAAAGCCACAATGCTCAGCAAGCAAGAATTTGAAAAATGCAAACAAAAGCTAAATCGTTTTATGCATTTTTACATAAATAGTTTCTTCAGCCCATCAGATAAAATGCATTGTTGCAATATGCGGGTGACTATCCTGTGCCAGTGCAGTGGTCAAACACAATTCTTCCACTATGGAGAATAAATAAACTTTTGTAGTATTTTTAATAGAGCTTTAAACTAAAACCAAAGTAGACAATACTGTCCAGCAGCATTCCAATATGCTTTAGAATGGTGCTTTAGTTTGCGTCAATTTTTCTTCATTGGAGGTGCGTTCCACTTGAGTTGGCCCCTCTTGAACACACAGTGGGATTTGAAAGCGATTGGGTCTGTGCTGCAGACCTTAAGAATTCCCAGTTTCAACAAAGATGTCTTGACAGTGGTGCTAAAAGACTACTCTATTTGTTGTTGTTTTATTGATCATACAACTTAACATTGTATCAATGTTATTGAGCTGAAAACATCAGAGGGAGCTAATCTTTACAATCTTGTCATATCTCGTTAAAAACTAAAATCGCGCATTAATGTCGTGAGAGTGGTTCAATCAGCTAATCTATCAGCAGGTGGTTCCCAAAATCACTTTTTCTGAAATAACAAAATCTGAAATAACTGAAATATAGAGTGTTGTCAGAATATAACTTAATAAACAACTTTTCTTTCTTTCTATTACGATTTAGACCCAACAAAAATGTATTGCCATTTTCGCCTTGGTCTGCTGCTTTGCCATTCTGTTGGCTTTGTTCTTCTCGTCCGTGGACATTTGGGGAGATAGTGAAGACGGGATCACAGAGGAAAACTGCAGCAAGAACTGCAGGTAAGAAAGTAATGTGTCACTTACATTCTTTGATCATAATTAGAAAGAAATGCCTACAGGCAGGTGATCCCATCAGATATCAGAAGGTAAGCAGAGCAGCTTAGTACTGTGCTGTCAGGCCCTCAGAAACACCAGGTGCCTGGGGGGGTCTGGTGTGTGTGTGTGTGTGTGTATGAATGATCGGTAGTGGTCAGATTGCCATTGGCGGACTGAGTGGGAAATATTCATGCCTCACAGGAAGGTTGTCGATCTGAATCAGATCACAGGGCTGAATCTGAATCCAGGAGTTCACACATTTCTCTCAATGTCTGTGAGTTTGCTCCGGGGTACTTCTTTTATTCTCCATTTTTGTTTTATTTTTAGATATATCACTTTACCATTGTCATTAGGTGAAATATATAAAGGAGAGTAAAGCTCAATACACACTGGGACACTTTCCAGTGCAGCAAAAGTGCTGCGTCCTTTAATTTCCATGAGGCATCACACACCAGGTGTGCATATGCACTTTTGCTGTGAATACCTCTCCTCTGTTGCACAGCGTGAGCAGAAGCACCAGAAGGCAGAGAAAGCTCCTCCTCGCCTACAGAGCAAAACTGTACTGCTAACTTACCTCACCTTTTTTTTTGTTAATTAACTTATTATTATTAAAAAATAATAATTATTATTATTATACATTTTATTTATTCTTTATTTTTTCTTCTATTTTATTTTTTAATACAATAATTTTTGAATTTAAGCAAAATGTAACTGGTAAATGTTACTACTAAAAGTGGACCAGCAGCACACACAACCTCATTGCGGTGGATGTGGTTTCCGAAAGGCACTGGTTTAGGGCAGTGCCTCACGGACTTCATCCCGTGCAGACTGCATTGATATATATTGTAGGAACCAGAATGTTAATATGGTAAGGAAACAACCCGTTTGTGTGAATGAGTGTGAATGGGGGTGAGGGTGGGAGGGTTTTGGGTTGGAGCACTAATTGTAAGTGTATCTTGTGTTTTTATGTTGATTTAATAAAATAAAAAAAAAAACTTACCTCAGCTACAATCAGCTCCTTTCCTATGCTCAGGCAGCCTCCTGTTTCAGACCTTCAAATTGAGTGTGTGTGTTGCCGCGTTTGATTGGCATTCGCTGTGCCGCTGCGCACCAGGCTTCTGCGTATGCAGAGCTTAAGGTCAAGGCTACAATAGCGCCCCCTTTTCTAGGGTTGCACAGGGCAGTTTGCCTACAGTCAGGGCTGTTCATCCCCGCTTACAGCTTCATATATTGTTATTATTGCTATAGCTTGAAACTGGCTTGCTTAAGAATGGATTAATGCAGTTACATTTATGCTAATTCAAAGTAAAGTAAAAACCAAGGGCTAAATGTAGTGACTCTATTACCTTTGTTAAATGCAGCATTGTTCTTGTGGAGAATATTCCCGAAGACCTCTTCCCCACCGATGCCAAGAGGGGCGTACCTCTGTCTGCAGGCTTCCACACACTGTTGGATCTGGCAAAATACTCAGTTGAGGTGGTGTCGCCTGTCTGGACCCTCACTTCATGGGACACGGAACCCACACCAGGTTCTGCAAAACAGGTGCAAACTGCTGTGCTTATCCTGAGCAATTTGTATGAACATCTAAGAAGATTAAAGCAATTTCAAAAGCTGTACTTTGATTTAATGTAATTACTTTAACTAAGATTGTATTGACCTATAGTCTCGTTTTAAAATTACAGTACATTCTTGAATACAGTAAAACAAGACACTGCTTTCTTCTCAGGGTCAGCTTTTGTTCCAGAGACTAATCGGACTAAAATCTCGAGGGGTTAAATTGAAAATTGCCAGCAGCCTGACGGATTCACATGAGCTCAAGACCTTGGCAGTACACGGTGAGTCATTTTTATGCATTTATTATTATGTGTTTTGATGCATTTGTGAAAATGTTGTCTGTATTTATTAAAAACAAAACAGGCCATTTCCGTCTTATGCAGATCGACATTACCTACTGTACATAACACTAACAAAAGCAAGCGTTCGTATGCTCATGTCACAATAGTTCCTCCCAAACCAAAAGAGATTATTTTTTGCTCTCATATCATATAATTTGGAATAAACTGGTCTGAAATAAAACCTGATTATACTAGCCTGGAGCATACCAATATGATTTTGTATATCTTGCAAAACATATCTTGGTACTGAAAACCCACTTGGTCTTGGACGGTCAATATGGGACAGCTGTAGCTCTTTAGCAAACTTGTGTTGTGTCGCAGGTGCTGAGGTGACTTTTGTCAATATGTCAGTCTTCACCAAAGGGGGCCTGCATTCTTCGTTTTGGATAGTGGATCGTGAGCACCTGTATATTGGAAGTGGTGAGATGGACTGGAGGTCATTTTCTAAAGTAAGTAACATGCAGTTGTTTAAAACTTAAAGATGTAATTATAGAAAAGGATTTTGCAATGGACTGTTCTTTGTGATCTTGGCTTTAATTTAAGAGACAAATGTAATTAAGTGACATCCTTTGCACATCTACAGGGACTGCTGATCCGCACAAAGCCAGAATAGACTCTATTACTTTAGCGCACACCTGTGAAGTTCCTCCTGATGCATAAAAGGATGATTTAGAGATATGTAGAGATACGCCTCTACACAAGAGGCATTTCATTAACTAATCCAGTCACATTAATTGTGGACATCTAGATTTGTTCCAATGCTATATACTGCAATACTGTGTGCAACTTAGCTATCCTGAAAATAATAAAGAAGCAAAAAGCAGCTCTTACAATAATAAGTTACATTTTGATCGGCTAGGCTAGAGGTTTTGATAGTAGCTATTTTTACAACTCACTTTGGCTCGGTATATAATGTGCTTATAGTCTGTCCCAGGGCAGCTCTGGTTGCAGAAGGAGCTTAGCATCACCTGATGTACAGAGTATAAATCAGGACGTCTGTATAGCATCGTTCAAAGGATTGTCAAACTTGTAAGGTGCTATTAATATCGTCTTACATGAGCAAAAATAAATAGGCTCTCACATGGATATTTATAGAAACCTTTCTTTACTATCTTTTTGGAGTGTGCTGAGTTGATTCACTGATTAAGCTAAATCACTTTTTCCCCACACTCTCATCAGTCAACCATGTAACTTAGTTGCTTGATCAGCTGTTTTCTGTCCCTAAACAGAGGAAAGAGCTGGGCCTGATGCTCTATAACTGCAGCTGTCTGGCACTAGACCTACACAGAGTCTTCTCCTTTTACTGGCAGCTCCATGAGCGGGACTACATCCCCACCATCTGGTCCAGACGAGTCTCAGCCCTCTATAAAAGACACGAGCCACTGGAGCTACAAGTCAATGAAACTGAAGCCACAACTTATGTTTCTGTGAGCAACGGCCCAATTAAATCATTTACTGCATACGCTAACAGAGCGGGTAGAAAAATTGCCACAATTACACAATGCTGCACTGACAAATATAACATGAGAGAAAGTTGGGCCACAGCTACTTCGAACTTAACTATCACTACTTCCACTGCATGTTGTACTTCCAAAATAGCAACCTACCACTGTCAGGTCATTATACATAATTACATCTCAATCATGCTTTAGTTAAGAGATTTTTTATCACTATATTTTGATAATACACATTGAGAGCAAACATCCACAGTCATTTCATAGTGAAGCTATGCTGTTGCAAGCTGCCTATGGTAAAACCTAATTTTAATCCTAATATTAAGCCACATATGAAACAAAACACATTTTCTCGCACATGCATGTCAAAACATTTCTATTTCGTGGTTGGTAAATAATCGCAAAAAGTGCAATGTGGGATGATGAAAGTGTTTGATATTATGCAAATCCACAGGCTGGCCGCAGAAAATGATGGATTCAGTCTTGTCTTTATGATGTATTCCTCATGCAGACCTCTCCTGAACTCTTCTGCTCTAAAGATCGAACCAAAGACATAGACGCCATATATCAAGTCATCCACAGTGCCAAAACATTCATCCTCATCTCAGTGACCGATTACCTCCCTTTGGTGGACAGAAAACTCAGAGGAAGCACGGTTACCAGGTATGTCTTAATCAATAACAATACAATTATCTTACTTACTGTTATTCTTACTTAAAATACAATGCACATGATATCCACAATATGTATGTCTACTTTCAAGCCGATTATCAAATCAGAGAGCAGAAAGTGTGTCTCATTTGGGTTGCAAGTTTGTTAGGTCAAATGTTATTGGTCTTGGCTCTGTCTTTTTCATTCACAAACAAAAAAATAGCCCCTCACATTTTATGAAAGCATATAGAAAAATAAATAATCATATGCAATACTCAGAGTGTGCACAGTTTCTTGCTAAACCCAGCAGGTAGATGTTATCCGTAATCAGGGCTTAGAAACTATATGTGTGTCATAGAAAGCATGTTACATATCGTATGGCCCCTTTAATAAGGGTTGGAAAAGCTGTAATAACTGTTGTATGTGTTCTTAATTAAATCTTTCCCTTCAGGTACTGGTCAATTATCGATGAAGTCATCAGAGAAGCTGTGGTGCTGAGAGGAGTCAAAGTCCGCATGCTTATTACGTACTGGAAAGAAACTCATCCTCTCACCTTTAACTTTGTTTCATCTCTCAAGTCGCTTTGTTTGCAACTGCACAACTGCTCCCTGGAAGTGGTACAGAAATCACACAATTAGGCACTAACTGGTCAAGAAAAAAGAGCATTAACAGATGTTGTGTTTTGCAGAGATTCTTTAGTCAAAAGGAGAAAAAGGGAGATTTCCAGGACCCACTCAATCACAATAAATATGTGCTGACTGATAATTCTTTATACATGGGTAAGCTATGAGTTCAAAATCAATTTGCTGAGTTCATTAATTACGTTAATTGTGGTGTTTCATAGGTAACCATGACTTGGTCGGTAGTGACTTTGCCATCAACGCAGGAGTGGGACTTGTAATCATGATGCAGAATAATCTCAAAAACAGAAGAAAGACGATTCTTGGCCAAGTTCGGGCCGTTTTTGATAGAGACTGGAGGTCCCACTATTCCAAGAGCCAACAAGGAAGTAATAATCACAACAAATACAGAGAGGCAGACTCTAAACTCAAGGAGCATGAAAATGATTCAAAACACCTCTTATGAGAATGCACTAATAAGACACTGGTTATATACACAATCATAATCAACAGTGTTCTTTCATTCCAGCAATATTATTATGGAATAGTGAAAAAGCATGCACTAAAGCACGAATACAATCATGTTATATTTATATATTCAAAGTCTGAAACGAAATTAACAAGTTTCTATATGTGCCTAATATAATCTTTAATTGTTTACTGTTTTCTAATTATTGTTAGATAAGAACCTTTCAGCATTTACCTTTTGGGAATGATATAGGCCACATAGAAAGTGTTTTTTTTTTTGTCTTTGATTCTTTTTTTTTTCTTTTTTTAAAGATTGCTGTGGTTACATGAAGGTTATAATTGAAAATACTATCCAATAACATTGACAAATATAAAAGCTTGTTTTTAAATTCTATTTTGGATGTTTATTAATACATTATCTAATATAAAAAATGATGTTTATTTGTGAGCGAGTTGCGACTCAACAATCCTGACTCCTCCCGTTTACAATGTTGTTCTTTTTGTTGTCTAAAATAAAAATTTAGACCAAATAAATGTGTCCTTGTCAATACTGTGAGCACATTTCATCTTCACACAACTGACAGGCCGACATTAGGTCTGCAATATGTAACCATATTTCCTTTACAATGTTCCTGAAATGTTTTTAGTGTTTCTATTTATATATGTAGAACTTAGAGGTTAAAGGAACTTAGAAAACCTGATGTATATTGTTTGCAAAGTAACTGAAAATTTTATATATATGGAATTTAGAAATTTGTGTTTAAAGGATTCAAGATTTAAAAATAATTGAGTAGTAATGTAAAGTACTGATATCGCTACTAGTACTACTAGTACTTACCACTAGTACAATTTGGAATCATGCAAGTTATTCAGTATTGTTTTTCAGATCACGTAATGGTAATGCCCTTAACACTGTAAACAAACATATCTGTGGTAGTACCACAAGATGGCGACACATGTTGAATATTCAGAATCTTTTTTGAATAATTATTAAAAATGTTGTGCTTACCAACAAGTCATCCATATAGACTTGATTTCCTCATCCCGAGAATGAGAGGCTGGTGTATCGATGGACCAAAGACAGAGTTTGACCATAGACTGGGCAGGTAGACGAGGGGACTTAAAATCTTGGTATTTCTCCCCGCTGTAAGCTAGCTTTTACTTAATTAAACATAGCTATAGTTTACCAAAGTCTTAGCGTAATTACATTGTGTATATTACTTACAACGTTTGATTAATAATGGATACACAGTTTGAATATTTCCCTCTATTTGGGGCGAAATACCAAGTTTTTAGCATCCACGGTCCCAGGCCACACACTCGCCTCTTGGTCCGGGGGGCGGGGCTAGTGTAGTCATAGTTACAGATTAAAAATATATTGTATTATTTCAGACCGGACACGCCAGCGATAACCTTTCTATGGCTGTAGTGCACAATCACCAGCTTGTGTTGATGGCGCTGACGTGTGTGCGTTTTGAGGATAGGTAACAACTGTGGGAATTCAGCAGCGGCGGAGGGCGAAGACCCCAGACTGCCCCAGACTGATGCCTCTGCAGACGGAGGAGGATGGAGCGGCCGCACTGGACACAGCACTGTTTTCCATCTAACTTCAATATTCCACGTGAAAGCTGAAAAACTTCACATTTCAACTTTCAGATGACAAACGAGTGGACCAAAGAAACATTTTGAATTTGCCTTTGAAGCGTATGGCACAGGAGGCTGGTTTCATCCTGGATTAACTGAGGATGTGTACTCGGTGGAATACTTATTTAGTGTAGGATTCTTTCTTTGTGATCATCCTTTATCACTTGCAACCATGGATAGCGGAGTGTTTCTATCCCACCTTAGTCAGTTTATGATGAGCCCACTTGTCACTTGGGTAAGTTCAATGCAGGCGAGGAGTATGCTGCAACATGTTTCCTAACTACAGAATATGTTCTCACTCCTATTGATTTCTTTTAGGTTAAGACATTTATGCCTGAGGATCAAACTATGCTCTTTGATTTCTCCTTTCTGTTGGATGGAGTGTTTCTTAATGACATCATGAGTCAAATGTAAGTAATAAATACATTTAAAAACACACACAATAGCCAGTTTTAAGCAAGTAACCTTTAAAAATTATATTATATTACTGTATAAAACATTACTGACTTTGAAACATAACTGTATGTGTCACACACACATTCATAGCGTTTGAATGGTATTGGACAATTTGCATTTAACAAAACAAAGAAAAATGTGCAATTTAATTATGCCTGACTGTAAGTTGATTTACTTTAATTGTAACTGGTGAGGTGATATATATATATATATATATATATATATATATATATATATATATATATATATATATATATGAATATTATTTCTATCTTTCAGTTAAAACTGAGTTACTAGATGCTTTTGCAGTAAGTTACTCCCAACACCACATCAGCCTAAAGGTTTCAGTTAGAAACATGTTCAATAATGTATAAGTAAATTACTTAAAGAGATATAATTACTCATTACCGATGTAGGAAAGGACTGTGAAAACATTGGGCAAATCAAGGGGGCATCATACAGGCTGTCAAGGGGCTACTTAGAGGATTATGATTTGGGGCCCCTCATGTTCTTAACGAATTAACCTCCAACATGACAGACAGTGCAGTCCGCTCCCTGACAGTCTGCCCATCAGTGAGGTCGCAGTGAGTTCAAAGACAAAGTAACCCACGCCTTTTAAACATGTACAAACATTATACATTTAAAAAAAACTCAGGCCAAAATATTTTACCTGGGCACAGTATTTTTTCTGATGTACTTTTTTATATACTGAAACTACAAAGGTAGCTCTAACAACTCAGTCTAAATGGTCTTTAACAATGTACCGAATGGAAGAAGCGGGATAATCTGATGGATTGTGAGACCCTCTGGGATTACGGTCTGTTTAGTGGGGCAGCGGTGCAGATGGGGGGTGGCAGGGACAAACTGAAGCTAAATCACTGAATGACTGCCTTCAAACGTGTTACAATAATAAAAATGATATGAAACGTTGGTTTTGAATAGCGCTTTTCACGGGAACTCAGAGACGTCTAAATAAAATAATCAATATTGTAATTTCTTTGTTATTTTTTAACAATTTCAAATGTAGGATTTCCATCAAAGTTCAATCAGTACTTCTCAGTGTTGTTGCTAACTCTACTCACTTTGTTTACATTGGGGGTCAGTGGAGATTTTTTAACCTTGAAAATGTATTTTCTTATCACAGAAGCGCTTCAATGACACCTCAAGAGCTGACTAAAGTGAACAGGATCCATAACTTAAGTCTCGTTGTTCAGCAGATAAAGACATATTACCAGGTGAAGTGTTTGCTGTTGTTTGTATTAAACGATATCATGTTTTTCTAATATGTTTACATACACCCAGTGAATCATACTGTAGCAGTATTATGTGATCACTGTGAGTCACTGCACATTAATCAGTAGTTGGTGATTTCATGGATTATGTAGTTCTCCTTAAGACATGTGTCCTAAATATTAACGGTGTAAACATCTGCGTGATATAGTGACGTCCAAGTTTGAGCTTGTCGCGTCTACATTAGTTCAGGTTATTTTTATGATTCAGCAATGACCTAATGGCATTCATTCAAATGTTGCTTATATAATCTGCAACTTCAGTTTGTCTGTTTGTATTTGAACACCATCTTGTATCCCGCAGGATCATCTTAAGCAGTTAATCATGACCCCTCTGCCAAATGTATTGCTGCTTTATAAGACTCCATATTGTGGTATGTTACTCCTCATCTGAACATATGAACATGTGCTCTATTCCAAATTTAACAACCTCTGCTTTTCACAGAGCAAGCTCTGGAAGAAATGAAAAAGCTTTTGCTTCTCCTATTAGGGTGTGCTGTCCAGGTAAACAGAGCGATTTGACACAGTTAGACTATAAACTGCACTGTTTGAAGTAATTCTATGTGTTTTAGTGTGAACACAAAGAGGACTATATTGAAAGGATCCAAACACTTGAGTTCGACACAAAAGCAGCTATTGCCACTCACATCCAAGAGGTATCTACAGTATTTTCACTAATACGTTTGTTTTGCATAGAGCACTAAAATGTGGGTTTTCAGTTGACTCACAGCCAGGAGAATGTTTTGGATCTGCACTGGCTACAGGTCAGAGAGGGACAACCAGATGAACTTGAGGTTATAGCCCAGAGGATGGCCTTACACATCCGCAGCCTCTTGGATCAAAGAGACACCTATTTGGAGGTATTTATATAATGACTAGAGAGTCACCACTTGTTTTCTCGTAATTTATTTGTCTGCTTGTTTTTGTTTTGAGCAGACAATCTCCGAACTATTGCAAGATTGGGACAGTAACGGTCCACAGTCCACTATCGCGCAGCAGAAGAGAGGTGCTCAGCAGCACTTGTCAGTGGAGCTGGCAGACTCCAAAGCCAAGATCAGAAGACTCAAACATGAGCTGTACGTAACCTGCACAGGAAAAAAAACCTTAGTTAGGGTTGAGATCATTGCCAGTCATTATTAATGACAATGCCATATGTTTTGTGAATATTTCCAAAGAGCTAAGATAACTACAAATGCATTTTCTTTTCATTTGAGCATTATCAAAGTTATATTGAAATACCAACAGCCAGTGAGTGAAAGGCAAGGAGACTCTCGGACAAGAGTTGGCCTGAGGGAGATTGGCCCACATTACTGCATGCCTGGCAACTTCCATAACAGAGCTCTTCCACTGACCCATATTAGCACTGCATTTCCACAGATACTGCACTGCCACAAAACACTAATCCTGTCCAATCCTCTTTCTTCTGTGTGTGTAAATAATGTGTCTCTTCTCCATTTTATTCTATGGCCAAATTTAGACAACAATTGTACAAAACATTCTCAAGCGTAGATCTCACACATTGTGTGTTGCTCACAGAGAAGAAAAAAGTGAGCAGATGATGGACTGCAGACATGAACTTGAGAACATGGTGACTGAGTTGAAGAGAATCCAGCAGGAGGTGAGGGGTTGGGCACTTTTAAACACTAAGGCTGTGGACAATAATTTAAACGTGAAGTTTTTGATCAAATGTTCTGCTTTTGTTTATGTTCATCAGAACTCCCTCCTGATTGTCGATGCCCGTACAGCTCGGACGTACCGTGATGAACTCGACTCCATGAGAGAGCGAGCCATAAGAGCAGACAAGCTTGAAAGTGAAGTTAGTCGTTATAGGGAGCAACTGCACAAGATGGACTTTTACAAGGCTAAAGTGGAGGTCAGACCGGAAGCTTTTTTCTAGTCGAAGAATGCAAAATAAGTAGACAAAGTCTTTCTTTACAGGAGCTCAAAGATGACAACAGGGTGTTACAAGAGACCAAAGAGGTCTTGGAAGACCAGCTGGAGGGTTTGAGGTCACGCTCTGATACGATCCATCAACTTGAGAAGCAGTGTTTGCTGTTGAAAGCTCAGGTTCATGACTTGGAGCAGGTTAATCCGATATACACAGTCTTTTTGCTCTTGCATTTTTTATTGTTGTAGTTTAATGAAGAATGTTGCTCCAGGATAAACAGTTTGATCAAAAACGTATCGAAGACCTGCAGGAAGAGAACCTTGGTCTGTACATGGCCCAGAGGAGGAGTATGGAGGAGTCGCAACACCTGGGTTGGGAGTTGGAACAACTCTCTAAGACCACAGAGAACTGCCAGGGTGAGGGTTTGTAAAAGAGGGAACACAAATTATGTAAGAATGCTAATGCATGCATTCTTTCTTTTGTCTACTCGTCCTTTACATTGAAAAAGAGGCTTTGTCCCAAAATTGGGTCACTTTGATTGCTATGCTAGCCTTGTGAAAAATTTGAGCTGATAAAATACATGAATCATATAAAGTGAAGTTCATGCAGTTCCAGTTTTAAAATGTGGTCCAATGTGATTTCAGGTTCATTAAGTCTGGGTGAGGAAGTGAGTGAAAATGCCCATAGCCGGATGCTAAAACTCGAGAAAGAGAACCAAAGTCTGTTGAGAACCATTGAAGAACTGAAAGGTGTTTCCCAGGGCACAGATGTACCCAACGGATTAATATTGACAAACATGCCTTCAGTAAACAACATGAGTAGTTCAGCAGGAGAAGTGTGGAATAGAGACACAGACTGCCCTCAGGTTCAACCTGTCCAAACTAAGATTTTCTTTACAGAGGGGACAGATTTTCTTTTACAGGAGAAGGGACTGATGGGAAATGGAGTTAGTGGTGTGCATTCAGAAGAACTAGAGGTGCATGAAAACCAGCACAATCAGCTGCTTTGTTGTGTTGAGCCAGAGTGCATTCACATGTCTGGCTCTAAGAACTCAAGCCTGAGCCACGCCAGCATCTCCACAGCTCCAACTCACTCCTCCTTTGCCAAAAAGCACACTCAGCGACTCGAGGCCAAATGCAGGAATTTGGACATACTCAACCAGCATCTACAGACTGCATTAGACAACACTGGTGAGTCTGAAACCTTAACTACTGTCGGTTATCGTGAACACGGCACGATCTGTACTGTTTTATTTAGATCGCAAAGTTCAGCGTCTAGAGGCAGAGGTTGAAGAACTGGAGACAGAAAATCAAACTTTGCAAGCAACTTTGGAAGAACTACGCTTATCTTTACGAAGACTCGATCAGCTCGAAACAGAGAAGTCTAATCTTGAGCAAGAAAATACTGTTCTTGAGAGAGAACGAAGACAACTCGAAAAAGACAACAGACGACTACGACAACAGGTGAGAAACCATCATTTGAAAACAGATTAAGTAATAGATATCTTGATTCAATAGATGCATTCCCTGCTTTTCAGGTTGAAATCCAAGACGCTAATTTAGACCGCAGTAACGTTTGTATAGCCAGTCTAGAAAAGGAAACACGTTATCTTGTCAAGGAGGTGGAGAATTTAAAGGAGACTGCAGATAGAGTGAAATCCACAGAGAAAGACAACAGAGAACTGAGCAAGCAAAACGCCATTGACCAGAGAACTCTGGCGACTCTCCGAGAGGTTAGAAGCTACCATGTGTGGCTGATTTTATAGACATTGTGCTGTCTTTTTCTATAGAAGTGCAGAGTAATGAGAGTCCTATTTGTGTGTTTGTCCTAGGAACTGGTCAGTGAGAAGCTCAGGAATCAGCAAAAGGACACTGATTTGGAAAAGTTGACCCATATGCTGGAGATGAAAGATTTGCCAAAGGAACAATCTGACACAAAGTATTTTACAGCTAAAGTGCAGGAGCATGTTTTAAAAAAAAAAGTCATAAACTAAATTGTCTGTATCTTTTTTTTAGTAGGATTAATATCCTCGAGTCTGAGTTTGGGGAATCTCTAAAGAAGTCTATTCAGATTAAAGAAGAAAAGATAGAAGCTCTGGAAGCTCGATTACAGGAATCGTCAACGCTTAATCTGCAGCTCCGCCAGGAACTCAAAACTGTGTGTGCATGTTCATTAAGCGAGGCACACAAACCTGTGATAGTTCTTTATTTGTTTTGAATTTCTTGTTTTAGGTAAAGCTAAGCTATGAGGCTTTGCAACAGAGGCTGGATGAAGAGTCCACACTGAGCTCCTCACCCCCAAAGGAAACAGGCAAAGCAATGAACGAATGGCTCCGTGAAAGTCATGAGGCAACAAAGGAGCTACTCAAACTTAAGGACCGACTGATAAACGTGGAGAGGAATGTAAGTGAGAAATGTATCTGTTCTATTCTGACTTTGACGATCCTTCCTTTGTTTTGAAAGTTGTAAAAATCAGATATGAGATTGAATCTAAATTTGAATCAGAAAAGGCTGAATCGAAGCAGCTGGTGGGCGTTTCTAGATTAAATTTCAAGACAAAACTGTTGAATCATTAAATTAATATGACTTGCAGCTGTAATTGCAGCAAAAGGTGGCACTACAAAGGATTAGCGCAAAGGGGCCGAATAATAGTGCACGCCCCACTTTTCAGTTTTTTATTTGTAAAAAAAAGTTTAAATTATCCAATACATTTTGTTCCACTTCACGATTGTGTCCCACTTGTTGATGATTCTTGACAACAAATGTAATTTTTATATCTTTATGTTTGAAGCCTGAAATGTGGCAAAATGTTGAAACGTTCAAGGGAGGCGAATACTTCACGTTCCCTTCATAATTCCCTTCACTGCACGTTAAAGAAATGCCTAGTGAGTGTTTCTGGGCCTCACGAGACATAAAGTATCTTTCACTGATTCATCTTTTTATTTCCTATCATTTAGAATGCGACTCTGGAAGCCGAGCGCCAGGGTATGCACGCTCATGTGAAGCAGCTGGACAGTCAGACGAACAGTCAGCAAGCACAAATCCTCGCTCTTCAAAGACAAGCTGCAGTCTTACAAGAGAACAACACGTCTCTACAAACACACAATGCTAATCTGCAGGTACTTTATATTTCAGTTTACAGCTTGTGTACATTTGGGAGTTTTGAGACGGCTGCGGACAGGGTCATAAATATTGGACAATATTGATTCTCCATTGTTTTTGTCTCCGTACACCACCACAATGGATTCGGAGTGAAACAAATTGATGAAAGAGTATTCAGTGGGCCGGCAAATTAGGGCAGGTGTAAGTTTCTTAAAATCATAAAGTGTAAGGCAAGGCAAGCTTATTTGTATCGCACAATTCATACACAAGGCAACTCAAAGTGCTGAACAAACAAAGAAAAACTGTGTTCCTCAGCTGACACCTCGGTCCTTGTTCTACATTTATGGAATATATTAACATTTATGGACACTGGTCATCTGCCCCTTATGGACCAATGACTTTATGTGTTATTTTATCTTTGCATTTCTTGATTCTCTGATCTGTGTCGGCGAGTCAAAGGTTTTGTGTAGTCCTACGAGATAACTACTAGGGCTGCACAATATATGGAAAAAGTATTGTTATTGCGTTATTGATGCGTGCGATATTCATATCAAAAAGATGCGCGATTATTTTATTCCATTTTTTTTCCCTTTATTAGAGACAGCACAACAGACAGACACATCAAGATTCAACAAGAACAACAAACAAACAAACAAAAAAGTATATAAATATATGCTTTGAATGTCATTAATGCTGTGCTTATTTTTGTTTTTTGTCTCTTGCGTTTCAATGCAGATTGCAATTTTAGGTGAAAGAAAAATATATCGCAATAATATAATTATTGCGATACTAAACACTCATATCGAATATCGCTCTAATTTCCAATTTTGTGCAGCCCTAATAACTTCTGTTGTGATTTAGGGCTATGCAAAAATAAATTGAATTTATTAGACTCACTAAACCGAGTTTTTAAGGTAGTCAATTACTCTTCTGGCCATCCTGGAAAAGCCATGTTCAAGCTTCTCACCTCTGGTAAAAGATGTCGTTCGCTGAGATGCAGGACATCTCGTTTTGATGACATTTCCTAAAGCTGTTATCAGTTTAAACAAAGCACTTTAAAGATCTCGCACTTGTATTGAAACTGTTTTAGTTGATCGATCTCACAGTGTCAATCATTTCCAGAACTTTTGATTCCTGTACTTTTAACCTTGCTTTATCTATGTACTTGCCTTGTGCACTCAAGGGACTTTTGCACATGTATTCCAATGTGGTTTTACTGCAAATGGCAAATTAAATGAATCTGAATCTGATCTGAAATGTCTTGAATATGGACCTGACTCACTGGCTAACTTGTTACAGGTGGAGCAGTCTACCTTGACCTCCCAGCGTGCCTCTGTGCTGGCCCAGAATGCTCAACTGCAACAACAGCAGACGCGGACAGAGAGCGAGCGCGACACCGCCGTACACGAACGCGAGGAACTGCGCTCAGTCCACGAGCAGCTGTTACGAGACCACGAGAGACTGGCGGCCCTGCACGAGAGACAGGCCATGGAGTATGAGGCTCTGATGGGAAAGCATAGATGTGTGAAAAAGGCACACCGCACACTAGAACTGGAAACGCGCTCGCTGCAGGATAGGTGAGGTCATCACTTTTGAAATATGTTACAGCAAACAAAAATCACAACTTTAAATCATTTCAATACATTGCAAAAAATGATAAAATATGAGGTAATAATTGCTTGAAGCGGGTGGTTTTTTGGGGCGACAGTGGCTCAGTTGGTAGAGCATTGGCCTGTAAAGTGTGTCAGTGTGCCCCGGGGCAGTTGTGGCTACAGTAGTAGTTTATCACCACCGTGTATGGAGTGAATGAATAATGACAAGTGAAGCGTCTTTGAGTGTTCAATAAAGAGCTACATAAAACTGATGCATTATTTATCTTAAAGGAGCAATATGTAATATTTGCATGTCAAGTCATCATTAAATGACCCGAATATTTCAAAAGGCGTTATTAAATCATACTCTTTTCGAATTCATCTTTAACTGATAACAGTAGTTCAGCCGAGATATTTGATTATCAAAATTAGTCTTACGACCCGTAAAAGTTGTTATTGTTTTGATTTTGATGTCCTCCGCCGTTTCGCCAATCAGGAAGTGTCATGTAAGTCCGTGATCGGGTTGCCAGAACTCCGCGCGGCTCATTAATCTCAGTGGTAAAATAACATGTGGCGCAGAACTAAAGGTCTTGTTATGACTCTCAACTCATTAATGACAAAACAAAGACTAAAACGAGGATTTATATCGGGATGCCTTTGAACAATTGAGACAGCTGATAAAAGTTCACGTGTGATGCAGAATTTTCTAGTTTGACTCCGTTCTTCACAGTGTCTCCATTCGTGAGAATCGGTGGCCTAGTGGTCTAAACTGTGCGCTTACGATGCAGGAACCCGGGTTCGATCCCGGGCTATGTCTTTTTGTATTTATTGCATGTTATCACATTCTATGACAGATTGCTCTAAAAACGGTAAAAGATGAAGGTCAAGACGTTTTTTTGCAGATTATAGCTTAATTGTAAAAATAATCATTTAAGACCACATGTACCCCAATTAAAATAATGTTAGTCTCTTTTTGATGTGGATCCATGTCCATCCACATGTTTGTCTAAAAAATAGGGAATAAATAAAATTGAAAGGTAAGTAAGTAATGTTTATTTATATACCGCCTTTCACAGACAAGGGTCACAAAGCGGTTTTACAATTGTTATTATTATAATTTTTTTTTTTTTTTTTTTTTTTTTTTTTTTGGGCACTTGTCCTCTCACTCCAGACAGAGATGGGAGCGGGGTCGCCGAACAGGAGGCGCATGCCAGAACTATTGTACATATTTTTAGTGGTAGGGGAAACCGGAGTACCCGGAGGAAACCTACGCAGACACGGGGAGAACATGCAAACTCCACTCAGAAAGGCCCTGGTCCGACCGGGATTTGAACCCAGGACCTTCTTGCTGAGAGGCGAGAGTGCTATCCACTCAGCCACCGTGCCGCCGAAAGGTGATATCCTCTTGAGCAAACCCTGATGTTGATACGCTGAAGAAATACGTTCCAACATCCATTCTTTCCACTCCTATTTTGGACATCCATCCATCCATCCATTTTCTACCCTTTAATCCATTTCTGGGTCAGGGGGGTGGCAATCAGAGATGCCACCCAAGTCTCATAGCACCAGCCCCTCACTGACCCTCTGCAGGTGGTGAGTCCACAGGAGGACGGCTGCTCTCTGACTGTGAGCATAGCCTTGATCTTTCAGTGGGGGCTTTTTGGGCAAAGTGGGGTTGAGTGTCTTGCCCAAGGACACAACGACAGCAGTCATCAGTGGGAGTCGGTGGAGAAGGTGCAGAGGTGGGAAATGAACCCACGACCTTCTGGCCTTAAGGCCAATGCTCTACCAACTGAGCCACTGTCGCCCCTTTTGGACATCAATTGCTTATTTATTTTGCATAAACTATGTATAATTACATTGCTTTTATTTTGTTTTTGTTTTTTATCTCAAATGTCCAAATTATAATAATAAAAAAACATTAATCAAAACATTCATTCAGCATTAGCACGGCTGTCATGGCAATGTGAATGGAGACGGACGAACAACTGATAAAATAATTCCCTGTGTTTGCTGCTGGATTTGGTGTGAATCTGGCAACCTGGGTCAGGGAGAGTGGGAGAGGACTACAACATATTGACTGTGACTGCAGTACCACTTTTGGCCAGATTTTTACATATTGTTCCTTTAATTTGAGTTCATTTTGACAAGATTTTCCAATAAGAAAAGCCATTTATTGCTACTTATTTCAAGAACTGTTGCTTTATTTTTTCATTCCAAGGGAGATATTTCTTGTATCTTTTCAAAACAAGATAATTTTGCTTTGTCCCATTGGCAAATCTTGTTTTAAGGCAGGTAAAATGTGCTCAAATTAAGATACATTCAGCCAAACTTGAGCAATTTGTGACTTATTTTTAATCACTTTTGCAGTGTAGGGGTGTGTTCATTAACATGCACTGTCCCAACCAAATAAACAATACATTATTTCATTAAAACTGTATCAATTATGGCCTCTCTTTAGGTACCACGCATTAGTACTGCAGCGGAGTAAACTGGAAGACCTTGAGAAAACCCTGAAGGAAGAACAAGTAAAGGTGGCAATGGAAAAAGAACAGCTCAAAACAACAGCTGCTGAATGCTGCAGGCTCCGAGATGAGAAAGACTGGTGAGGAATACAGACACATACAGACTTTAACATCGCTTTAATATAATTCAGAAACTCACTCTGAAACTCACTCTTATTTTCCCAAAGGCTTAACCAAAACTACCGCCAACTTCTCAATGACAATGAGGTGCTAACTTGTGATCATAAAGAAGTGAAAAGTCAGCTGAATGAGGCCAAACTTGAGAACACATGGCTGCAAGCTGACTTCTCGAAACTAAAAAAGGAATTTCAAGAACTAGACATTTCCTCCACTAAACTGAGCAATCAGTGTGAGGTATAAGACCGCAGGGAGGCACCAAACACTGCTTATCTGATGCCTATAGAATAAAGTTTGTTTCATTATTGTGTTATAGTTACTGGGCCAGCTCAAAGGCAACTTGGAGGAAGAGAACCGACACCTTCTCAACCAGATCGAGACACTTATGTTGCAAAACAGAACCTTGTTGGAGCAGACCATGGAAAACAAAGACCTGTTTCATGTTGAGGAGAGACACTACATGTATGTTAAATTACCTTGTTTTTATTTCATTTCATTTACGATTTACTTTGTTAAAATATTTAATTTTCTTTCTCACTTCAGTGATAAGTTAAATGATCTAAGGAGGCAAAAAGAAAAGCTTGAGGAAAAAATAATGGACCAGTACAAATTTTATGAACCATCACCTCCTCGAAGGTAAGATACTAATTAATAGTCATTAGCTATTTACAGTATAAGGACTTTGTGGTTGTTAAACTTATTATGGGGTTAGCTGAATGTAGAATGTGTGTGTGTGTGTGTGTGTGTGTATATATAGTTCTTGGTTTGGCCTGTCTTTTTAAGGTTATGGTTAAGGATAACTTAGTACAATATTTTACAGGCGTGGAAATTGGATAACTCTTAAACTGAAGAAACTCATCAAATCTAATAGTCGTGAGAGTGGCTCTGAACAACCGCCTTCACCAACTCCTGGGACAGACCCCCAGCTGCTTTGTCATAACAACAGCTCCTTCATCGAGTATGATGCGGGGGCTTCACCTGCAGGTCGCATGACGCCACCGCGCTACAGCAGCAGTGAGTAGGAACGCTCAGGCTCTAATGCCCTTGTAGAAACTCAACAAAGGGCTGCTTTGATTTAAAGTAGTTATAATAATAATACATCTTTATTTGTATTGCACGTTTCAAAAAGAGTGTTGACAAAGCGCTGCGCAGTCAGTATAAAACAATAAACACATAACAGTCATAATAATATAGCATATCGAAAAGAAGCACAGGATATTAAAGTTATCAGACAACAAGAAAGACAAAACAAATGCATTGTGGAAACGTTGAATACATTTAGACTTTAAAGACACACAGTTATGGGAAGGCTATTCCATAAAAGTGTTTTTTAAGAAGTGATTTAAAAGAGGTTACTGATGTGCTAGCCTTATCTGCTAATAGAGCCATTTTGAGCACAAATACTCAAGTCAGACAGAGCTATGCAGGCTAGCCAAATCTGCATCTGAACGACACATTACACAATCTTTGCTAAAATTATGCCCTACAACAATATCATTATAAATCTTGAATAACTCATATGCAATTAGACTAGTGCTTGGTTTGGTGATGTGCATTACTCTATTTAGAATTCATATATAGAATTGTCTTTTGCCCTGTCCTCTCTTCTCCCTCCATCTGTGACCACATCTCATCTTCTTACTTTGAAATAGCCTCGCTCAAAAGGTTTTGCATGAAGAAGAAACGTAAGGACAAAGACAAGTCGATCTTTCGTCGTTCCATGTGTAAGGAATCCCGTTCGCTTCATATTCACTTACTGCTGACTGTTTAACTCACAGCTCTACCCATTTTAACTGTAGTGAATTAGGTCATTTTTAGTCATGAGTTTTCTAGACTAAATCACTGTAATATCATCGCAACGTCCTAATGCTCAAGAGTATATTTTAGAAGCACTATTTTTTTGTGAAACAGTTGAGATTATATAGATAGCTTCATTACATTGCCCAAAGAAAATTGTTAAGGCAAATGTTATGTGAGCTTTTGCCTTTCCCAAAGTACAGTAATTATTATGATAACGTCTTTTTACCCCCATGCTAACTAAATATTCCTTGATCCTGCAATGTAGCGTTGAGTAGTTTAGTGCACCCCTCGGCTGTGCTCAGAGAAGAGAGGTGGGCAGGCAGCACACGGATGCTCGACAGGTCAGATACAGAAATAAACGCGGAGGACGCAATGACATCATCTTTTACCACCTCCATCATGTCCATCTTCAACCATCATCCAACCAAAACAGAATCCTCTCATCCGTCCATTCACCACCCTGAGACTGCCCTTGATGTGTGTGACCTATGGGTAACAGGTAGAATACATGTTTATTTTTATTTTTTTCATTTTCAGATTCAAGTTGTTTTTTGTTATTTTGATGCAATGGAGTCATGTGGGAAGTATTTTCATAACATTTAATAATCATATGTCCGTCTTATTCTAACACGCAGATAAGGATTCAAATGATAGAGCTGTGCCATCTGGAGTGGAAGATAACGACGAGCTTCAAAACCATGGTAATTCTCTGAGGATTTTCATTCAGAGGATTCCGGCATCATACAGATGTATTACCAGTCCAGGAATTAGACTAAATCCATCAAATTGCAATCATGACCTTGTTTTGTATTAATCTCTATTGCTGACCACACAAGCTAAAGTGAAGCTGAAAAACATACTTTTACTGCCTACTGGTGGTACTATGGTACTATGATATACAGACCTGACCAAGCCTCACCCTAAATTGTATTATTTATTTTATTATTTACACTTCATACACAGTCATATTGATAGACAAAATTGAAAAAGCTGTATTTGTGTTTGAATTGCTAGCTGACTAATTCAGATAGTTTTGGGTCATATGATGCTATTTACACAAATTCACTAATGCGTTTTTTATTTCCAGATGCAAATGAGACACAAAGCCGAGCCCAAAGTGAGAGCAGTGGAGAGTTCAGTGTGAGCATTGAAAATCAACCCTGGTCCAGTGGCAGCAGCCCAGTTCAGCAGCTCCAACCACAACATAAATCAATTTCTAATCAGCCTCCTAATGATGCTTCTAATCCCAACCATGGTCTCTCACAAAAGTCTTTGGATGCTGCATCGAAAGACAAGAAAAAAAATCCAGCATCAGCTCAGGATTTCTGGCTCACAAGAGGCACAAAAAGCATCAGAAGAGGTTCTAAAAACAAGTTTACTCACTGTCTGTCTGACGCAACAGACCACCAGAGACAAGACCAGGAGCAAGGAGACAATGATTCAAAATCAGCTCCAGGAAACACTGCAACCACAACAGTTGTTGCCTGTTCTCCAATCACGGTGTTGTATGTTCCAGGAAAATCATCTTCAATGTCTGGGTGTCTAAACTGCTTCTCTCCACCCGTCTGTAAAGAGGGCAAACTAAAAGGTTTCAAGTCCACCAAAAGCCTTCCTCGTGCCAGTGGTGTTTTTTCCAAAGCGCGAGATTCGCCCAGACGCTCAAGTGTCAGTGCTGACTGCAAAGAAAAGCTTGATTCACTTCCTGTCCAAGTCTCTGAGGGTTTTACAGAAGAAGAGAAATCAAATCAAACAAGTCATATAGACTTTGAAACTTACAATGGTGAACTAGTTCCACCAGTCAAACCTCCGAGAGACCCAGCTGCTGTTCCCTCTGACCGCTCAAAATCCCCTGTGCAGGAGTCATCTCTGGGTTCAGCATTCACTTTTAACTCAGTTTTCTCCAACACAATATTCAGCGACTCTGTCCTCAGTGCTATAACAACCAGGCCTGAAGACAAACAAGCCTTCTTGCAGCTGACAGAAAATGACCAAGAGAAAATATATTTCTGTAACATCCCACAAACACTGCTCAGTGTAGAATGTGAGGAGTCCAAGGATCAAGCTGTCGAACATACCCAGAAACTTTAGGTTATGCTGAAATGGAATAAAATGTATTAAACTGTTAATCTATGCAAAATAACAAAAGGGATTAATGTTACACCACACTGGTCTCAGGTTACTTACTTGAAAAGGTGTTTTTTTATGACAATCCGTTTTGATTCCATTTACTGTGTTTGACTTTTTTGTACATTTAATCAATCCGTTTTGATTCCATTTACTGTGTTTGACTTTTTTGTACATTTAATGTATTATTTTCAAAATAGCTGCAATTGTTGATGTTTCACCAGTGTAGTATATTCCAAGAAAGGTACAAATTGTTGTTTTGAAATGTGTTTGAAATATTTTTTTCACAGATGTTTGTCAGTTATTCATTCTCAGTAAATATTTACCATCCTATTTGCCCCCTTTATGTAATAAAACAGAAAACATACTAATATAATAAACACACGTTCCAAAAGGCCCGCCCACTACCCCTCCCCCCTGTTTTTCATTGGCCACTAAAACAACCACGTGACCTAACACGGAAGACTGTACAATTTTGGATGAGCGTTGTTTTGGGGCCGCTGCTGTTGAAATTGAACCGCGTTATTTCTCAGATTACCCGGGCCAGTGGCAGGATGCTGAACGCCCCCGCAGCCGATCGAAACAAGGAGCCCATCCTGTCGGTCCTCCGGGAGAGCCTGCCCCCGGGGAAAGCTCTCCAAGCGCTGGAGATCTCCTCCGGTACAGGGCAACACGTCACGCATTTCGCCCAAGGTTTGCGGAATATAGTCTGGCAACCCTCGGAGTTTGACCATCAATCTTTGAGCAGGTGAATATCTAATTGTTCCTGTATTTCTATTGGGAAATACATTTGGATGCCTCCAGGAGACTCATGTTATGTCGCTGTAGCTGTATTTGTAAATAATTGACTTTTCATGGCAATAACAAATGGCTGACACAAAGGAAGAATCGCAGGCATGGAGAAGGATTGCAGGGATAAATTGTTGAAGAAATCTGGACATTGAACTTTTAACAGAAACTATTAACAATATAAATTAACAAAACATCATTGATCAATCATCAAATTTATTTAAAAAGCATAATATATATACAGTGTTACCCAAAGTGCTTCACGAGCACAAAGATAATATACAACATATAAACAGTGCAAGTACACTTGAAGCATATTGTATTAAAAAATCATAGAAAATATACAAGTTTAAACAATTAAAAAATAAATTCTTCAAATTAGTCATATGCATAGCTAAAATGAGAGTTTTCAGCATGGACTTTACCATTGCAATGGACGTGGCTTGTCTAACAAGCTCAGGGGGACTGTTCCAGATTACATACATTTGAAACGCTGCCTCCCCATGTTCAGTTCTCACTCTGGGCAGCAGCAGGAGGCCAGTCCCTGTGCTCCTCATAGTCATATGGCACCAACATGTCATGGAGGGGATGTACTTAGGAGCTAGGCCATGGAGAGACCGGTACACAATCAGAGCTGCTTTAAGGTCTATTCTCTGAGCCACAGGAAGCCAGTGCAGAGACCTGAGAACTGGACTAATGTGGTCATCATACGTTCTAGTCAGGACTCGAGATGCAGCCTTTTGGATACTGCAGCTGTTTAACAACAACATCTCAAGTTACATAAGGCTATGTGATGGATCTAGATTTTATTTTAGTAGTTTTTGGGCTACGTCAACAACAAAATTGTCAAGTTATGAAAAACAAAACAAAATTTGACCCAAGGATAACATGAGTGTTACAAAGGAGGAGGCCAGCCAAAAATCATAACTATTAAGAGTATACAGTATCTGACCCAAACGGTTCAGTAATAAACTAGAAATAATAATACAAAGTGGCTATTAGACAATGGTTAATTAACCTTGTGAATCAAGGGTTTTATAACTTCCATACAAAAATGCTTGTAAACTAAATTCAAAAATATAAATAGTTGATTAACAAAGACCAAAGACTGGCGGCCCTAACAAACCTGTGTCTCTGATCAAGAATGTGTCATGTATGTAATTCTTCTTAGATAGATCCCCTTTTGTTCTCTTTCTCAGCATAGAAGCGTACAGAGCCCACTACAGGCTGGCTAATGTGAAACCTGCCATTTACTTGGATGCCTCTTTGCCCCATGAGCAGTGGGGGGACTTTCAGCCAGAGAGCCTGGACCTGGTGCTGAACATCAACATGATCCACATCTCTCCAATGGCGTGTACAGAGGTGAGGCAGAGTGGGACACATTTTTATTGTTGTTATCTTAAATGTATCAACTGTGTGCCTATCGCAGTTTTCTTCAATTGCTTTTTTAATTAAAAAGTTGGTCAAACGGCATAATATTTATAGTTTCATGGCTTCCGATTGCATTTTATAATTTTATTTGCTCCAATGTATTATTTAAGCAATTACACATGCACCTCCCTACATCTGCAGTTTAGTGGTGCGTTTTGCGTTGGAATGACGCGTGCCGTTGAGTGGTACTGGTGAAAAAATAACTAATAATAAACTATGAACCATGAAACTGAAGTGTCCAGTCGGATATGACAATCCGTTTAATGAGAATGAAAGATATATAAAAAATTAGGTAATGACTTGCATGATATACCTTTGCTCGCTGTTTGTGCCCCTAACATCTTTCAACCAGGGGCATTTTATTTTGTAACATGGGATGACACACATAACATCCTACTTAGAATGATCCCCTGCAAGTCACTGTTGACTCTTTTAGGGTGAGAGCCAAGTGAGGGTGGTCCTCTCTTTTTCACTTGTCTCTCTTAAAAAAGCTGATCTGAAATGTGACCACGGTCTAATAAAGACATGCTTGTAAAAACGTAGTAATAGAACCAAACTGTTTGAAGTAGTTTAATGGATTTAATTATGTTTCATTTATTGTGATTCAAAATTTCTCGAAAAAAAAAAAGAAATTGAGTGTAATAGTATATTCTAGTCTAACTTTGGTCAAATTATAAGACTTTTTAATACACCACTTTTTATTCTAGGGCTTATTTAAAGGAGCTGGAGCATTGCTGAAGTCCCAAGGTCTTTTACTGACATATGGTGTAAGTGCACTTTGTCTTCAGGCCATAGACATGAGTCATGTTGTATATTCATTGTGTTTTTTATTTGTTATTTTTAGCCATATGCAGTGAATGGAAAGATCACACCACAAAGCAATGTTGACTTTGACCAGAGTTTACGGCAAAGGTACAGTATAATCTATTTATCTTTGAGCTATTGACCAATATATTATTTTTTAAAGGTGCCCGTCCAAGGCCCCTGTACTTATTAATGGTACGGTTTATCCTATAGAAATTCTGAGTGGGGTCTGAGAGATGTCGTGCTACTTCGATCTATAGCAGAAAGAGATGGTTTATTCCTTGAAAAAATGGTTTGTATTTCATTAATTTTATCCTCACTGTGGTATTGCCACTAACACTAACTGGCTTTTTACCCTCTAGGTTGATATGCCTGCAAACAACAAGTGTCTTCTGTTCAGAAAGGAGAGCGTAGTATGAAGAATGTATCTATTGGATGCAGGCCAGTGAATCTATGAATGACTTTCAATCTAAAAGAGCCATTTCAATACAATGCTTTTAATAAATTGTGTTTTTATGAAGTGTTTGAGTTTATTTGAAGAAAAATTAATGTTATCACAATATTCAATGGAAAAAGGTACATCAATAATCTGGATAAATGACTTCTACTTCTAGCAGCTTCTTTTCCCGACTATCTCTCGCAGCCTCTTAAGCCTTCGCTCCGTTATTGTTTTGACGTAGCTGTCTGATTGGATGATTGCCATACCATCCTGCACAACACCCATGACTAACAATGGGTTCTCCTCCATCGTTATGTTGGGACAGGGACAGCTCCAATTTATCTTTGCTATAGTTACTTCAAGATGTTTCGTGTTAAAGAAGGTTAAACCCATTTTTTCATCCCTTAGAATTTCTTCCAAACTAAACCGTGCCAACCCTGAGTCCAGATCCTCAACCAGCTCGGTGAGACGTCCCACTATGGCAAAGTCACTTCGACACAAGCTGGGCAACATTTTTCCTTTAACTCGACAAGTCTTACAAGGTTTCTTTTTCCGTTGAGGGCAGTTTGCTTCGCACTCCTTTTTAGTGAGAAAGCTGTTGGCATTTCCGTGACAGCCTCCATAGATAAAGGCCTGGCACTCCTTCATGATGGTATTCCAGGCCCAACGTGCATCCCAAGATTTACAAGGACCTTGGACTGCAGGCAGGGAGCATATACCCATCCCTTCTCGCTGGCAGGAAGCCTTACACTCCTCATAGGTCTCAAATTTATTACGGCTATCTTCACAACCCCCATTGTTAAAAGCCTGACAGTTTCCCAATTTGCCGTCATAGTACCAGTCTACGTGGCGCTCCCCACTGCACACTCGCTGGTCCACTTCAGCTAAACAATCAGCCGGAGAGAAAGGTCGTCCCATAGGCATTTCAGGGTCTTCAGAGAAATCATCTTCTGATCTACGTATGACAGAGAGTGGATAGTCTGCACGAAGCACTCCTGCAGAATTCCGTGCAATGCATGTATAGATACCTGTATCCCACACCTGAGCATTGTAAATGACAAGCTGTCCAATGTTAGTGATGACCACATTACCATACATCTGGTCCGGCCTCATGACCAGCCGCTCTCTTCGCCCACTCTGCTTCTCCCATGTCACATCAGGCCGTGGGATTCCAACTACATCACAGTGGAAGCTGACTGTGCCTCCCACATAAATGGACTGATGATGTGGATTGGAGTAGAGGGTGGGGGGCATAGGGTTCTCCTGGGATGAGGTTGGGGTGGGATGAGCTGTGGTGTCCTGGGGCAATGCGCTGGTGTGTGGTCCAGCGAGATAGAAACGACAGGCCACAACAGTCAAAGTGACTCCCCTAATGCAGGCCTCTGCATCCATGTAGCAGCGGTTGAAATAAGTGAGGCCATCAGATGCACAAGTAAAGTTTGGCTCCTTTTCACAGCGGTCTTGACACTTACAGATGGGCTGCCCGTCCCAGATGTCACAGGTGGCGCCCTGCTGGCTACAGATGAAGTCATCACAGGTTGCTGTAGAGTTGCCTTCGGTCGTGTTCCCGGAGCCCCGCCCGCCCGGTTGAGCCTGAGTCCCGTCAGAAAACCGTGCAGCCACACAGCTGTTTAGACCACACACGTTGGTGCAGCACTTTTCAAAGTCTGCACAGTCCTGAACGATATACGCATATGTTTAGATGTGGTTTAAAATATAGCATTCACGTAATTAAATGATAAATGGCTCACCTCGTCCACGTTGCATTCTCTCTCGCAGGTGCTTTGTGCATCAACCCACAGATTAGAATTCAACTTGTTTGGACAAAGTCCCTCGTGTGCAATATCATAATCTGGCATATTTGCACGCCCTAAACTCGGTGTTGTTGAAATCAAAATGATGAGCAACCATCTCCGTATCCATCTTGGAGTTTTCTTCGAGTGTAGATTGCTTACATTTTCAGTGCGCTCCTGAAGTTGATCTGTTTTTGTTAGTTTGTTACAGTTTTTCATTGTTGCTTTCTTGCAAAAAACGTTGTTTAGTGAAATCCATAACTTAATTGTAAGTAGAGAAAAAAATTTTTGAATAACCAAGCTTAAGCGCCCATGTAAAAGATGAATCCAGCCGATGTGAGTGTCCTGTCAGGGCTCCTGCAGCACAAGAGAGCGCGTCCACAATGAGCGTGAGGGACGCAACAGCAGCTTTCACATGAATGAAGCAGGGCAGCCCTCTCTCTGACCGCCCCCAGCCCGTCCAGCGGCTCAAACTTTATGAAGCTGCGTCGTGCTCACAGCAACTGAACAAACACAGTAAAAACATCAAAAGAACGTGCGCCACTTGTACAATACTGAGCAACATCTGCGCGCATTCCGGTGAGAAACCCTTTATATTTCAGATTCAAATGCCGAGGCCAACCATAAGGTGTGGGTGGGTGCTTTTCATTTTCCATTAAAAAGTTGTTCTTTTTTCTTTGACAAATCAAAACTGAGAAAGAACGTAGAGTATGTGTAAAAAATCAAACACTGGGCGTGTTGCAACAAGCCTTACTACAAAATATGTTTACGCCCTTCTTGTCTAGACGCAGACCTTTTACCACCGTCCAGCGTCCCTCATTCACACGTAGATCGGAGATGCCACGGTCAGGTGGGAACACATAAAGTACCACATTTTCAATAGTCTGCAACTTGTCATTGTCCAGAAGCTGCTCTGAGGCGATGAGAATTGGTTCCCTCATCTTTTCATTTAAGTGACCCCGCAACCTTTTAGTGACTTTTGACCGCACTGCATTCAATGAGTCCTGCGGTTCCAAAAGTGCCCAATACCGAAAGAAAATAATCTATTCAACAGCCCCCACTGACGCTAAAGCAAACTAGTATTAGGCCGTACAAAGGACAAAGCTCGCCCAGAATTCCCACGGTGACCTCCATGGAAGGCCGAATATAATATTGTGAATGTTGCTTTAGTATCGACCTTGCATATGACAATACTAATTTTTACTTGAATGTAATAAAACCTCAGACATTACAAACTGTTAAAACAGGTGTGGCAGTTTAATTTACCCTAATCCCATGTGTAACCACAGGAACGGGGAACCAATGAGTGTTAAATTACATTCATGAATACAAATACATGTCCATGGTTGCAAAAACTAGACATCCCTCTAACCATGACCAAAAAGGATCCATATATATTCTAAAAGTACAACACCTCACTGTCCAAGTTGGAAAGTATCAGTCAAAGAATAACTGATTTTAGTGACTGTATGGAATACAAAAGGATTTTACAGGTCCTTCAGGTTGGAATGCATAACTTCACCTCTACAAAGACCCTTTGAGAAAAATCACAATTTCACTTTTGTTATGGTTAGAAATAGAAATCTTTGAATTATTGACAAAAAAAGTAAACAGTTCCCATAACAATATACACAAGGCAATTATCCCACAGAAAATACATTCCACAAACACATAAATACATACAATAGAAGTACAGCCCAACAACAAACCTCCTGACTTCTTTTCATGTAGTGTTATCACATTATCCATCCCAGAGATTTAAGACTTGATCGAAGGGCATCGCTGTGTAGAGATAAAGTGTCTCCACAAGATGGCACCAGCGACCCGAACACTGTCCCATTCAGTTCATTTTAAAGGCAGCTCCAGTTGTGGCCATCATCAACAATGTAGATAATAAAAAGCAAGTGTGTTTGTCTATGAAATCTTGCAGTTTCCCTTGGATGATGAGGAGTTCTTTGGTGGACTCTGTGGAGGTCTGAATGACTTTGAGCGTTTCAAACTGTTGCCTTTGCTTGAACTGCCGCCTGATGCAGAGCTGTTGGTGACGGAGTAAGAGCGTCCGTGCATCATGACTGCATTCATGCCATTAGCCATTGAGAAGGACTTCAGGTGGGATTTGATGGCAACAGGGAGTGGCAGCTTATCAATGAGGTGCACTGGTGTACAGGAAACAATAGAGCGGCAGCACAGATCTTGAAGACTGAAAACTGGAAGGCAAAAAAGGAAAAAACCATTTACAAACCCACATACATACAATAATATATCAAAATTACACTAGGAAAAAATGAGTTAATCTTAAAAGAGGACAGGAAGGAGTTAACTACAATGCCAATACCCATATTAACGAATACGCTGAAAAAGAATTAATAAATAAGTCAAAAATTGAGAGAGCACCACCAAATGATGCCAAGCTCACACATGTTTTTTTTTAAAAAAAGTGAATCCTTGTAAACTGTCTTTCTTTATATATGTAATGAAAGGATGAAGTCTACAACTGAAAGTCAACATTGTCATGATTTCTGGAAAGGAATAAACAAGAAAGAAATAATATGTATATACTTTGAATGGGTCAATGAAAGTTTGAAACCCATGTATAGGACGCCCAAACAGTGCTGGTAAGAAAACTACTTCTTATTTTCGATGTAATTGCAACAACAAGAAAAACCTTACCTCTATTCGGTTTCCAGAATTTTTCCATCCCGTGCCTCATAAGCACTATCCGTGAGAGTTCTGTGAAGGACTCGATAACGTTGAAATTGCACAGTGGACTAACTTCAAAAAAGGTCATACTGTTCTTTTCTGCGTAGGCTCGTGCCTGTTCTGTTGGAACCTGGCGCTTGAAAGCCAGGTGAAGGCGGTTCCCTACAAGAATCCTTGGCACACCAGGGGCATGCTAATGGGAAAACAACAATTTATCAGTTTGAGAAAATGTTTAAAACTAAAGAATGCCTCCTTACTTCATCAATTTCTCTAATCCATCGGTCAATGCCATCAAAAGACCAACCGTTTGTGATGTCATACACAAGCAGAATTCCCTAAGTTAAAAAAAACACATGTAAAATTAAGTTCAAACAAACAAACTGCACAATCACATTAACCAATAAGATACATGCAAGGAATTCTCATTAATCTAAAGCTCATTATTAGTCATTTTTTATCATTACATAATCAGAATCCATAATTAGAAATTTCACATCTCACCTGTGCCCCACGAGAGTAAGACCTAAAAATGGTGCAGAATCTTCCCTGTCCAGATGTATCCCTGAAAAGTGAATATGCCTTTTGTATGTAATGTAATCAGCAGTGTAATGAACACAAACATTAGTCTTAGTACTCACCAAAGCTCTAATTTTACTCTCCTTCCATCGAGCAGGATTGTGGTAGTTTTGTAATCTATTCCTGGAAATGAAATCACGTTATGTATTGGATTGGTATATGCAATATAGTGGACATATAATAGATAAACATACCACTGCTGTAGGCATAAGGCGACTCTACTGATCCATCTTTCAAGCTGTCCAAGATTTCACCTTTGCCAACATCACTGTCTCCCACTAGTAGGAACTTCAAGAGGTAATCGTAGCTCTTGACAGGACTACTTTGAGTTCCCATCATCCCACGCATTGGTTTCAATGTGCTAGGAGCTTACAGCCCAGTATAAGCGTCAACTTTAGTGCAAAACCCCCAAAAATATCATCCGTGAGCTGGGTGAGGCTGCAGGAAGCGGGGAGCTAAATTATGCTAGCTAACCGTATAATGAAGTACAAATGATACCTTATTGTATCATCTGTAAACATGTGATAGTTTAAATTAACTAGGAAAAATGTGATAGACAACGTATCAATCGATATTTCTATCACATAAAAACATCCACGCCTCCACTGAGCTAGCTGCTAATGAGCTATGGCAGAGGGAGATGCATACTGTGAACACGATACATACCGACTATAATAACAAATAACAAACGGCATCACAAATTATATGAAATGCATAAACTAAACATCCGCCACGATTTACCACATTATATTGGTGAGAAAAATCATGTTTGACTCCAAAGCATAAAAGTAAGCCACTCGAAGTCAAGCATTATTGTACTTCCTGGTTCGAACGCGACTAACGACGTCACTTCCGGAAATAACAGACAAACAACAAACATAACAGAAATATATTGTTTTATCTCATTTCTGTTGTTATGGGTTCTATCATTCGTACAACTGTATAACGTCAATGTAAAATAAAAAATGTGAATTAAAAACACTAGGCATTAGGCATTGTACTTCTTCTAAGATTGGTTGTATTTGATTAGTATTTGCAACAGCTGTGACAATCAGTCCACATATATAAAAAAAGTGCCTTGGCTATGAAACCACATGGGCACACGTTTCTACACACGTTTCTGAAAATGAGGACCTGGCTGTATTGCATTTTAGTGTTACTTTGTTGTTTTACTTGTGGTAATGGAGAATTTATTTCTGGTGTCAAGGATCCAGAAGGTCTATGGAACACGCTAGCCAAACTCGAGAGGAGAATCGATCCTGGACCTATGCCAAAAGCCTTCAGAAGTGGAAGTCAGACGTGGAAGTCTTCTGAACCGAGAGTGCTTCCAGACTTTGTTGCAGTGTCTTCAGATATGGTCCAGAAATCCCTCTTCAAGCCTGAAATTGGAGCAAGGCCATTGCCACCTTCAGTAAAACAGTTATTCTTCCCCGTTGTGCCTACGGAGCCTCCCTCTACTGAGAATAAGTTATTTGAAATCTTGTGCCACCAAGACCGAATATATGCAAGAGTAAGAAGGGATTACTTTAAAACTTTGGGCGCACACAATTTTTTGAAATTGGGCACTTGTCCTGTCAACCAAGCCACTGCTACCCATTACTACTTCCTTTACTTTCTGACCTCGGACTGTGATTTCACCAGAGAGGTTTGTAATTTGTGACATTGAGCATTTGTAAGATCATTGCATTGTTTTTGACCATGCTTGTTTTCCAGAGCCACAACAATCACCTGCTTATACAAAATTATATTCGTTATGATCCAACCACAACAGTTTTAAGAGAGCTGCCTTTTAATGTATCCATTCACTGTAACTATCAAAGGTATGTAAAGGCACAACACTGTAAGACTCCATGGCATTATTCACTCTGTACACTGCTGCTGAACTACTATGCTCTCCAGTGTCTCCATTAGGCCTGATTAATGTGTAGCTTCATCAGATACTTTTTACTTGCAGGTTTTTTAACTCTTATAGAGGTTCTATACGCCCCAAGCTTATAGGAGGAACATTATTTAAATCCCTAAGAAGGAAGCATTCATTTATTCTCGAAGCTCAAGATGGCAAGTATAATTGCTTGATGTATTTTAATCTCTGAAGGTCAAGCAAATGTGTTGTGGATTTGTTTCTAACTTTGACACACAATTTACTGAACTTTCTGCTTTTAGCACTGGGTATGAAGTTGGCTCAGGCCTACGTTTTGGGAGAGCCAATGTACTTTGTGGCAAAGCAAGCTGATGGCACACACATTTCTGCAGATGAAAGGATTTACATCAATCAGTGCTTTATTACTTCCTCTCTTGTTCCTTCAAGTCCTAAACATGTGGTCATTGATAATCATGGGTGAGTGTTTGCAATCACTGGTGCTTCATTTCAAGGATCTTCTTGTGAACTTTAAATTACAGGTGCATGGTGGAGGGTAAAGAATCTGCGGCGGCGAGGTTCCTAGCAGGGCCATCAAGGCTGACTCAGAGATTCACAATGAATGCTGTCCTTGTGCATGGAATATCATATACTCCCAGCACAAAGGTACATGAGCATGTTTAACCATCCATTCTGATATTTGACTATATTTTAATTTTGAATTTTTGAATTTTTTTTGGTAGCACCTTTACATGCACTGTGATGTCACTGTGGGTAAACACCCTCAAAGTGAACATTTCAAGGCATGCAATTATGACCCAGGCACCAAAACGTGAGTATGCAGATTTAAATGAAGCTTAAACTTTTTACTGTACACTTGCTAATTTAATGTTTGGTTTTAAGTTGGAAAGAACTGTACGGCTATGATTCGGTGTGCGCTTGCTGTAAGTCGACCTGTTCTCACGGGCCACATCTAAGGGGTAAGTCGTCTGTTGTAAATCTATTTAGACATAAACTAAACTCTTTTTTTTTTTTTTTTTTTTTTCATTAGCATCTAGGAATATGGTCACGAGTCAGCCTTGGAACGTCAACGCGGAGGACTTGAAGATGAAAAAGTTGGCCAACATTGAGACTGACGATGAGGACATGATTATTGAATGGAATAAATTGGAGGATGATTATTAAATGACTTTTAGAATTGGCTTTAATGTCTAAGGGAAAGTTTATTTGTATAGCACTGTTCATACAACAGGCAACTCTTAACCATATGCAGCAGCAAGGCATTTAAATCACAACTAAAAAGGAGTGGATGAAATCTTCACTTGTATGCACAGCTAAGCAGAACTGGATTTGAACATTGTCAGAATGTCTTGCATTTTCAGGAAGCCTGTTCGAAATATTAGTTGCATAAACCTTAAACACTGGCCCTGTGCTGGTGCTGAGGGCTTCCTGGTTTTAATCAGTACTCGAGCTGCAGCTTTTTGACCATACGACAGCAATTTTACAATTCGTTTGGCAAGCTCAGTGCAGGCCTGCAGCAGGCAAGTTTACTTGTATAGCACAAGGCATTGCATCATAACTAATCACAGAACATAAATATAAAATCCCTCAGTAGTCTAACCTGAGACAAATGCATGGATAAATCATTGTACCTAATATGTGAAATGTTGGATGTCCATTTCACAAGCAGTGTTTATACAACTGGACAATTCACTGTCTCTGAAGGGAGTCATTAATCACAATTTTTGCATTTTTTAGCAACTCTGCAAAGTGAGTCATAGTGTGTTGGTAGATGCACCTGTGCACGACCAGAGGATGAAACAGATTCACATGCTCTGCCTTCAATAAATCAGCCGGGCACAGTTTGATAATGTCTTTCACTTGAGGATTCCCTATGAGGACATGGCGCAGCTGCTTTGTTTTCAGGCTGTGCATCATGAAGACCAACAAGTCCTGTAGTCTTTTTGCTAAAAACGTAGGTCTCCATTCACAGGACGCCTTGGTCAATAGAAGATGCATCAAACCAATTTTGAAATGCACATCCCTAAGAGCACTGCTCCCCGTGAGCTTTGTCTGCATGTGGTGCAGAAAAAGTGCGATTTGAAGTATTTTCACATGACAGGAGTCGTCTGGCAAAACTTTAGCGACCTCTTGCAAAAACATATCTTCATATTTAGACAAGGACATAGACCAGTCAACATTCTTGGAGGAACAGGTTGGTATGAAAAAATATGAATAACTGTCATAGCTAATAACTGGACTCATGGTGAATCGTATTCTTTCACCGCTTCTAAATCGAACTATCACTTCCCCAGGGGTGTTCCTGTTACCAAAACTAACCTCAAACTCATACTTGAATGCGATAAGTGACCACGCTTGTCTCAGTGTGCTGTGAAACCATTTACCCACTTCGGCCGTTGATAGATAATTCGAGCCTTTTTGGCACAAGAATTCATCAAAATCCATGCTTTTTCTTCTGTTTGCCTCATCACTCTTGTGGAGAAGACACAACACATCCCCTGCTGCTTCTGAGGACTGGCACGGGCAGCTAGGTTGAATTTGGGCGTTTTTCTTGAGCTCTACCTGCCCGCACATTTGCAAACCTGCTTTACTATACAAACATCTAAACATGTATGACTCAGGGGGGATGAGGGGAACAACTACATCATGCAAATTGTCCAGATCTGCCGCCCCTATTGTCATGGCGCCCACTTCACGGCAAACATTCTGCATAGATTCAAGTAGAGCCTTCACAAAGCCATCCAAAAACTCCTGCTGTCTTTGCCTTGTCACAAAACCTGATTTTATGAACCGAGAATGAAAAATATGCAATGTTGTGCTATCTACGCCCATTAAATATGCCGCTGCATCTGGCATTGTTTTAGCTCTGTTCGACTTCAGGTGGAGAACTCTTTGTTTGCACTTCCAAGCTAATTGAATACATGAAAGGACAGAGAATACTTTTGACATAATCCAAACATAATCTTTGTCCGTGTCAGATGCTTCACTTCTCTCTTTGGGGTGACTTTGATTTTGTGTTTTTTCTCTCCTTTTTGCCGAACTATTATGTTCAGCCCACGCTTCACCGCTTGATTTCATTGCTGGTGGCGTGCCTAAGACATCAATTTGTTGCCGTTTTTCATTCTCCAAGTCAGTTTTCGTGTATATTTCTCCCGCTGTAGTCTTCTCTTGTTGCAGCCTTTGATGATGACCGCTTGATGTCATTTCTTGGTTGAGTTTCTCTTCCTCCATGGACAGTTTTTGCTCACGGTCTCGCATCCCAGGTGTAATCAAGGCCTCATCCCAATCCTCAGTATTGTAGTCACTGTTGGGATACATCAAGAGACCCAGAGCCACGATAAATACTTGAAGAATTGTGTCTTGCATCTTCGTTGGGATCTGTTAGTAATAATACAAAGTGAAAACTAAATAAAAGCTGTGTCTTTGATTTTTATAAATGCAGTGCCTCGTTTTAAAAGTAGCAATATGTAAGATTTTCATGTCAAGTGATCAGTACGTGGCTCTAATATGTCAAAAGGCTTTAATAAAACATGCTCTTTATGAATACTTCTGTAAATGATAACAGTAGTTCAGCCGAGGTATTTATATTTCAAAGTTAGTTAAGGCCCCTAAATCTTGTTTTTGTTTTCATTTCAATGTCCCGCCCTCCACCGTTTCACTAATCAGAAATTCCGTGACCCAGGTTGCCAGAACTCACTGTGCCAAGTTAATCTCACTGGTCTCACCAATATGTGGCCTCAGTGCTAAAATAAGGTCTCGTTATGATTCTCAAATCATTGATGACAAAACAAGGAATAAAACAAGGATTTTTATTGGGGCCTTCATGAAAAAGTTATAGATTTGTTGTTGACAAAAACTCTTGTCTATTCAGATATTATGTTCCCAGCTGGATTCGTCTGCATATCTGGCAACCCAAGTCAGGGAGAGTGGGAGAGGTGCAGTACTTTTGGCCAGATTTTAACGTACTGCTCCTTTAAGTGTCTATGTAGCTTGAACATTTGCACATTTTGTGTTACAAGATTTTCTTTGGGATTTTTATTACTAAAAGGCTGCAGCAAAGTCACAAACTGTGAAGTGGAAGAAATTTTATGCGGGATTTTGTTTTGTTTTTATTCATCAAATCTGGAAAGTGACCACACAGCCAGATTTAATACTTCACTTTCAGTAAAAAATGCAAAATAAAATCATTATAATTGTAGTTGTAATATTGACAAAAGGCACTGTATTTAACATCCTCTTCCTGGTTTTTGAAGCAGATTGTCACAACTCTGACCAAATAGTCAACTAATAGTTTAAATTAAAAATAATGAAAGCGTTGACTTGCCTTGATGTGTTGTTTAGTTAAGTCTGATCTTAATCTCTTCCTCCCACAGTTTAAACACAGCAGAGAGGCTGTAGGTGAAATGGAACGTGCTCGGTGAACTCTTCCTATTTCAGAGGCAGTTGACGGTTTTCGTCACCTATTTCCTGAACGCACTCATCACTCACTGAATTGACAACGAGAAGTGATAAAAGATGTTTTCTGAAAAGGTGTGATTCTTGTGCATGAATAGCCCCATGTGGTTTTCAGTATTGATGACGGAAAGATTGCTTTTAGAAAAACTGTTTTTTCCTGTTTTACACACACAGACATTAAAAGTTATTAGATTTCAAATGTTTTCTTTCCTTCCTATGGACATACATTCACTATTTTCAAAAGAGCAAAGTTGTTGTGCAAGAATTTTACTTTTAGTGAGCATAGGCACAATCTTTTTGGATTAAATGTTATGATTGTAAGTGAGTAAGTAAGTAAATTTTATTTATAGAGCACCTTTCACAGATAAAAATCACAAAGTGCTGTACAAGGTCAAAGCAGATATGTATATATATTAGAAATAAGAAAAAATAGAAAATAACAACACAAAAACAAAAAATTTTACTAAAAGTTGCCCTAAAAATAAGTGTCTTTAGTCCCTTTTTAAAAGCATCGGCAGAGTTGACCACACGGAGGGACAGAGGCAAAGCGTTCCGCAGTCTGGGGGCCACGGACTGGAAGGACCGGTCCCCCCGGGTCTTATAGCAGGTCTTTGGGACCACAAGTACATTCTGGCCTGTGGACCTAAGAGTGCAGCCAGAACAGTGTGGGGTCAGGAGGTCCGAGATGTGAGATGGAGCCTGACAATTTAAGGCTTTGAAAGTTAAAACAAAAATGTTGAAATCAATATGTAATTTCATTGGGAGCCAATGAAGTGAGGACAGGACTGGGTGATGTGAGACCACCTGCTAAACTCTGGCAGTGGAGTTTTGCACAATTTGAAGTCTGTCATGTAAACATGACACAAGTTGCAGTAGTCAACTATTGTGCAAATATTCACTTCAATCATGCTATTAAACTATTTTCAAATTTGTAGATTTACTTTTGTTTATTTGACATAAAGTAATACCTAAGCATAAAAGATAAGAATAACTTTATTGATCTCACACTGGAGAAATGTACATGTCACATTTGGCATAGTTAGAATCACTCAGTTTGTGCAAAAGACAGAAGTGTGCAAACATTTTAAGGTAAAAATAATAATAATACATGTTATTTCACCTTACATTTCCACAAAAGTGCTACAGAGTGCAAAGAAGTGCAAAAAGACAAAAACGTATTATTTAATTACCAAGATCAATGCCCTGAATATAGACTTTTAACCTCTTCTCATGGTTTTCTAACTGGTTTGGCCGCTTCGCCTTTTTCAGATTACTTAAACATTGAGTATTTTTGCTGAAGCGCTTGTTGAACAGAACAACATCAAACAAATTCTCTGCCCAGAGGCATTTGAATGGCTCCGACTGGTTTTGCATGTTGAGATTCATCAGTCACGATCAAATTCTCTATCCTCACATTGAGAAGGAACAATACGAGCAATATTTATCAACAGCAGATAAACTGTGATTGTTCCGTCTGCGATGATGTGATGCAGGGTAAATGTTTTACGTCTGTAAAAGTGGACTTAGTTAGTATTTTGTTACATCACACTGAAGGGAGGAGCCGCTGACAGAATGTGGTCAGCTTTGAACATCAGAGAGTTGGCGAGAAGAGTCCGGGTACAAAGATCCACCAATGTCCCAGACTGTGTACACTTCCCTTTGAAAACATCTCATCTTCAATTATAACTTATTTATTTACTAATCAACTTAGAGGTAAGTGATATTTCATACCTGTGTGTTTTTGTTTTTCCAGCTTGGACAGATAGATAAATAGATAGACTGATATATTTGTTTGGACTGGCTTGTAAACCAGGAAGCGATAACAACTAAAACTTTCCAAAGTATTCCTCATTGCAAATTAAAGCTGCCTAACTTTATTTCTTCATAAATAACACATATTGATGGACCCTAACAAAGTGAATGTACAATTCTTTAAACAAATCAGCCCAAAACATGCTGTCTTATTCTTACTAGAAAGCCTTTTATCTTGTGAATACCTGTCAAGAGCCCTGAGAGAAACACTTTCATGATTTGCACTGAGAGCTGATTGGCGGAGTGAGGGTGGTCCTCTCTTTTCACCTATTCTGTCTGAAAAAGCAGATCTAAGATCTGACAGAGGTCAAACTACACATGTATCTGAAAACTAGTGAGGAACCTGTGAGATGGATTTGAATACATGTTTAGAATTTTTTGTGATTTGAAAGCTAGGTACCCCAGCTTTATATGTTCATTCACATGGGCAGTGGGTGAAAGTCATATTATTAAAATCAATTCAATTCAAATAACATGTATTGATCTATAGTCCTTGTCAGGAATGAACCAGACAGAGACGGATCGTGGTGCGCCAAACTCTGGAAGTTTATTTAGGTTTCTCTCAAGTTCCAGTGGTTTCAATTGTTTCTTTCTCTCAAACAAAATGGAGTCTGTACATGTTATATAGTCATTGTTACGTCACACATCGAAAGACATACGTGTCACACAGAGACAGAGCATATCATAGTCAAAACATGGATGCACCATCAGACTCCTTGTATAGTCTTGCAGTTGTCCTGCACGTAGGCCAAATAGCTATCAAATCCTCCCAAATCCCAACATTAGTTATCTCAGAGGACTTTACAAGGTTCTCGATTCGCCAACACAGATTAAAGAATCAAACACAAGAATGCAATGTGAAAAAACACATAGAGTCATTGGTCCATAGGGGCAGAGGACCAAGGTCCATAAATGCCTATTACGAGCCACAAGGTGGTGGTGTCTAGGAGTGTGGCTCAATAACAAAATTAAAACCGGGTGTGGAACAAAGACGGGAGGCGGAGGTCCAAAAAGTAAAAGGTTTATTAAAACAGGTGCAAAAGAACCACTGTTCGATCACAAAACAAAATGCTCCAAAAGAGGTGAGGCGCAACGACAGGACCCACTGGTCCAACGGACGGTCGAAGTTGCAGAGAGAGTGAGCCTGGTCTCGATCCCGGCCCTTTATGCCTCCCAGCTGATTACCCACAGGTGTGAGTGGGACGTCACTCAGCTGGAGGTGGGAGGGTCTGACAGGTGGAGGCAAGGAGAAACAAAATACCAAAACCAAAAGGACTTTGTCCGTAACAATGCCCTTAAATGTCCTGGATCATTAGACACTCCTGCATTAGCAAGGAGCAACTCAAAAAAGCCCAGTGGGAAAAAAGAGAGAAACCTTGGAGAGGCCCAGGTCGAGGAATCCGCTCCCTCAATCCTCCCTGGCCCTCGAGTCCGGGCCGGGGAAGACAGTCCACAGCTGCAGATGAAGGAGTGGGTCTCCTTCAGGGGTCCCATCATCACGCCATGAAACAGACAATGGGACAGTGGGTGAATAGCAATGAACAGACTACGGGGGAAATCATAATGATGACAGATGAAGTAGGAGAGAGGATAGTGCTCAAATGACCATACTTTTCCGCAATCTGTGTTTTTGTATTTCTAAGTGTTATTATACATCGATCTGTGTTCCTTTCTCTGTCTTAGCTTGCTGTACGTTGCCAACATGGATAAGTTCCGTATGATGTTCCAGTTCCTGCAGTCTAACCAGGAGTCCTTCATGAATGGCATCTGTGGCATCATGGCGCTGGCCAGTGCACAGATGTACTCCGTGTTCGAGTTCAGCTGCCCCTGTATGCCCGAGTACAACTACGCCTACAGCATGGGGCTGCTGTTCGTGCCCCCGGTGTGGTTCTTTCTCTTGGGCTTTGTGATGAACAATAACGTGTCTGTGCTGGCGGAGGAGTGGAGGAGGCCCACTGGCAGCCGCCACAAAGACCCCACCATCCTGCGCTACATGTTCTGCTCCATCACACAGAGGTCACTGATCGCGCCCGCGGTCTGGCTTTCTGTCACTCTGATGCACGGCAAGAGTTTCCTGTGCGCTTTCAGTACCAGCCTCGACATCGACAGACTGGGAAACTTCAGCGTGTTCAGTGGTATCTCCGAGCTGGAGCGGGTTAAGCTCCTGGCCCGGATCCCGTGTGAAGACGAAGTGTACTTTGAGCAGCATAAAGAAATCAGAATGGTGGCCACGCGGTACATGAAGTGCATATCACAGGTACACGTACTGCTGCTGTTTTCAAGTATTACAGACGTGCATTAGACATCAACAATACAACAAGAAACATCCATCCATTTTCTTCCCCTTAATCCATTTCCGGGGCGGGGCGTCAGAGCTGCACCCAGTTCACATAGCACCAGCCCCTCACTGATCCTCCTGCAGGTGGTGAGTTCACAGGAGCCTAGATCTTTCAGCGGGGGCTTCAGGCAAAGTGGGGTTAAGTGTCTTGCCCAAGGACACAACGACAGCAGACATCAGTGGGAGTCGTGAAGTAGGTCTTACAGTGGGCTCGAATCAATGAATAATACTAAAAGTTACAAGTAGGTGTGACAGGTAGTCGTAAAAACCTGCCTAATTCCAATAATAATGTCAATCAAAATTGAAGTCTTTATTACAAAAAATTGTTGATCATACAAGAACACTATGACCTAATGTTTGGCCAATAACTTTTGCGGGGTCAGAATCTATAAAGTCGGAGGTGAGAGAGGTCATACATTCAAACCACACCAAGAGATCCAATCCCCCCATGAATCCAACTCACTTCGCTGCTAAAGTACATAGACATCTGTAAATACTTTTGAACCAAGTGCATTTAATGCCCAGAGTTTATTTTATTTTATTTTATTCCCATCTTAATTTTATTGTCTATTATCTTAAATAATAGACTTTGATGTGTGCAATCTGAGTGCTCTTATTTCCTCTCTCTGCTGTAATGTGCGCAACGATGACACTGAATTTTCATCCACTGTGAGACTAATAAAGGTTCATCTTATCTTATGGCTTGGTGAACCATAATATGTAGTTTAGTTATTGTAGGCTCTAAACACATTATAAGACCTCACAATGATTTATAAAGGGAAATGTATGTAATATTGTTCTGCTTTTGAAGAATTACTCTGGTATTATGTCTTTTAGTATTTTGTTTATTTCTAAAACTCAAATACCGTAAATATTCTCAATCTAAATTGGAGGTGGATGTCTCTTTGAAGGCAGAAACCAAGATTATTCTGATTATCAATGTATCAAGCAGGTTTTATATAAAAAAAGTGATTTGTTAGTAATTGAGAAAGTAAATGATTAATTAGGACGATTGCAAAGCAGTGTAAATGAGTTTCCTTCACAGAGTGGCTGGGCGCTCTCTTTAAGTTATGGTGCGGTCATTGGGGAGGAGCTCGGAGTAGAGCCGCTGCTTACCCACGTCGAGAAGAGCCAGTTGAGATGGCTTGGGCGTCTGGTGTTCTGGGCATGTGGCGCCCCGGGGACGACCAAGGACACATTGGAGGGACTGTCTCTCAGCTGGCTGATAGGACCACTTGATGATGATGTCATAAAAAGACATACAAATACTGTTTATGGTTTAAAGGGTCTTAAAAATCACATCTATTAGAACGTGCATCTGTTTAAGTCTGTATAGAGCATTGATTATTCGACTGCTAAAAGTTAACCATAATGGAAAAATCTGAAATAGTTGCTTAATTACTACAGTCCTAAAAGACACTTATACATATAGATGAAATTAACATACTAATTTGCGCTCTCAAGTTGGATGCTGTTCTTTTCCCCCAGGAGTCAGGTTGAGGCAGGTATAGGCTCGGGCTCCATGCCATGCTTTGCTCACAGCATTGCATGTCATGACAGAACAAAAGATGTTACATAAAACTTTATTTTTTTAGGGCACAAGACATAGATAGGCCAAGATGTTCTTGGAGGCAACCTACATGTGTTTGACTCGCTGGTTTTATTCTAATAATAGTTGGTCTGGGTCTGTATGAGTTGTTATCATGTCAGTTCATTGTGACAATATTTTCCAGGCATGTTTTAGACAATACAATATAATGACAGTTTGTTTCTCCACAGACTTGTGGGTGGATGCTTCTGCTCATGATGACTTTTACGGCCTTCTTGATCCGGGGAATACGGCCATGCTTTACACAGGCTGCTTTCCTGAAGACAAAATACTGGTCCCACTACATTGACATTGAGCGTAAGATGTTTGATGAGACCTGTAAGGAGCATGCAAAGAGTTTTGCCAAAGTTTGCATTCACCAGTATTTTGAAAGCATCAGTGGAGAGATGCGCAGCATTCACCACAACCGCACTTATGGGTCAGAGGACGGTGAGAATGGACGAGAGCTTGGAGATGAAGAAAAACTCATGGGTATCAGAGCTCAGGAGGACATGAACAAAGTGCTGTGGAACTGGCACACGAGTAAACCAGCATTGGCTCTGAGAAAGGACAAAGTGGATCTACAAAGCAATGGAACACTGAAGGGCTATGCAAACGGAGAAGCAAATGTGCTTTTGAATGGACACACTTCAGATGTGGAGAAGAAAGAATGGGCTGTGTATTACAGCAAAGTCTGAGGAAGACAAAAACACACAGGTGCATCTCACACTATATTAGTCAATAGTATTGATATTTTAAAGTTTGGATTGTAATGTACTTCTTCATATCGATTTATTTATTTATGAACACGGAGCACTATGATTTGTGACCGGAGGAGATGACAGTACAATTGTGTACAATCCAAAGAAAACGTTTAAATTCCACTGGACAAGACAATAGTATGTTTATTATAGACTATAGGCAATGGGTTTGCCTGCACTGTGTGCTCACCAGAGGGCAGTCTAGCTGAAATCCCATCTTCTCCCATGCCAACAATGACAACATAAGCATGTCTCTCCACCAGTGAATTTGAAACCACTCATATCTGCACGGTAATAAAAACGATATGTTCGTGTACATGCACTCAATCCAGCTGTTGCTGTTTTCAGCATTACAGATAGGGAAGGCAGAATTGGGTGGGGGTGAAATGGCATGGATCCCACCGAAGCCTCTCCCTATCTCTGGGGATTAGTGGAGCAACACTCCCCTTGACCGTTGCTCACCCAGGAGCCCTGCAGCTGCTCTGCTTTGGCCTCTGTCTATTGGCAGCAGCTTGTGGGGTTGGAGTCTTTGTCTATGATTTCAGCAGTTCCCTATGCAAAGTTTTGCACCTGCCCAGTATTTTTATCCTCCTGTTTTGTGTGTGTAAAAATGTAGTTTCAGCTTATGGACCTGCTGTCAGAGGCCCATAAGTTTCCTGACATGCACTACACAGAATAGCTTTGTTTTGGGTGTCAGGACATCAGCTTGTCTTGTCTCCTGTCTCCCTCTCACACATACATGCGCAGGAGTGTTGCACAGCAGCACATACACATCAACATGCTTGCAGGCGCCTCATTCGTCAGAGTCTGGCTCATTCTGCCCTCCTTCTGCCCACAGATTGGAGGACAGAGGTAGCAAGGGAGGGCTGAGGGAGAGGAGAGTTGCGAGGCAAAACGGCTGGTCACATGAGCACAGATCTGTTTACAAACCCAGAGCATAGCAGAGCAAGGGGAGGAAAGGAAAAACAGCTAACTGATTTCTCCCTGAGCACCATTATGGACTGAGAGAGGAACAAGGGAGGCCTGCCATGACAAAGCCATCTGGAGGTGGGAGAGACTGAGCACGACACATTCAGACACACTTCTGAAAACACATCGCCTTTGTCTCCTTTTTTTTTTCCTCAATTGAAGGAGCAGATGGTTAGAGGGAGAGTAGGATCCCCCTCCTCCCTACTCATACACAGTGACTGACACACAAACACAGACCAGCAGAACACCAGCTCCAGCTTCAGGACTGTTGTTTTTTTTTGACTGCATGGAGCTGTCCTCACTTTGTCTGGTCAGTGAGGGAAGAGCATCCTGGTCCTCTGCACTGTGGAGGAATAACCCCTGCAAGATTAGAGGACTGAGGGAGGAGACAGAGGAGACCATAGGGGGATGAGACGTGAAAATCCCCAGTCAAAAAAGCTGCTTTGATGCCGAGACAAAGCACAGACTAATGCCTGATAATTACCATCATTCTTCGAGAACTGTCATCTCCACCTGTGACTGTTTTTGAGCACAGCAAGGGACACAATCGCACAGCGGACGCAAAGAGGACTGTCTTCTGCTGTAAATGTAAGTATTTCCTGTCACCAAGGAGCTTGTTTTGTTGTGACATTGAACTGAGCAAGATTCTGTTGTTGTAATGCAGTGGGGCTAACAAAACAACCAGTCTTCTGTCAACAAGATTTCTTTGTCTCTTCTTCCTCGTCTCCATGTTGATGACATCATTGTAACTGGGACTTGGGAGCACATGAGGTCTCCAGAACTGGTTCGTAACCTCAATCCCAAATCTCCCAATGTTAGCACGGACTGGTTAATCCTAGATTTGGGAATGCCGAGGCTGTAAGGAGTGCTGAGCCAACGAAATATCTTCAAAAATACCACCTCCTCCTGCCTGAGGATTTGTGGACAGACCTAGACATTTTGAACATCTCCATGGCCGTTAATGAAGGGACTGTGAGACTGACAAAGGAGCAATCCAGTTGACTGCAAAAGGTTCGGTGTCCAGAGCGGCTGCCCACGAGCTTGGCCTCCATCCAGACTTTTTCCTGACTGAGCCCGAATTTACTGCTGCTGCCCTGGGAGTCAAATTTCATGCAACCATTCCAATGGTGTAACGGTAAGTAAGTAGATTTCTCTGCTGTCTGCCAAACACACAAGAGCAGTAGCCCACTTGTGTCTCATATTTAGACTTAGTTCCTGCTCACAGGGCATAGAGGATCTGCATTATGGATGAATATTGCAACATTACTGAGAGTGAAGGCCTGTTTTGTGTTGTGGAAAAGACATTTAAAATAAGTCACAAACACGGTTCATTTGAGGAAGCAGATAAAATATGAAACACTTTTTTTCAGTTGTGAGTTAGATGATTATGATTAGACTAATGCAAGGTCTTTCCTCTGTTGTAATTTACCCAACCCCCAGCAGCCATTCAGCCCATACCCCCACAGTCACCAGATTGTGCCCATTCTTTTAGAGGCTGGCAAAGAGCATCCTTGCTTTAAATTAATCTGAACACGTGCGGCTGTGGAAGTGGGGCTTCCTCTGCTATTGTTTTACCAAATGGCCCTTCTGTTCCCAGAGTTCATGCTGTTAAGATTGCCCCACCCCCTGCCACCTGCATCTGACACAAGGCACTCAGCATTAGCCATACATACAGACAGACACACTTTCTGTCCCCTAAATCTTCCCCCACAGACACACACACAGGCCTAGGGTACACACTCCGGCCTTTACCCCCCTAAAGGGCTGAAGGAACAGATGGTGGCGTGGCGGAAGTTCAGCCTGTCCTCCATGTTTGCCTTGTTCACAGCCAATTAACGGCCATCCCAGCGAGAGCCGCAGTTGCCACCACGGTGAGACTCGGCTCCCTGGATAGATCCAAACAACAGCAATCATCACCAGTCAAACCTCCACCAGAACACATGAGTAATGGCTGCATCACAAATGAGACAGGCGCGCCACAGTGAAATCAAAATACCAGCCCAGAAAGATTTCCTTGCTGTTTCTAGACACTAACTTTAGAAATGTGTTTCAAGTTGACTGGTAAAAACTAGTCTTAAACTGTCGTCCCCTGGGCAAGATGTACAGACGTCATTAAAAAGTCTTGAAGTGACTTTAGGACTTTTATTGTATTAATCAGAATCAGAATGGATAGTTTGTATTTGTGCTAGAATACAGTACAAACTAACAGTAATTTTATACTTGCTTCTTAATATTAAAGTAGAGATTTGAAACTTCTTTATCATGCTAAAGTCACAATTTTGGTACTCATACTAAAAATAGAGATTTTGTACTTGTTTCTTTTTCATGCTAGAGTTAAATTTTTCTCGTAATCTTAATCTTATTATGTCATTACCCATTTGACCCCTTTCAAAGTATGTTTTTCAATGATCTTCTAAAAGCCATGGTTTTTTAATGCAGCATTAATCTCTTGACATTCCTTTTAGGGTCAGGGAGATCCACATTAAGCATTAGAGAGTTTACAAAATTAGGAAAACTTGTATAACTGTGTGCGCTTTGCATCTGTGGACTTTGAGTTGTATTGTTGTTTTTAGGGGATGTTTACAGAAAAGTTAAGAAAATGCCATATATCTTGATCATCACTTGCTCCTCGTTTCTTCTGTTAAGACAAACAGATTAGAACAATGGACGCTTAAGTCAGGGTGTGTTAACCAGCAGAGTTGTGTGAAGTTAAAGCTGTGTTTGTGGCTTGTGTGTGCACGTGGCAGGGTGCCTGTGTGCTTTGGGTATTCAGCGATCTGAACACTACTGCAGCATGACGTCGGACATCTACCAGCTCCCGCTCAATGTCTATGTCATTGTGCTGGGCATTGGGCTCTTCGTCTTCATGCTCAGCCTCATCTTCTGCTGCTACTTGTTCAGGTGAGGAGTGTGTGTATGTGTTTAAGTAAGAGCGAGACAGAAACAGCAGGATGTACTATACAAGAGCAAACAGGAAGCTGGGCAGGAAGTGTGACCTTATACTGCAAGATGACTAGAAGGTGGTTTGTGTGTAGAGAAAAATAAATGTTCAAGTAATACTAGTTTGGTTTGTTTAAAGTGCTTTCTGTGACTGTCCAGGTGGGGGGTCTGCCTTTTTGCTTTGTCTAAAATCAAGGGGTGTCAAATTTTCAGCCCTGTGAGAACATTTGTTGTGGCCCTTGAGATGATTTTCACTTAGAATTATTATTAACTCAGCTACTTAAGTATGTTGTTACATGATTTTAAAGCTAATTTTCTCCAATAAATGACCATATCATCAATTTATTCTAGCATTAGCACCTGAAACGCAATTAGTAATGTTTAAATGAAAAAATATATAATTCGAGCCAGATTTGGTGTATTGTAATAATGACGTAGGACATTTTGTACAGAAAAACCAACCTGAAAATATCCTAATATGCAAATTCAAATGCACTGGCTATAAAACCATGCATTATTATTGTTATTATTATCATCATTTATTATTATTATTATTTTATTATTTTATTATTTTATTATTATTATTATTATTATATTATTATTATTATTATTATTTTATTATTATTATTAAGTAAATATAAAAAACAAAAACATAATAATAAACTTTCCACTGAGAAAATTACTTTTTTATACTTTTGGCTCCAACCCGACTCTTGTCTGTTTAGTCCATGGACTTAAATGAGTTTGACAACCCTGATCTAAATAGTTTTTTTTTGCATGGAATCTTCTACAGTTTGGCATTAGGCTTTCCATTTACATTAGAAAACTACAAGCACGTGGCTTCACAGGCTTTAAGTCACAAGTTAAATCTATGGAGAGGCAAGTCTGTAAGAAGTCCGTTTAATACGCTGTAAAATCTGTTATTTACTGAGCGGCATTCCATTCAAAGCAATAACACGTCAAGCGCAAGAAGCAGGTAGCGGTCCCCGTCAGAACACTTGCAAGCACCTTTAAGATGCTGGTTTTAAAGGCACTCTCCACATTTACATAAAAGACATACGGCTGTTTGACTGACAAGATTTATTAGGGCTTTTCGTTTATATAGGCCAAGTTATTGTTGAGGAAATTGAACAGGGTAAATAGTATTGATGAAAATGCAGCAACAACAATAAACAGTAGGTCACTGGGTTAGAAATGCACTGAAAAGAATATATTACTACAGAGGCACACGGAACGGACAATATGTGGGTCATGTTAGCGATCCCAGCAGCAACACTACAATACCTTTGTCGACAAAAGAAAGATGTATTTATAAAGCACATATCTTATAAGAATTACAACCTGATGTGCAGAACGTTCAACAATTGAATGAGCAATGAAAGAGATGTTAATATTATTTGACTATATTTGACTGTAGTATGTTTTGAGTTTATGCTATTTTGACAAATCTTTACTGTAGAATATGCCACCTGTTGTGTATCAATCAATCAATTTCATTTTTAGAGCCCTTTACAACACTCAAGGCGACCAAAGTGCTTCACAATAAAATTACAATATATGCCAGTTTTACACCGACAAAGTTACAGCTTGTGAAGAAATATGGGAAAAATGTGTTGAATTTACAGGAAGTAGAGCAGAGTTCTGGAATAGATGACATCCCGCCGGAGATAGATACTACTAAAGTCTGACGCAAGTTTCAACAAGTGCATTATTTTTAACACAATGTAATCCCTAAATTCAACAAAATAAATATGTAATTGTTTATAATGGTTGCTGGGTAATGTCATCAGATTTACGCTCAGTTCAGTCTTTATGCTTGGGTCACAAACAAATAAATGTAAAAAAATGGTAAAACTGATTAAATGTGTAAAATAATATGTAAAAATCTGGTTTAGGCAAGACCATTTTGATTGTATCGCACAAGACAAGTTTGACCTGTCTTACGCAAGCACTTACACAGCCAAGTTCACACGAGTACAAAAATAAATTATACATTCTCTTGAGAAAAAATGAAAAATGGGATATGCAGGAGAGGATTTAGCGAAGTTGCCACCACTCAACCCAACCAAAAATGTACTGTATATACTTTGAAGTATAAGTATTAGAAAGACACATGATTGTACAACATTGTTATTATCCAATTAACTTTGTTTGTACAGCACATTTTATAAAACATGTTTCCAAAGTGCTGCACAGAGAAAAAAGTAACACATTTATCTAAATATACAGGTTTTCCAGCTTTATATGTGAAGAATAGTATCAAAACATGTAAAAACAATATAAAATGTATTCAGAACGATGCAACAAGAAGCAGTTGTAGAACCTTTACGAAGGTATGTGATTTTGTGGTAGTAGAACGCTTGAGAGTATAGCAGGTCTAAATATAGATGTTTGTGTGTGTGTGTGTTTGTGTGTATTTGTGTGTTAGGTTGAAACAACAAGGAACCAGAGAGCAGTTCAGCTACAATGAGGTGAGTCCCCACGGCCCTCCGCCCCCCCTCCCCCAGCCTCTCCATCTCCCCCGAGTCTGAACATGTCACTGCGGCTGGATATAAATACAATAAGTCATGTCGCTCTGTTAGTGTGTAAAACCTCACGTTGCTGTTTATAGCCGACCTTGACTGAGAGTGTGTGTGTGTGTGTGTGTGTGTATGTGTGTGTCGACTATTACCTACTATGCAATTTATCTGAGGACCATATATATACAATACATCAATAATAAAGTACTGCAAACTACTCAGAGGTGCAGTTAAATACAGAATAAACTCAAGAAAACTGTATGATATGATTTGACTTGAGCGCATTAAGCAACTGTTATTACGGGAAGGTAAAAATGCTGACACATCAGTCTCTTGACCTGCCTGTCTCTCTAGGTGGTGCTAAAGGGAGCAAGTAAGAAGCTGAGCCTGCTGGGAGTAAGTTACATATTTATCATATTTTGCACACAGTTTTAGGGCTGTCATTTATGATTATTCTAAAAGTTGCTTAGTCGTCAATAATCTTTGCAAGTCTGGTCAATTAATTCTATTCTCTTGTGAGATTTTTAAAGGCTTGTTCTATTTTTTTCCCCAGCCCAAATTGACATTAAAACTCTCAAAACGCACTATGTAATTTAATCCATGTTCAGGTTTCAGGTTTGATCACCAGTTTTCAGGTGCATGTATTGTTTGGCCTCTCTCACATCTCTAAATAACCTTCTTCAGACAGAAAGGTTAAAAAGAGAAGAACCTCACTCAGCGATTCAGGCCTCGGACCAAAGTGTTGAATAGTGACTGACAATAATTTGATTTTTTTAATAATAAAGACAGCATGGTGTGGTCTGATATTTGTTCACAATATTACTCAGAACTAACAAAATGTGTAAAAAGTATGTAACATATGAACAAAGAAGTTGGAGTAGGACACCTTTAATATTAGTGAGGGAAAGACATATGCTAATAAATCCTATAAGTACACATACCTGAACATGGGAGGTGATTGCTTGTCTGATGATATTAATCAGACCGTATAGAGTTAGCCCCGAAGCAATGTTTGTTCTGGTTTTGAAAAAGCTTGTTCTTCACTCGAATCTGCTCCTTATCCTGAACATTTCTGAACCATAGCTTTTCCTTTGGTCTTGATTTTTTTGTCTTCACTGATAATAATCATAGTTTTATCCATAGATCTCATTCATTATAGTCCTGGCGAAAGAAGCGTCTTGAGATGAACAAATTGCAATGTATGGTTTTTGCCAGATTATTTCTATAAAAACGTTCTAAAAGTTCGAGGAAATCCTAGTTTATCAAATATTTGAGTTACATCATGATTCAGCTACACTTTAAAAGGCTTTCCTTCCTTTACTCAATCACAGTGAAAAGGACATTATATTATAATGTAAATGAGCTCAACACTATAATATCCCCAAAATGTGTGTTGCTCTAGAGTCAAATAATATTGAAAGGATCTTTTTATACTTAACGGTAACTTTTCATGTCTACTTTAAACAAGTTCAGTGTGTAGTCTGGCTGCATTGACACACGCATCTTGAATTGATCAAAATTAAACCTATTTGGCCAAACTTTTAGTACGTTGTTCTGGAGAAATAATAATAATAATTCATAAAATAAGTGTGGTTGGATAAGTGCTGTAAATATTGACCAGTGTTTTGTGTTTGTGTTCATCATAAATTTTAAATTTAAATTTATTCTTTAGAAGTGTTTTTTATTCTTATTTTTATTATCTCTTTTTGACTGTTGCACTGAGCCAAAGCAATTTCCTAGTCTGTGACCTCCTGTTACTTACGTGGCAATAAAAATGATTCTGATTCTGATTCTGATTCTGATCTCTGTGTGTTACAAAATGTCTCTCTTTCCTCCAGCAAACCTGTGCAGTGTGTTTGGAGGAGTTCAGGACCAGAGACGAGCTGGGGGTGTGCCCGTGCTCGCATGCATTTCACAAGAAGTGAGTCACAACCTTAAACTGTGTATATTACCGTCTGTAGTCACAACTGAATGAGCAAAACACTTTTGTCCAAGATGAAACTACTTTTGAACATAAGAAGAGTGAAAAGACGTCGTTATTTAGAAGAGACAGTCCCAGCTTCGTTCAGAACAGAACAGGGACAAAAGGTTCAGTTATTGTGCTTGAACATGATTGGATGACCAAAGAAAACAGTGACAGAAAGTATATTAGAAAAAAATTAAATTACAGATACATTAATTGCTCTTTCCACAACTGTATTATTTCTTCCAATTTACAAGATCCTTTCAAATATTCACAATGGAGCAGTTCTTGTTATCTTTACCTAAACATTTTCTCTTGGCTCAATACCACAAAATATACAGATAGTTCATCTGAATTATATATACATTTCTACACACTAAGTCGTTTTAATTTCAGAGAGTGAGACATAACAAATATTTATTTTGGCACCGAATTTGTCAGTATTTTCATCCTCATCCCGATTCCGTTACTTCTAACCTAAACAGATAAGCGTTAGAAGTATCATAATTCCCCACTTTTATGCTGATTGGAACTCTGCTTGAGAGGTGTGGTCCTCTACAATCTTCCATTTCTATCAATTTTCTTCCCCTTAATCCATTTATGGGTTTTGAAAATAACTTTTATCAGTTTAATTGTGAAACTATTCTGTTCTCCATGTCCACAACTTTGGACCAAGTGAAACCAACATGGGCTTTTTATGACTGTAGCTATGACTGCTGTTGTGATTTAGGGCTATACAAGAATACATTGAAATTGAATAACTAACTGTTGATCATTTGTTCTGTCAAAATTATTTCTGCCACTGATTATTTATGTGCAGCACTATAGTAAAACAAAAAAGAAGTCTTGTCTATAAAATGCGCTGTAGAAATAGATTGGATAGTCTTAAACCTGACTTGTGTGTGCAGGTGCCTCCTCAAATGGCTGGAGATCCGCAGCGTGTGCCCCATGTGTAACAAGCCGATCATGCGCCTTCACACAGACGCTCCGCAGGGCGCAGAGGGGCCGCTGGACCCGGAGGAGGTGTGAACTGGACACTAGAGGGCGCACTACTGCCCTCCCCTGTGGATAATATTTACAGATTAAAAAAACACTACAGTCAACGAAGAACTATGGTTTATTTAAAGCCAGGAGTTGTTGATAAAGATCCCACAAAGGCCACAAGCTTTGAGCAATATGCCTAAACTGTGGAGATGGGACCGATGGAAGTAGGTAGATATACAGGACATTTCCATAACAAAATGCTCCTAGTTCTACTTCCATGTTGCACTGCTCATAAGTTTCAAACAAAAGGAAAACGAGTCACATTTAGAAAAAGCAGGAGAACCATAGCGACAGTCATGGAACCGTTTGGACAGGATTGCCAGGGACCGACAGTGCGGATACCTCTAATCTCTCAGGGGTGTTACCGACACACAGCCAGCACAACCACATCCTTCACTCTAACGCTGTGCCACATATTCAGTACTGCCAATGTGGGTGCAACGATCATGCAATCAGTCGGCCATAGCCTCCGAACTGACTGAATCCGAGACCAGCGGGATCACAACTACTCAAACCCAACCGTATGTTACAGATTGTGTCCCAGGCCCTTTCCTTAAGAAGACTGATAGCAAACCTAGTCTTGCCTGTATGTATTGTATGTAAACGTGCCCCTATATATTGTTATTTTGTATTTGTTGCTTTTAAATAAAATGTTACGTATTGTATTGTCATTGTGGCAGGTTTATTAACAAGATAATTTAGTAGATCAGAGCAATTTGTTATCAGATCATTTAAAAACACATTTCATTATTTTTCAAAACATTTAAAAATGGTTTTCTTACAAAATAGGAAGGACAACTAAATTAAAAGACACAATGGGAAATGTAAAGTCTGTAGTTTGATTTAATTATACTGTCCAAAAAAATGTAGATGGCTTTAAAGATTTAGTAATGTCTTCAGCTGGCTGCTTCTGTGCCTTTGGATTCCACAAACTCCATGGCTTTTTCTTTGACTTCCTGGATGCTCTGAGGAGTGCCATGTTTCTTCTCATATTCCAGATAACGTTTGAAAAAGAACTTGATTTTCTTCACAGAAACGCTCAAGTGGATCACACGGTCGAAGAGTGCCCTAAGAGACCGTAATAAATCATTACAATTGTGTTTGTTAACAGATGAAACGTATAAGTCAAAGTAACTGACCGGACTTCCTTCTGGGACCCGTGTTTCACCATCAGGTCGATGAACACGGACCATAAGTCTGTGCGTTTTGGGTAACTCGTCAGCACTTTGTCAAACATGGCACAACCTTTCTCTGCATCACCGTAACGAAACTCCAGCTGCCCGAACTTAGCAATCACATCCACACCTGAGGCACAGTCACTTGAGTAACATGAAAACATAACAACATTGAGTCAGTAAGAAAGTATAACTCACTCTCTTTGGCCGGCAGACTCTTCAGCGCCCTCTGGAGGAGAGCGTTTGCAGCGTCGCTCTGTCCTTGTTGAAGCAGGAAGGTCCCATAACTCACCCACACCGCTTTATTCTGACGAAACTTTTTCACCATAGTTTTATAGAGAGATTCAGCCTCCTGCACACACACACAATTGTTACAGACTTCTGTCCTGGTGTTCAACCTACGTTTATCAGTGGACTGAGACCTTGGTCTTGTCCGTCTTGGCGTAGACATCGGCGAGTTGCTGGTAAACAGGCATGGGCTCACAGAACTGCAGGGCTCGCTCAAACACTTTCTTCAAGCTCTCCTCAGTGCCGTACATGTTCTCCAGGTTAAGAAGAGCCACCCACACGTTCAACTTCTCCTGCTCCTCTCTGTCAACACATGAAATGATATTCAACCCATTCTAATAATTGACTATCAACATTTAAGGATAACATTATTGGGGCGACAGTAGCTCAGTTGGTAGAGCATTGGCCTTTGAGCCTGAAGGTCGTGGGTTCAAGCCCACCATAAGACCTACTTCACGACTCCCCACTGATGACTGCTGTCGTTGTGTCCTTGGGCAAGACACTTAACCCCACTTTGCCCGAAGCCCCCACTGAAAGATCTCAGCTCCTGTGGACTCACCACCTGCAGGAGGATCAGTGAGGGTGCTCTGTGACTGGGTGCAGCTCTGACTGCCACCCCCCCCGACCCAGAAATGGATGAAGCGGAAGAAAATAGAATGGAATTATGGCTTTAGTTAGACAATATTTATTAATAATTGCTATCTGAAAGAGATGTAATTGCCGTCCAACTGTTCTTTAGCATATAGGTTCGGTTCTTACAGGAAATTTTACACCTGGAGTAACTAACTAATCATAAAAAAGACCAACAGAAGGGATAGAGAAAGTAAAATATGGCTTTTGCATACTATACTATTTTTTTTTTATATTTTCTGTCTGAATAATCTGATCTAGTGTGATTTGAGAGGGAGAAACTACATTTGTTTTAAAGTATGTGGTCTGAATTTGCAGAGTGCTGTCTGTATAATTACAATGTAGTGTCAGGCAGAGGATATATTGACCAATCACCTGAAGGAGATAGTTTTGAGCGCCCTCTCAGCCACAGCGCGTGCCTGTTCGATCTGTGTGGCCTGGAGGTGGTGGGCCATGTACTGCAGCCAGAGCAGAGAGCTGTCGGGCGAACCTAACAACAGGCGCTCAAACGCAGCGTCATCTTCGGGCCTCAGGGTCGGGTTCATGAGCTCAATCTCCCGTTTCAGCAGCGCCTTCTCAGCTTCCTTCTCCTCCAGTCGTGTCTTCTTCTGGGGCTGAAATTACATGGATTTGTAAACCTATACCGAATACTGATTTTCACTTCTTTATTCTTACTTTGCTGCTAGTGTCTTGGTCTTCATCGCTGGAGTCGCCGTCGCGCTCTTCAGTGACTGGCTTCAGGGAGCTCAGCGTAACGTCCCAAGAAAACCCCCCTGACACTTGTAACCTGGCCGGTCCCGCAGACGATTGATCCTGCTATATTATAAAGAAAAATAATGTTGGTTAAAATGTAAAACAATTCAATTCATTTGCAAATACAAATATGTGATTATAAATGTACATGGACAGGAGCAACTTTGGTCTCTTCTTCATTTTCTTCCTCCCTGAAGAACACTTCCACGCCGCTGTCACAGTCTTCCACCTTTGACTTTTTGGACTTTTTCTTTTTTGTCGCTGGAGCCTCTACACCCTACGATCAGAAAATATGGTTTGATTATGCTGTATGAAATTATAGGGATACACCAACATCAAACTTATCTGCGTTCCTGGTGTCGGGACAATATTGACAATGGTCTCACTGAGTGCAGGAGCGTATCAAATCTACTAGTGAAAGTAAACTCAGCTGTCAGACCGAATCACCAAAAACAAGAAAAGAGAACCTCTTTTTGTCCCAAAGTGGAGAAATAAAAGTGTTGCGGTTGCCAGTACAATGAAAGTAGGAAAAAAGGAGAGCTGTAGCTGTAAATATTTTGCAGAATGCCTCCACTTTTCAGAACATACAGAACTGGGGCGACAGTGGCTCAGTTGGTAGAGCATTGGCTTTTGATCCCGAAGGGTCGAGCCCACCACAAGACCTTCTCCACCGACTCCCACTGATGTCTGCTGTTGTTGTGTCCTTGGGCAAGACTCTTAACCCACTTTGCCTATATGGAGCGCGGAAGTGATGTTCGCTGCTTGCCTTGATGTGTATGTGCATATTATGTGTATGCATCAAACTGAAGTTTCCCCATTGTGGGACGAATAAAGGACCTTCTATAAATACAATATTTGGATATGAGCATGAAGACAAAACAGACAGAGGAACGTGTTATTGCCAGCAGTCTGTGAAATTGGCGTGTTCGACCAAAAACAACTCCAGGTAAGTCTTAAAATGTGAGCAAAATTAACAGTGGGTTAGTTTTTCCAGAGGAGGGAGTTACCTGCTGACTTTTTGACACGTCGCGTTTTCTCTTTAAATCATGTGCCTTCTTTGCCGCTCCCACGAGCCGCAGTGGCAGACCCATAGATTGGGGAAGGACATCTGGCTTCTCCGTGTCCGCTGGGAGCAGAGAGAGGTCGACTAACTCCGCCTCTTGGTCAATACTGCGGATTAGAAAAAGGCACCGCACCAGAGTAAGTATGGATCCATGTTCAAGATTTACATCCAAATAAACGATTGGAGAATGACAAACAGGATAAACATTCAGCTAAAAGGAAATACTCTTGAGAAATGTGTGAAAGTGAAAATTATTGTTATGAATCTTTTTGAATATATATTGTTTTGCTCTTTCATAAAAACAAATAGAAAGAATTCCTTCATAATTGTCTTGAGTCAAAATGCTTTTTGTGGTTATTTTGAAAGACAAGTTAGATGTATTACCTTGTTGTAATACATCTAATAAACAATGAATCCTCTGCAGCAGATGGGACTAAAAACAAACATTCGTGCCAACATTCATACCTGAGAATTTTGGTGGTGAGAAGAGAGTTTGGAGGCAGAGTATCCGCAAGTATCTTGTAGCTGGAAATATAGTACTGCGTAGACTTTTGAATCTGGGCTCTTCCGGTAATTCTTCGAGACAATCTAAACAAGGTTGAACAAGTTGAAACATTAGATCAAGCTAAAATAGTCGATATGATTTAGAGCTAACCTGAGGAAAACTCCTTGCTCAATGACGGTCTTGACGAAGCCCCTAATGATCTGTCCTGGTTTCAAACTGTCCAAGGACAACACCTCCCGGTCTTTCACTTGTTTTCCTTGCCCTGGATTCATTCTGAAAAATAAATCCATTATACGCTGTATATACAATTTACAGTTTGTCTTTTTCTACCTTGACTGACGTAAAGACAAATTCCATTTGTCATTTTCGCATCCCAGCAGGTAACATCTTAAAGAAAGTTTAAAAGTGTCAATAGTTTCATGTCATGCACAGTGTAAGATCATGTTATAATCCTCCAGCACAGACTTGATGAGCTGGTCCTTGCTGTAGGCGTCAACAGAGTGTGGTTTGTAGGCGTCAGAGAGATCAGTGACAGCCACCGTTCCTGAGCCTCCGAAGGGCAGTCTGACCTGAAGACCGTACGGCTGCACTCTTGTCACAACTCCCACACAAACACTGTCCTTCTCCAGTTTATACGCTTCTGTAAACAGGAAAACTAAATCTTACAAATATGTTGTAAGTGTTTGAAAGTGTGGACGGTCAGTGCTCATTCCTACCAATGAGAGACAGCACAAGGCGCTGTGGTTTTGAGCTCACATCCACAACCTTTGCTCGAATAGCTTGTCCGAGTTTAAAAAGTTTCTCTGGGTGACCAGCATCCTATAAAAGGCAGACACAAGGAATATACATCGCCATACTCCATCAATTGGAATAAGCTGTGCTCCGACAGTACCTTTGGGTCAGTGATCATAGCAAGAAGTTCAACTGTTCCTGTGACATTCGGATCTGTGGTAACTTCCAGTGATTTCTTTAATGGATTATACTAGAAAGTATAATACATCTTCATGAATATCATATCTACAATAAGTTAACAATGACTCTGTAACATCAGAAAGTACCTTTGATACAAAGCATGTGATCTCCCCTCCAACAGTATAACTGTCAAGTTTTTCAGTGCCTGTGACGGGTGTGAAATCACTTGCTTCTATTTTGCTGAAAAATAAACATAAATGTAAACCGAAGCTGACATTTAAAAAGTTTCAAACATGTGGTTAAGCTTACCTTGGCAACAATGTGAGCTCAGGACAATGGTATTTAAATTTTGGATGGGAAAAGGGCAAAAACCTGACAAATAACACATGGTTTAGAAATAAGACGGTTCTTTTTGGAGCCTAGTGAAAGGAGCATGTTTACCTGTGACTTGTGACCTCTCTTCCTCCAATAACTCTGGCAGTGACTTTACTGCCCACTTTTATGGAGGACGTAGGGAAAATGCCTCGTACCAGCTGGTCCAGCTCTAACACTTCAGACACGTGCACACTGCCCACAACCCCACTCTCCAGTGTGACCTGGATACAGGTGGGCTTCACTGAACGCACTGTGCCACAAACTACATCTCCAAAACAATTCCCTTTAGTGGGGTGCGTCTCGGAGGCCGTGCGCTGACGCTTATGAATGTTACGCTCCCAGGACACCAGGGGGAGCCCTTGCAGCGCCGCACAGTTGGGGTCGATCACCTCCGCCTCAAAAGTGACTCCAGCCTTTAAGCGGTCCGACTCATGAACTGCCACTTCGTTAAGATGACTGCGGCTTTCTATGAGCGTCAGTTGAGCAGTGTCCCCCAATGAGACGACGGCAAAGTCCTTCTCCACAAGCTGAACTGTTGCTGTGTATTTTGAACCTTCGTTTAACTGGATTAAGACAGAAATAAGGAAATGAAAAGAAAACACTTATGACTGATTTTGATGAGGGAACAAAATGACAACTTACAGATTTCTTTTTTGACAACAGCTTTGGTAAGATGGAAACATTGACTTTGGCAGCTAAGATGTCCACAAACAGCACAATCGCAGTTACTTTTTGTCCAGCCGATAGTTTTTGACCTGAAGAAAAGAATGCAACACTTTCATAAACAATTGAACAATATAATGGAATAATATACACACTTCATACCAATAAAATGTTGTTTGGTGGCCGTTATTGTGGCACCGTTGATCTCATCTGACTTAAAAGTAGCATGAGCCTCCTCCACAGAATCCACAGTCAACTTCATCTTTTGACCAATGCCCAGATTCGACAGCTGTTGTCGGAGATCGTTGTTTTCTAAAAGATAGTTTTATAGGTTATGTGTAACATGTTATGAGGAGTATAAGAAAACGTTTGGTTAAAGTGTTACCTCTTATAGACAACATTTCAGCCACAGCCCGTCTCTCCTGCAGACCATTGGTCAGTCTGGTCTGTTGGTCTCCCACGGGCAAAATAACCTCCGATTGCTTCAAAGTGACCAGAAACCGACGCTTTTCCTCGTCTATGTTTGTCACCTTAGCGATGACCGTCTGACCGAGCTCAAAGGCTGTGGTCGTATCCGCAATGAATCGATCATTCATGGCCTAAAAATAGAGAATGCATAAGAAATATATTTTTATTAATGGCAACTTTTGAATTAATGAATATTATGTGAAAAAAGATTAATACTGGTATACGGTTGTACTTACGGATTTGGGAGTGAGACCAACAAGGCCATAGGGAAACTCAACAAAGACGCCATAGGGCATAATATTTTTGACCCAACCATACAGCTGCATTCCCACGGTTATTTCTGAAAAGTCTTTGGCCAAAATTCCTTCTTCCAGAGCCCATTTTATAGTTGGTTTCTTGGTTAGAGTCTGAAAAGGCGCTGCTTAGGACAAACCATTTTCTGACTGCTGAATATAACTACATATGTAAATGATAAACTAATATAACTTCCAATACAGAGTAGACAAGGATACTATATTCTGTTTGTTCTTACTGCAACAAACAAGATTGGAGATGGTGTCTCCTTCTTGAAGACTCTCCCACAGCAAAGGGCCATTGGACAAGTGATCCGTGAGGTGCATTATGGGAAGAACAGCAGGGATGTCATCGGGCAAGATAGCAACTTCAAGTCCGCTGACCAACTTTTTCAGCACCCGCGCCTCCACTTTCTGAACACACATCACAATTAAAATGTTATCTGTAAAGAATAGTCAAGTATAATGTTTTGTGTTTTACCTTTCCAACATCACAATCGAAGTCAGGCACTTCAACATTGCCCTCCACGGCTTCTTTAAATGAGAGCAACAGTCTCTCCTTCTCAGGGTCGCACTGGAGAACCTTTGTCTTCAACACCTGAATTCAAAACAATTGAAAACGGTCATTTACAGTAGAAGCCAGACGTTTTTTCATAATGTTTTTTTCTTCTATAAAAGACCAATAAGATAACCATGTAATTACAACAAAGTGTTTTGAGATTTGAAATCCCAATCTTACTATTGCTATATAGAAGAAAGTCGAAACTGCATTGAAGACAAGAACATTTATGAACTGTGTAAATGTTTTAGACCTGAAATTAAAAATTCATCTCATTCAGTAATATAAGCAAATCTGAAGAATTACCACTTATTTCATGTCATACTCTGACCATGAGCCAATGGGAAACATCGTAAAAAATAGGTGACCTCAACTCAACAACTAAATCTTGTATGTCTTGCCAAAGTGAAAATGCTTAAATTTAATTGAAAGCAAATTTTGTGCCCATATCTGATGGGCTGTTGCTGATTAGTATTATAGTTAGCTAAGCTTTTTAGAGTGATTAATTTTGTATTTTATTTTTGCTGCTACTGGACACTTGAATTTCTCCTACAGGGATCAATAAAGTATCTATCTATCCATCTATATCTGATCATCAAATGCTTAATGTAAATAAATGTACTGTATAACATCAGCAATTACAAGTTACAAGACGCCTTTGAAAGCGATTGTCCGAGGACACCTAAAGATGAGTGTATTTCCGAACCTGTCCGACATAGAAGAACTCCTCGGGGCTGATGATGGCTTCGGTGCTGAGGTGGTTTAGTGGAACGAGTCCTTTAACATTGTTGTAGAAACGAACAATGCAACCAAAATCTTTTATGCAGACAATATAGCCATGAGACACACGTCCAGGGCGGGCATCGGCAAAGCTCAGGAACAGAGGCAAAGAACTTTCAATTAAAGCCTTTTTCCGAGTCAGAGACAGCTTCCGGTTTTCAGGATCAACAGATAACACCTGTGACAAGACCAACGAGTTAAGATACAAATCTGTCTGAAGGACTTGATGAGACCCTGATGAGTAGAACTGAAGTGCACTGACCCGGCATTTAACCTTGATGCCCTCTGTATACTTCTTCTCTGGATTCTTCAACAGAATATCTGACAGATGAGTCCGGGGCACCAGGCCTTTAATGTGGTCCGAAATGTGGACAATCATTCCCCTATTGAACAGCACTGACACTTTTCCCTGGAAACAAGCAGTACAGGTATAGTTAAACAAAAGCCAAAAATATGAAAACAGAAAAGATAAAAAACATCTTGGTTTTCTTACCTCTACAATTTGACCAGGATTAATGTCATGATATCTAAAGAATGGCCTTTTAATTACACTCCTATAAAAGAGTCATATAAAAAACATAAGTCAAAACATCACACAAAGCGCATAATTAAAATATGATGCTAAAGAAAAGCATACTGGCGTAAAGAGGCAAAATAAATCTGGTCTATGAGGCAAAAGTCCAGGATCCTGCAGGTGTGTTCAAGCTTAGCCAGAGTTCTGTTCTCATTGGACTCAGCACCTACTTCTTTCAAGTGGTTTTTCTGTCACAGAAATAACAGTTTTGAAATTCCTATAATCATTTATGGTCACATTCCCTACAAACTTACATGAACGAAAGCCTGTTCTCGGTCTGGCAGCTCTAATGTGCCCCCGGAGCTGTGATGCAGAGCTGTCATTTTACAGTTTTCCACAACTTGACCGATCTGCAGACCTCCAGGGTGAGCGGTGTTGACCCGGGTCCCAAGGGCTGTCAGGTAGCTGCGAAGGCTCAATCCTACCAAACGGCTGGTCGGGTCCACATACAGAACACAGGCACGCACCTAAAACTCGAAAAAAATGTTTACTTTAGTTTGAAGCTTGGATGAGATCTAACAATTGAAATGTGTAGTTCAGTCCACCTCATTCCCTTCCTTGTAGCTTGATGACTTCTCTGGGTCCAGGTGGAGAAAGTCTACTTGCCCACTAAAATTTGATAGGAACTTAATAATTAGTCCATGTTTGGTGACCTGAAAACAAAAATAATGAACATTTCAACAACACATGCAGAAAAAGGTTTGCATTGCCTTTTGAATATTATCCAAGATATTGTTTTGACACATTGCCCAGTGCTCTCTGGCCCTTGTACGGCTTTAGAGGTTTACCTTTTTAATGGTTGCTTTGACCAGAAGACCAGGAAGTAAGTTTGTGAGGTTCCAGCCTTGGTCCTCTTCGGCAAATGTCTGCGCAATGGTTTTCGGACTGACTGAAAGCTGTATGATGCGGCCTTCGTTTTTGACTTTATCCACGAGTGACATCACATATTGGCCCACATTTAACACTGTATTAAAAAAGTGAAAAACACTTCTATATTATTTTCTAAACAGGTAGTATACTATTATTAAACATGGAATGGTTTTAAAACCTTCAGGACTGTTGTGTTTGTCCTTTACGGAGTTTTTGGGAAGAAAAGCTTTACTTCCAGAAACGCCGATGTCAATAATATACCCATGGTCCTCTACACTCTCCACACACCCACTTAACACCTGAGGAAAAAACAAAAATAAAATTGTCTTGTCTTTTTTCAATGACATTTGTAAGACCTACCATTCCAGCTTTGACAGAACTTGAGGAGAGAGCCTTGTTAACCAATTTGGGATTCACCGAAAGCTGAATGCTCTGTGATCCACTTTTCCCCACGTCCACTTTGGCTACAACACATCTGATAACCATGCCAGGGACGAAGAGACGGGGCAACGAGAAAACCTCCTAAAGAAAAAAAATCACGCTTGCTATATGTAACGTAAACAATATCATGATTGACATCTTACCTCAGTGTCAGCTTCATCTGAGTTGAGGTGCTCAGTGAGTATCTTGGTGTAGGAATCACAGATGTTTTTAATGCTGAGGAAACCTTGAAGGCCACAGGTCAGACTCACTGTTACTTCAAAGTCTGCCACTTCTTTCACACACCCAAGGAAAAGCATTCCTTCTTTCACATTCTGGGAACCAAAGAATAATATATTAATCATGCAACATTATAAAGGACAAGATAATATTTCAATAAATACCTTGGCATGTAGGATTTCCACAGTGTTGCCTGCAACGTTGAGCATCAAGGCGTCGGTTTTGGACTTTTTAACCTTTTTGCCATCGTCTTTGCCAGCCCCTTTCCTCTTTTTAGTTTCTGTGTGTTCATTTGTCTGGAAAAAAAAAAGATGTCGGAGAATTGACTTTGAAAACATGTTAATATCTACAGTCTATGGTTATACCAAAAGTGAATAGTTAAAGGAGTAAAAATTGTGTATCAAATGGATTGTTTAGGATTTGAGTTGCAATTTTAGTTGTGATAATTCCTAATTCACAAAACAAACAAAAATATGTATGGACTGTGAACATACAATCTTTTCCACTTATTGGTCTGGACTCTCTGGAGGACTTGATTGAGAAATGTAACAGTCTTGATCAGTTTCAAAGCAAGAGAAATAATCCCTCAAGTCACTATGCACTAGGGAGTTTTATTTTTTTGAATAATCACCAACTATTAACCATCACCTACTCTATATAAAGATGGGATTTTAAGTTTCATAATGAGCTGTTATTACATAGAAATAACTTTAATGAATATGTTTTGTTTCACAGTGACACTGAAGCAAATGCTGAATGTATGAACAATTTAAACATCACTTGAGTGATTCTCAGTCGATTATTCTAGTTGTTACAATACTCCACTCAAGCAAGAACTATACATTTGTCTGTGAAAAGAAAAAAACGACCATAAAAATATATACTATACTCAATTATACCCAAATCTTAACTTGCATTCAAGTAATGTTAAGCTTGATTATGTATTTACTTTATTCTAATAAAAGATCATTATAAACTGTAAAGGAATTTTTTAAAGATAAATAATGGAAAAAATTGACATATATTTATTGCAACCATTCAAATAAGTAATATTCTCCATCCCGGTGGTTAAAACTATTGCCTTGTATTAAAGATCCATGCAGCAGCAGCCTACCTGAAAGAGATTGTCTACTTCTGATCTTGGCACCACAATGTTCCTTTCTGCTGAGTTTTTGGCTGCTCCTCCGCGGGGGAAGTTTTCCTCCGTTGACGCCATGACTTCGTAAATCTTCGTGAAGTGAAGTCAAGGAATAGGAAAATGTTTTTATCGTTAAAATAAAGCGGAGACAAGACTCACATGTTTTCAGAAACACGCCATGATTCCGGAAGAAAGCCGTAGTGGGGCGTTTCAATAACAACCAATCACGAGCAAGTAAAAAGTGATTGACAATGGGTGAACCAATTGGATGTTAGTTTGCTTCACAGTGCTCGATAGACAAGGTTTTTGACCAATAGTTGCAGAGCTTTGGCATTTCCTTGTGGGCGGAACTTCCTGTTTGACTTCAGCATTGCGGCCTCTGTTGAAGGGCACTGTCTGTTTGCTCTACACCAGGGTCGTGTGTTTTTAAGGTAAGGTTATCCATCTGCATGTATTGTGTGCTTTATCAATTTCCACTAAGGACAAAACTATGAGTACAAAATAACCTGGTCTGTGCGGGGAATGATATTGGGTTTTTAAAATCGCCTGACAGACTGTACTCAAACGCCAAGCTAACATCGGTGTGTTGAGCTAACAAGCTAAACTTCTCTTGCACATTGGTTCCGACAACGTTTTGAATGAATTTAATTAAAATGTAAAGTGTGTTTCTCTCTAATGCACACAGTTGCATAATTGCGTGACAGTGATTCTTACATTTTTGTGTAAATTGAGATGAAGTATATGATACTCATACAGAGTGGTTGGCTGTATTAATTTCAACTATTTCATCTCTTGTGCCCAGAACCAGTTCATCATGGGAGGGCACGACGCAGGAAGCCAGCACCAGTTTACTGGAATGGCCAAATACTTCAATGCGTACACCATCGTTGGAAGGAGGAACGTAAGTGTTCTTTTGCTGTGCCATGTAACTTGCTTTCCTCCATAAAGATATTCATGCATTGCCAGAATGTTCCACAGTATAGAATTACTGTTGAACAGCTATTCTGCAATAAAAGATGGTAATTCTCTAATGCAATCTAATGCATTCACCACATTGTAATCTAACTGAGAGCAAGCATTTGATTTTTCAGAAAACCCATGGTCAAATATAAAAGAACATGCTCTGATGTAGAGCAGTCACTACTGAACTCCATTAAAATAAAACCACTCACGTTTTATTTTAATGGAGCTCAGTAGTGACTGCTCTACATCAGAGCATGTTTTAATATTTGGTTTTCTGAAAAATCAAATACTTGCTCAGTTAGATTACAATGTGGTGAATGTATTAGATTGCATTAGAGAATTACCATCTTGCCCTCTGTCAATGGACAATAAAACCCCTAATAAAGATATGAAGGAAAGAGTTTGTGGCAATTCTGCTACTCTTTGCTAAGTGTTAAAACGCAGATTTTTTTAAAGTCTGACAGGGGAATGAAACGGTACTCTTACTTTGACGTGTAGTTGAATTGCCCTTGAACAGATTTGGACCATAAAAGGGTCCTGCATTCTTAAATGCCAGGCTGTGGAGCATGATGGGAAAAGCCAGATGACTTGCACATTGAACTAATGTGTTTTGTTTTCCTTCAGTGTGTGTTGGCAACATATGCGACACTATTAGGAATTGGCCTCTTTTTTAAACTCAAGCCCAAGAAGCAGGCAATTGCTGATAAGTAGAACACAGGTAAGGAAATATATTTGAGAAGGATATTGCTTTGGAAACTATTGCTAATATCTTTAAATCTCCACAGGGTTGAGCATTTCTGGAGGAAGCAGCTGGCCGTGCTTGTAACACATTATCATTGTATGATTTCCTTGTTAATAAAGAACATTTATGCCAACACATAGAAAACGCCTTTTATTTACAGTATTTCTGTAGAAAACATTAGTCCTTGTAGCTATACTCATGGCAGTACACAGTTTAAAAGATTTCTTTACATGGCACGTCAAGCTTCTAATAGTCTTGCCATATTTTCACATTAGTTTCTCATTTGATTACACAGCGCAATGTCTTTCAGGGAAATGGGAAATAGCTGCTTTTCAGGCTTTCAACGGGGTTTAAAACTGTCAAGGATTATAGGCTCCGGCAGCAAGCAGTAGATTTCTTCTTGTGAAGTGAAGGTGAATAACCGGTGTAGATTTAGTTGTGTACGTGCCAAGCAAAAGTTCTTGGGAGTTATCTTGCAGATGGATGTGTCCTGTCGTAGCTGTGAAGTCGTCTGTCTCTAGATCATCAAATGCTTTCATTGAATCCCAAAGGCGAACTGTGTTATCCATGGAACCTAAACAATGGACAGTTAAAAGGTGCATTGGCATTTGCTTCACACTAATGATGTAGAAAACTCTTACCTGATGCCAGAATCTCTCCATCTCTGCTAAATCTGAGTGAATAGATCGAGTCTGTGTGGCCTTTTAGCTCTCCAATCATTATTCCATGCCCAATGTCCCAAAGCAGAACTCGACCATCTGTTGCTCCTGAAGCAAGGAACTTCCCATTGGGAGAGAATGCCAGGGCATGTATAGGTCCCTGAAAGGTGAATACATCCTTGACTTGAGAATAATGTAATAACCACAGAGAAAATGATCAGCTAAACAAAATGCATCACCTTGTGCCCAGTGAAAATTCGAACACAGTTGCCATTCAGCACGTCCCAAAGGCGAATTGTGCGATCAGACGATCCAGTGGCCACATAATTGGAGTTTGGATGAAAGCGTGTACATGTGACATCAGCCAAGTGTCCAGCAAATATCCTCAGCGGTTGATAATGGTCAGTTGCCCACAAACTAGAAAGAAACTACAAGTTTGCATTTGTTGTCAAACACTGGCCTTTATAAACAATTCAGAGTACTTGCCGAGCGACTCTGTCATGTCCTCCAGAGATAAAATAATATCCATGAGGCGAAAACTGTGTGTCCCATACTGGGTAGTTGTGGCCTTTGTAGCCCACCAGACATGTAAAGGTGAGAAGACTCCATAGTCTGATAGTCCCATCTTCAGAACTTGACAAAAGATAATTTCTGAAAAGTGTATAACCGGATATTATATTTAAAAAAAATAGTTGCCAGAGATGTATTTGATAATAGTAAGTGGTAAAACCACTCAGGACAGTGTTAGCTTGAGTTGTACCTGTCAGGACTGAAGCCGATTCCATACACCGGGCCACTGTGTCCATAGAGGATCTTTGACTCACTGGCAGTTTTCTCATCCATGATCCGCTCCAACACATCATCTGACTCCTTGTCAATCAGGTTTAGGTCTAATGAGGAAATTAACATGTTAATTGATTGACTGCGGAACCTTCCGCAGTCAACCATTGGTTTTGTATTTCTTTATTCCGTCATTTTTTTTGACACGTTTCACAGCTTTCACATTTTCAACAATTTCCACAAGTTATACATCAAAACGTTCCACATGTTTGGGAGATTATTGCTATTACTTTTGGGACTTCAGCGATTTCCGGTTTTTCCGCAATCGGACAAAAATCTGCATTGAGAATTCTGCAATGCATTTTAATAGGCCCATGCATTTTAATAGGACTTCAGCTCTTTCAGACATTTCTACAGTTTCAATGATTCAACAGTTTCAAGGATTCAACAGTTTCAAGGATTTCAGCAGTTTCAAGATTTCAAGAGTTTCAAGGACTTCAACAGTTTCAAGGACTTCAGCAGTTTCAAGGACTTCAGCAGTTTCAAGGACTTCAGCAGTTTCAAGGACTTCAGTGTAATCATGCAACCTAATAGGGATTTTTCCATGTAAACCAGTATAATGCAACTTAATAGGGATTTTTCCATGTAAACCAGTATAATGCAACTTAATAGGGTTTTTTCATGTAAACCAGTATAATGCAACTTAATAGGGTTTTTTTTCATGTAAACCAGTATAATGCAACTTAATGGGGATTTTTCCATGTAAACCAGTATAATGCAACTTAATAGGGGTTTTTACATGTAAACCAGTATAATGCAACTTAATAGGGTTTTTTCCATGTAAACCAGTATAATGCAACTTAATAGGGTTTTTTCCATGTAAACCAGTATAATGCAACTTAATAGGGTTTTTTCCATGTAAACCAGTACAATGCAACTTAATAGGGTTTTTTCATGTAAACCAGTATAATGCAACTTAATAGGGTTTTTTCCATGTAAACCAGTACAATGCAACTTAATAGGGATTTTTCCATGTAAACCAGTATAATGCAACTTAATAGGGTTTTTTACATGTAAACCAGTATAATGCAACTTAATGGGGATTTTTCCATGTAAACCAGTATTATGCAACTTAATAGGGATTTTTCCATGTAAACCAGTATAATGCAACTTAATAGGGTTTTTTCATGTAAACCAGTATAATGCAACTTAATAGGGTTTTTTTTCATGTAAACCAGTATAATGCAACTTAATGGGGATTTTTCCATGTAAACCAGTATAATGCAACTTAATAGGGGTTTTTACATGTAAACCAGTATAATGCAACTTAATAGGGTTTTTTCCATGTAAACCAGTATAATGCAACTTAATAGGGTTTTTTCCATGTAAACCAGTATAATGCAACTTAATAGGGTTTTTTCCATGTAAACCAGTACAATGCAACTTAATAGGGATTTTTCCATGTAAACCAGTATAATGCAACTTAATAGGGTTTTTTACATGTAAACCAGTATAATGCAACTTAATGGGGATTTTTCCATGTAAACCAGTATTATGCAACTTAATAGGGATTTTTCCATGTAAACCAGTATAATGCAACTTAATAGGGATTTTTCCTTGTAAACCAGTATAATGCAACTTAATAGGGTTTTTTTCATGTAAACCAGTATAATGCAACTTAATGGGGATTTTTCCATGTAAACCAGTATTATGCAACTTAATAGGGATTTTTCCATGTAAACCAGTATAATGCAACTTAATAGGGTTTTTACATGTAAACCAGTATAATGGAACTTAATAGGGGTTTTTACATGTAAACCAGTATAATGGAACTTAATAGGGGTTTTTACATGTAAACCAGTATAATGCAACTTAATAAGGATTTTTACATGTAAACCACTATAATGTAAACCTAATAGGGGTTTTTACATGTAAACCAGTATAAAGCAACTTAATAGGGATTTGTACATGTAAACCAGTATAATGCAACCTAATAGGGATTTTTCCATGTAAACCAGTATAATGCAACTTAATAGAGATTTTTCCATGTAAACCAGTATAATGCAACTTAATAGGGATTTTTCCATGTAAACCAGTATAATGCAACCTAATAGGGATTTTTCCATGTAAACCAGTATAATGCAACCTAATAGGGATTTTTCCATGTAAACCAGTATAATGCAACCTAATAGGTTGCATTATACCACCAGACCAAGACCCAAACGAAGACTCAGACCACCACCAGATAATGACCACAGACCAGGTTTCCTTAGTTACAGGAACCAAATTGTTTCAGCGGTGAGGGGATTTTTCAGTTTCAAGGACACTTTCAATACATTCAGTAGTTTCAAGGATTTCAACTGTTTAAGAATTTAACCAGTTTCAAGGATATCAGGAGGTTCAAGGATTTCAGGAGTTTCCACACTTTCAACAGTTTCCAGGTTTAAAAAAAGTTTCAAGGATTTCAGGAGTTTCAATGTTTCAACAGTTTCAAGGATTTCAGGAGTTTAAAGGTTTCAACAATTTCAAGGACTTCAGGAGTTTCAAATATCTATCAAGTATTTTAACAGTTTCAAGGCCTTTTAAAGGATTTCAAGGATTTTTTTTAGCAGATTTCCACATTAGATCTGTTCCGCAGTCAATCGCAATGGCTTCAGCCATTGCAAGTTTCTAGTTGTTTATAGGTTTACACTCAATGCAATGCTAGTTCAGTTCTCTGTACAGCTAATCTCACCTCCTGCAGACTTGACCTTTCGAAGTTTCTTTGGTGTGACACTCCACACACGTACTGTAGAGTCTGCAAAGCCGCCTGCAATTAAACTGGAATCATCTGTGAAGTCCACCGCAGTTAGACCCTGGGGGAATAAACAAGATCATGATATCACAGATCCTCTGATGACCTGTGCCCAAACAATTGTTTATGGTGTTCTTATACCATTACCTGATATGCATTAAGAAATGAATAAAAACAAATAGACGGAAGTGTTTCTCGTCCGACTCGAATTCTTTTAGTGGACTCTTTCATGTACATGATCTTGTCTAATTTGTCTGAGTCCTTAAGCTCTGGTAATGGTATCCTGAAACACAAAACAAATAAGGATTGACCTGGACTGTGCACACTGAAGGGGCCAGCAGGTGGCGTCATATCACATACACTCAAACATGTACTGTCACAGATTCATTCAAGTGTCACCTTGTTTGCGTAGGGGCATTTGGGTCCTGCTTTTTGCTTTTGGATCCCACACTATCCTTCTTGGGTTTCTTTTTCTTGGGTTTTCCCTCTTCGTTTTCAGCCTCCTCGTCTTCATCATCAAGAGGTAATTCAATTTCTGGTTCTTTCAGTAATCCATAATAAACCTGTTGCAATGGAATTACAATTACATAATTCTTAAAAAACAGAAACTGATTTAAAGTCATGTTTATAAATGTTAGGTTGTCTACCTTTGACTTATTGGCATCTCGTTTTGCTTCACCAGCTAAGCTGCCAGACATAGCATCAATTTGACTCTTGCTACGGGGCATGCCATCAAAGATGTCGATATACAGATGCTCCTGGATGATATTCCAGATTTGGTTGTTCTGACGCTCCTGCAGGTGTCTCTTCAACAGTTGGTACGAGTCACGGGAAATGCGCAGGACAAATTTGCTGGTGCGAAAGTCCAGGAGAGTTTCATTTCCCCTCATGTGCTCCCTTTTGGTGAGACTGGACAGAATTCTGAGGTCGTTTTCATAATAACACTCTTGATCCCCACTAAACCTGCATTATAAAAACACACATCAAAACAACTTAAATGATTTTCTCAATTCATTTTTTGATACAACAACAATAAGATGTACCTTTGAAAAAATGACTTGGCCTCATTTTCATGATTGTTGTACACGAGCTCCAGATACATATGAACAAATAGTGGGTAAAAAACTTGGGAAAGCTCTGCTCGGTGACAATCCAAAACCGTTTCTATGAACTTTTTAAGGTCACTGTAATAAACCGCATATAACGTTGGGTCTCCTTGTTGACTGTAGGCTGACAGGACAACACTCACATCAGGCTGGTCGTTACTTGTGACTAAAGAGAATAAGATAAATGAAATTAGTCAAGTAAATTAACTTTACATTACCAAAATATAAAAGCATACTTATACCATAGACTGTAAATATTATACGGACTTTCAAACGTAATTCAATTATGTCCGTTTCATTAATAATAGTTAAATTAGTTTTGGCTCATCTTAAACGCAAGCATGAGAGAGATGCTTGACTCTGAGAATCCAAGTTGTTCACCTTTAGTGGTCTGCTGAGTCCCGGGGACCGCGGCGGTGACCCGGCTGAGCAGAGAGTCGCCTCCTTCCAGCCCCACTCCGCCCGCAGCGGCTCCAGCTCCGGCCCCAGAACCATCCAAGCCCTTTCCGTCCAGCAGATCCTCTGGTAAACCCGCTTCGCGCCGTAGAATCTCCACGGACTCGCTCAAGTTGTTCTTTCGGAGGAACTGCAGAACCGCGAGCAGAGTCTGCTGCTCCTCCGCGGAGCCAGCGGCCGGTTTGACGGCTGCACACGGAGCATTAGTCCCGGGAGAAGTAGAGGCGGGTTTGGGTTCAGCTGCATTTGTGCTATTTCCACAAACATCACTGGATGGATCTGTTTTAATGTCCTTCTCTTCCTCTGAATCCACCAGACCACCTTGTACGGCCGCCATTTTAAAAATGAAGTGCGCATGTGCGAAAGAACAAAAAGAAACGCCGACGGAGCAATATCTGTGCAGCTGATTGGACGATACTGCTCAGAGTCCCGCCTCTTTGTTCTGGCTGCAAAACAAAGCTTATTTTTCAAACCTCAGTGCAACAATGCGCTCATGTCTGTCCTATGGTCCATGCATGGATCTGTGATTATATTGGGTGCATGTATCTATGGTTCTACAGTCCATGGTTCTGCTCCTGTTTGGTCACAACAACCCCCTCAACAAACGATTTTTATCCAATAGTTTTAATTACAACGTATTGTTTACAGTATTCATTACTTTTTTCCATGCCATGTTTCTCCTGGACAGTCTGCCCAAAAACGATATTATATGTAGAAGTCTTTTTTTTTTTACATTACCGGTGAACGTGCCTGTTACTGGCTCATGCTATTCCATATTGTACCACAAGATGGCGCTTAATACTCAACCATCTTGCCAATGTGGGCTGTTTTTCTGGAAACAATGCCCAGAAAATACATGTCCATGGTATTTGTGAACATTTAAACATAACATCTATATTTATAATTTATTTGCTGCTGATTATACTGAAATATAAGAATACTGTTTTTCACTAGTTGTGTTTTTCACTAGATTTGTGTGTGCTTTTCATTTGGAAGCAACCAAATAAAAAGCATATATATCCGGTAGCAACCAAAGCGATGAGAGTGCAGCTAATTCTAGTTCTCAATTTCAATACCAAATTCATAAAAATACAATCTTACACATTCTCACACTGGAAGATCTTTCATGTTTACTTATTTATTCATGACATCATTAATTATGTAATTATTTTCACTTTTATACAAGGCATCAATACCAGTCTTTAAATGAGAGCAAACCCTGATGTGCAACTGGTACGCCACACATTTGAGAGGCTGCACATTGTACTTACACTGCATTCTGCTGAGGCTTGACTTTTGCCTCAGGAGTCGACACACCTTCTCCCCTCAGCGCTGTGGACACACTATAGGCAATGTGCACTTAAACTGCTGACTGTGGTGGTTTTGGGTCAGCAAAACATGCATTTTCATTTGGAGAGCACTGTCAGAAGGCAATGTCACTTATTAATCTTTCTTGTCACCTTTAGCCATATATGTTTGAGAGGTTTACTTCATGCACTACAAATAGGCTGTTTAAATAAAATCAGATACACATTCAAAATGGCTATTAAATGTTTTAGCATGGTTCAAAACAAATAGTGCAAATAGAGGTTTCCAGTGATGCATGACAGAAGCTGTGTTTGTTGTATAATAGTGCATGGTGCAGCTCTCTTGATGGTGGAGATATGGGTGCGGTTGACTGCCTGCAGAGGGACATAAATGTTTAGCTGCAGCCACAGTCACTGTGCGTAGTATCACAACAAAAATAATGATGATAAGTTGATTATACAAACTTTTCAATGCAAAGCAAGCAAATATAAGTAATATATAACATTGTTTGGATAATTATTTGGCAATTCAGGTGCTTCTATGTTATAAGCAGCTACATCAAAACTTCAAAAAGTCATTTCAGTGTAGTTTATCTAAATATTAATCTCGTGACAGGACAAAACAATCACAATTTAGAAAAACAGTGTTTCTGTTTGGTTCATCTTTCCCATTGCCTTGCGACTAAGATCAGCTTTTGCCACATTACTAAAATCGACTGCGATACAGTGAGATACAGTGAGAATATTTTCCTCTTTTCACACCTCACTGATCCCTCTCTTTCTCTGTCGCTTAGTTTCAGGGTGTGGCTTCATGATGTGGCTTTGTCAGAAAGCCTGAAATCACATTAAAACAACTAGGACTGTGCCTGCAACTAATAATTATTCCATTTTCAAATGCAGGATTTGAGATCTATCTAAAGTCCAGAAGAAAATTATTCAATGACTACATTTATTGATGATTATCTCAATAATTGAGCAGCTTGCCTCAGCCCTGAATACAGTGCATGTGCAGATTAGCTGAATTTGTTTCAAATGTTTAATTTGAAAAAGCATAAGCAGCAGAGTAAATCCTATGCTCTTGTGTGGACGCTATAACTCCCAAAGGATGTCCCAGTATGTCCACCTGGCATAACCTAATGTGTAATATATGTTAATATCAACCACGTCTATTTATAATTATGACATAACGAGTCCAGTCAATGTAAGACCCTCCACACAATGGGCCTGTGTTTTTGTTTTTCAGGGAAACCCATGCAGCAGCGTGTGTGTGTGGGTGTGTGTCACCTGCACATCTTAAAGAGACATTGACCGTTTGACTTTGAGCTTTGAGCGGTGAGAAAAATTCTGAAAAATCCCCTGTTGAGATGCATCAGTAAATAATTCATGAGGTGTGGCTCTCGCAAGAGGTAGAGAATGCCCTGAGAGAGAAGGAAAGATGGAGATTCAACGGAAAATCCGTTTTGTAGGAAGAGTGAGAGAGTGGGTGGGGCAGCTCATGGGAAAACGTAACAAGCCCAGAAAGGGTAGATCTTATTCATGTGAAAATGTGATATTTAAAGACTGGAGTGCAGAGAATATCACAGGGGGAGCAGATACAGGTGCAAATTATGGTGAGGATGTTTATAGGTGTAGGTTACTTTAAAAAAAAAAAAGAAGTATTCCGTCTTGACAGAGTAAAAAGTAAGGTTGTTTTTTACATGTGTCTTTGTATTGTGGCGGCTGCTGCTGCCCATTCGGGCGAGATAATGGGTGTGAAGGAGGCAGGGCTGTTGCACCAGAGCTCTCCACTTTGACGAAGGGGAAATGTGGGCAAGTCTGCATTATTCAGCACTGACCTAACAGGAGCCGAGGATGTGCACGCACTGGCCATAAAGAAGCCATGCTGCTCGGATACATCCATGAGAATCATTTGAGAAAACTAACAAGGTTTTCTCAATCTTAATAAGAATAATTTAACACATTTTAGCAACATTTCCGTATTTGGTTTTACTATTTTCAGTAAGTAAATGTTGATGATGGAGCTTAAGTTGCGCATTTTTTGCTTTCATGACAGAAATCACAATACAGATAAATACACAATAAATAACGAAAGACTTTTTTTATTCTTTGGCTTCCATTTGGTGAAATAACAAAACACACGGATGGATTTAACATTATACTCAAACACATATTTTTCTGTATGCAACAACTTGTATTCAGGTACTCAACATTAAATGATACTTATCTCCAACATCCTGCCCTTATAACGTTCCATGATCTTTGATAATCTATATTTTCCAGCCCCGTTTCCATCTGCCCTACTTGCCCCTTCTCTACTCTACTCGGCACTACTCAACCTGTCTGGGTTTCCATTAAACTTCAGTGTCTGGTATCGTAGCAACCTACCCACAACAAACCAGTATCCAGGGAAATCCCTTGGTGACCATGGCTTCCAGCAGCGCGCCAGCCAATCACTGCCAGTTAGAACACATTAGTACCAGCTTGGCTCACACTCTAGAACCATGGCCAAGCTGGTGCTAGAAAAGTACCTGGTACCAGTTAAACAGGGCCAGTGGAAACGCTCCTAATCAGGGTAGAGTAGAGCCGAGTAGAGTAGAGGATTGAGCTAAGTAGGGCTGGAAGAAATAGCTTTTTGTAGGCTTCAATTTTACACAACAAGACTACACTGTAAAGAATATCCTTGTAGAAAAACGGTAAATAGCTGGCAAATATGGTTCCAAATATGGTTATGTGATTTCAGGATTTAACTGTATGTTCCTGTTAATTCACATACAACAAAAACAGCATTATAATGTTAGTTTTGTATCATTACACCATATGACTGTTTCTGTTTCTAATTAGTTTAATTGAACAAAAACTAATGTTTAATTTTGTTTTCCTTTAATGAACACAACTTTTCAATTATTTTTAACAACTTAAAAAAAATAATTATACAAGAAAATAGTTGTAGTCTTTACTTCTATAACATGCTTAACTCAAAAGCATCACTTTAAGAAAAACAGGAGTTTACACTTCTTACACTCATGGTTGCTTGCTAGCAAAATTTCCCAGCATTCCAAAAATACAACAAGTTTGAAATCACGGTATAATTGTGGTAATAAAACGCCACTGGATGATTTTTAGCCAATTTTTACTTTTTTCAAATTTGTATTGAATTTTCATTGTAATTTTACAGAAATGTGTTACAGTGTATAAAAACTGCTGTCCTTCAGAACAATATCACTACAAAAAAATGGACTCAAAGTAAGATAAAGGGGCATTCCATTTCCCTGTATGTAAATGCACTGTAAATATATACAGTGCCTTGCGAAAGTATTCGGCCCCCTTGAACCTTTCAACATTTTGCCACATTTCAGGCTTCAAACATAAAGTTATAAAATTTAATTTTTTTGTCATGAATCAACAACAAGTGGGACACAATCGTGAAGTGGAATGAAATTTGTTGGATAATTTAAACTTTTTTAACAAATAAAAAACTGAAAAGTGGGGCGTGCAATATTATTCGGCCCCTTTACTTTCAGTGCAGCAAACTCAGTCCAGAAGTTCAGTGAGGATCTTTGAATGATCCAATGTTGTCCTAAATGACTGATGATGATAAATAGAATGCACCTGTGTGTAATCAAGTCTCCGGATAAATGCACCTGCTCTTTGATAGTCTCAGGGTTCTGTTTAAAGCGCAGAGAGAACCATGAAGACAAAGGAACACACCAGGCAGGTCCGAGATACTGTTGTGGAGAAGTTTAAAGCCGGATTTGGATACAAAAAGATTTCCCAAGCTTTAAACATCTCAAGGAGCACTGTGCAAGCAATTATATTGAAATGGAAGGAGTATCAGACCACTGCAAATCTACCAAGACCCGGCCGTCCCTCCAAACTTTCATCTCAAACAAGGAGAAGACTGATCAGAGATGCAGCCAAGAGGCCCATGATCACTCTGGATGAACTGCAGATAACTACAGCTGAGGTGGGAGAGTCTGTCCATAGGACAACAATCAGTCGTGCACTGCACAAATCTGGCCTTTATGGAAGA